TTCCTTGAATATTTATTTATTTATTATTTATTATTCATATTTCTATGCCGCCCACTCTCCGAGGACTCTGGGTGGCTTACACCAATAGACAGTATACTAAATAGCATATTGCCCCCGACAATCTGGGTCCTCATTTTACCCACCTCGGAAGGATGGAAGGCTGAGTCAACCTTGAGCCGGTGAGATTTGATCCGCTGATCTGCTGAACTAGCAGTCAGCTGAAGTAGCTGCAGTACTGCACCCTAACCACTGCACCACCTTGGCTCTTATGTTTACCTTCTCATCCAAGAAGCTTCTTCAGTTGGGACTGAATCAGTGGTGAAATCCATATTTTTTTACTACTGCTTCTATGGGCATGGCTTGCTGGGCGTGGCAGGGGAAGGAAATTGCAAAATCTCCATTCCCACCCCACTTTGGGACCAGCCAGAGGTGGTATTTGCCGGTTCTCTAAACTGCTCAAAATTTCCACTACCAGTTCTCCAGAACCTGTCAGAACCTGCTGGATTTCACTCCTGGACTGAATCATGGAAGATTGAAAGATATATATTCCTTCCAGTCATCTGGTTGTTAGAGAGTCATTGAGGCCATTTGGAGGTTTATCTGTGTCCTCAGGGGTCAGATACGACAACAGCTATCTCCTGTTTACAACGCAGTTACAAAGAAGTTCCATACCCATTTGAACTTTGATTCAGGTGAACCTCAGGTCACAGTTAAACCTCCAAGTGGCCTCAATGACTCTCAGAGAGAGTACTAATGACCAGATGACTGCAAGGAACATAAATCCTTCCATTCACCATCATTCAGTCCAAACCAAAGAGGCTTCTCGGATGAGAAGCAAAATATCTTCAAGGAAAAAGAAAGAAAGTCCAGTTGCCTCATGAAAAACACCTTTCAGACAGTCAAGAATTTTGCTTAGAATATTCAAATGGATCAATGGGATCAAAGAAAACAATCACTGTATCAGGCTAAACCCAAGAATTATATGGAACAAACAGAGTTCTATTTTTTATTTCCTTACACAAAGCAGACAGAATCTTGCCAGAGTAAACCCTTACTATTACCTTAGCACTATTTTATTTTTTATTACATTACATTACATTGTATACATTGTAATATAATATAAATATTATATTATATTATATTATATTATATTATATTATATTATATTATATTCATTTTACTTACTTTATTTTATATTTTATATTTTATTTTATAATTCTATTTTTTTCCATATAATTTTATTGTGCATTCATCTTGAACCACAGTAATATATGCCACATTATTATGTGACAGACTCCTTTTTCTTTCAGATGAAAACAGTCTTTATCTAGGAAATCAAAACATTGAATACCTACATTCTTTAGACTGAATAAAGATAAACATCTATAATTCTATTTTTATGCTGGCCATCTCACCTGTGAAGATCTAAGCAGCTTGCCTTCATTAAAAAAACTGGTTAAAAACATCAAAACATCAAATGTATTTGAATCCAGAATTTTCTACTTTTTTTTACACATCCACCAAGCACAAGAATTTCCAATATGACTTTGATGAGCCCTTATACACTCTAGACAATTTCTCTGGTGACATAAACCAACAGTGCATTCATTTATTTAAAAAAACTTTTACATTATCACATAAACCATTTGTGTTTGCCCATTATTTCTCCTCTACAAACTATTCCCCTAAATGAAATAAAATATTTACAATTCTTTGTACCGCTGTCTTTATTCGAGCCCCAAATCCTTCCATCGAATGGCCATCCAGACATTCCTTCAGTGTGACTTATGCTAACCCTAACCCAGTGGTCCCATCCTGGATGGGTAGCAGGATGATTGCGTTGAGCATCATTGGGAGAGAAGAGCTGGTAATTGTTGACATTTCCATAATGGCAAACAAATGGTTCCTCAACCCTGGGCACATCTGGATTATGTAGAACATAGAATCAAAGGACAGGAAGGGACCTCACAGGTCTTCTAGTCCAACCTTTGCTCAAGGCAAGAGACCTTATATGATTCTGGATGAATGGTTGTCCAATCTTTTTTTGAAACCCACCAGTGATGGAGCACCCACAAATCCAGGAGGAAGGCTGATCTCTCATCTATCTATCTATCTATCTATCTATCTATCTATCTATCTATCTATCTCTATCTATCTATCTATCATCTAGCTAGCTAGCAATCATCTATCTATCTTTCTCTATCTCTATCTATTTATCTATCTATCATCTATCTATCTATCTATCTATCTATCATTTAGCTAGCAATCATCTATCTATCTATCTTTATCTCTATATCTATCTATCATCGATATCTATCTGTCATCTATCTATCTATCATCTAGCTAACTAGCTAGCAATCATCTATCTATCCATCTTTCTCTATCTCTATCTGTCTATCTATCTATCATCTAGCTAGCTAGCTAGCAATCATCTATCTATCCATCTTTCTTTATCTCTAGCTAGCTAGCTAGCTAGCTATCATCTATCTATCTATCTATCTATCAAATCTGTCTAATCTATTTTGTATAATCATAAGGCTGGAAGGGACCTTAGAGGTTTTCTAGTCCAACCCCATGCTAAAGGCAGGAGATCATCTAGTCAAATGGTGCCTGTAGCCAATCAATTCCCAGCACAATGGTGATGGGAGCAGGAGAAGAGGGTCCCTCTGAGTAATGTTTCCAGTAACAAGGAACACCTTTGATTAATGTTTCTGGTTCTTTGAAGTAACAAGCAAGAATGTGAAATTCTGATAAGGACCAGCCAGAGACAAGAATTGCCCAAAGAGTTGAACTTTAATAACCTGAAAACTCATTGCAATGCAAAAACCAAACCTACTGAATATAGAACTGGTCATTAACAAGATCATGCTTAGAATATTATGGGATCATATGAACTGCTACATATACAAAGCTACTGAGCATGCTCACTATATCACCATTGAGTCAAATGACATTGTGAATATGTTTGAACTATATATAAAATTATTCTCTATCTTTCTAAGTTGCTCTTCACCTCTTATCCGTCAGGCACCTCTTCTTGCTTAGACATAAATAGAACAATATTAATCCTATTTGGGCTAATGAATCTTGCCAATATAACCTTAGAAAAATCTTTTTTCCATTGTTTAAATGGAATATCAGTTCTCAATATCAGTAACATCTGAAATACAAACAGCATCTTTGGTAAAACAGTCATCTTAATTACAGAAAATTCTACCCAGTAAAGATAATTGCAATTTGTCTCATCATAGTAAGTCTTTTTTTTAATATTATTCAAAACAGGCACAAACTTATTTTAAAACGAGAATTTATATTGGTCAACATTAGCCCCAAGATATTTCATCTTTTTCTCCACCTCCAACCTTCTTGTCAAAGTTTCACAATCTTGAACAGTTGTATTCTTAGCCACTTAGTTTTTGTTTTCTGTTTATTTAGCCTGAAAACTGCTAAAACTCCAAAGTCATTGAGTTTCTTCCTCAGATATTCCTTTGTACTTTCTGGGTCTTGCAGAAATACAACTAAATCACTAGCAAAAGTGTCGCCTTGGTTTCTTAGGAAAGAAAGATTCCCTACTTCATTTGTGTGAAAAGACATGCTTGTACTAAAGACCAAGTGGTTACAGTACAGCAAAGCCAGAATTAAAAGTTTGTGCATGAAGAGTCCCCAGTTAACTTTCCCTTTCCTGTTCCTTCCCCCCCCCCCCCAATTATCTCTTTATTATCCAGTTACATTCAAAGAATTTGTTTTGCAAATGGTCCCTGCATTAGTGGACTACATGTGCTTTCCCTCCCAGGCCTCTGCCTTGGGGTGTTGAACCGATGTCTCAGGATGGTATGATGAATAGTTTCTGTTTCCCCCCCCCCCCTTCCCTGCAACTTGAGCAATTCCCCCCCCCCCATTGGTTTAAGGCAAGCTGGGATCTAGCAAAGCGATGCTGAAGCTGGAGATGGCAGTTCTGACAAAGCGTTCTCAGTTTACAAATTTTTTTTTTATTATTTTTACACCCATTTTTTGGTCATATTGGATATTTAGAATTCCCAGCTCTAATATAAACAACTGTGCAGTCAAAGGACATCCTTGCCTCGTGGAAAATACCTTGAAAAATATTTTGGAAATAGGTGGGAGAAAGTTCTTCAGATCTTTTTTCTTTTCATTCCTACCTTTTTTTTTCAAAAAGTTTTTTATTTTTATTCTCATAAGCATATTTGAGTGTACAATCTTTTATCCATCATTTTCCATTCATCTTATCTTTTAGCTTTAATTTTTAGTTGTTCGGGGCTGCTCTTTTACCATTTACCCTCCTTTATTTTACCACAAACTTTCCTCTTCTCCTCCCCTTCTCTTCCTTCCTCCATCTCTTCCTACTTTCTTCTTTCTTCCTCTCCTTCTCTTTCTTACTTTCCTTTCCTTTCCCTTCCCTTCCCCCACTTCTCTCTTCTTCCTTCTTTTCTAACCCTCTCTCCTACTCCTCTTTCCCCTTCCTTTTCTTCTTCCCCTTTTTCCTCTCTTCTATCTCTCCCTCTCCTTTCCTCTCTTCTCCCTTCCTCTCTCTCTACTCCTTTCCCTCTCTCTTGTTCTTTCCCTTTTCAGTTCATTCTAGAATGGTATTCGAGCAGCCCCAATTATCTATTTACATCCATCATTTCAGTTACTTATTTGTTTAGTAGTTACATCTATTTCATCATTTGTGTATGCTTTTATAATCATCTCACTTTTTCCCTTCCCCCCCCCCACTTTTTCCCTTTACCTAGGCATCATCTGGGTTTCTATTCTTCTAATTATTTTTGCTCTTTTTCATCTTTTCCCTATTTTATCTCCATACTTTTATTCATATTTCTTTTCTAACCAATCATAAAATTTTTCCCATGTCTTGAAATACATCAACTCTTTATCTTTTATTCTCAGTGTTAGTCTGTTCATTACTGCACATTCTAAAATTTTCTTTCTAACCCTTCCAAGAGGATTTTATTTGCTTTCCAATTCTGTGCAAATGCAATTCTGGCCACTGTTATTATATGAATAATCGAATATATATCTTCTTTATATATTTCTCGGGTAATATTCCCAATAGAAATATATCTGGTCTTAACTCTATAGGTTGCTGCAGCATTCCCTCTAACCATGTCTGTATTTTAACCCAATAGTACTTTGCTTCTTTGCACAACCACTTCATGTGATAATATGATCCTGGCAATTGGTGACATTTCCCACCTTAAATGGTTAAAGCAAAATGGGGACATAGGAAAGAAGGATACTGGCAGGAGAATCCCAGAGACATTGAGCAAATGTGTCATATTAAAGTTTGCAGTTACCCAACCCCCCATTTGGGAAAACAAAGTTGTTGGCCCATAGACAGGGATAAGCAGAGAAGGTAGGAAGGTTTTTCCTTCACTGCTTTCCAGGAGATGCATCCTCCTTCTCCTGACTGCCCAGAAGTTTTTGTAGGGCCCCTTTGACTTCCTTGTTTCGGAGGCTGTAGATTAAGGGGTTCAGCATGGGGGTGACAATACAATAGAGGATGGAGACCAGAGTATCTATGCCTAAGGAGTAGCCCGCACTGGGACGGTTGTAATTCAAGTTGATCATCCCATAGAAAAGAATGACGGTAACCAGGTGGGCACCACAGGTGGAGAAGGTCTTTCTCCTTCCACTATTAGAGCGGATTTGCAGAATGGAAGATAAGATGTAGAAGTATGAAATGACAACAAGGAGGAAAGGACACAGCCCTACAAAGATACTTGCCGTGTGAAGAGCCATCTCGTTGGTATAGGTGTCACTGCAAGCAATTTTCAGGAGTGGAGGAACGTCGCAGAAGATGTGATGGATCTGGTTGTTTTCACAGAAGGCCAAATCAGTGGCCAGTGCAGTATGAAAGATAGAGTCAACAAGACCCCAGACCCATGAAGCTGTAGCCAGAGGGACTCGCACCTCCATACTCATGAGTTGAGAATAGCGCAAAGGTTCACAGATGGCCGCATAGCGATCGTAGGCCATCACAGCCAGCAGTGCGCATTCAGTTCCCGCAAAGGTCATGAGGAAGAACATCTGGGCCATGCACTCGTTGTAGGAGATGGTGGGCTGTTGGCGCAGGAGGTTCACCAGGATGGTGGGGAGGGTGACCGAAGAATAGCAGATGTCCAAGCAGGACAGATGGCTGAGGAAATAGTACATGGGACTGTGGAGGCGTGAATCCAACTGGATCAAAATGAGTATGACCGAGTTGGCCACCAAGGTGATGAGGTAGATGGCCAGAAACAGCAGAAAGAAGAAAGGTTGACCTCTGGGCATGCCAGAGAAACCCAGGAACAGGAATTGGGTCAACTGCAGGGTCTGATTGACACCTTCCATGAGGTCCCCCAAAGTTAGCTGCAAGGAACAGAATTTAGGAGGGAGCGATGGGAGTATTCACATTCTTTACAATAATTGTGACACACTAGGAGATAAAAACATCATCATTTGCTATCACCTTCCCATTCCTTAAATTAAAAGACTGTAGTCATTAATTCCTCTTAAAAGAGCCAAGCTGAGCTGGTTCTGCTTTGGGGAAAAAACATAGTTCAGCAGAAATGGATTTCCTGATCCATTGTCTTCAATAGGAGCAGGAAGATTTGCCTGAAAATTGACTCTTTGACTCATATTTAGGTTGACTATTAAGTGGACTATTTCCTGGTTCAAAGGTCAATCCCCCAGGAATTGCAGCAAAATTCCCTTTTCCAAAGCAATTGCACAGGGATCCATTCACTTACTTGGGGTTGGAGTTAAAGGTGAAATTGCTCTTTCTGGTTACTCAGAAGAAAGCAGCATCTCCGACTGTTGAGCGTCAAGAGGCCTGAGCATCTCTGGGTGGTTCCATTGCTGGCTGAGCTGTCATGGGAGACCGAGGACGAGCAACTGGGTGGGATAGTCTGGAATCAAACTCAGGACCCCCAAACCCATAATCCAGCCTCACTGCAGTATTTGCTTAACTGTGTGGACTGGAGAAATTCTCTCCAGACTATGACAGGAGGGATTCCTACAGGCAAAAGGAGGCATTCCTTTTGATACATTTTGGGAAAGGAGGAGAAAGTGATACAGTCATACAGATGCATAAATAATAGGTGATGTGAATTTAGTTATTGACAGTAATCAACCCTCAAGTTCATTCTCTACTCTTCTGCTGTTACTATCATCAAGGAAAAAAATATCGTTTTAATACAAATAAATTATATCAGTTACATTTCCATAGAAGGTTTGACAAAGCTTACGGAGAACGGGACGTTTTCTGAGAAATGAGGACTTCAAGGTTGCCCCAAGTTACACACATTCCTTCTGTGTTTCTATTTGGCTACCACACATTCATTCCTCAAAGACTTTGTTTTCCTCACAATAGTTTTTGGGGGAAGATTTGAAATCACAGCATTGAGAAGAAGCTTCACAAGCTTCTCCAGGACCCTCTGGAGTGTTTGAACTTTGCTTTGCATGCTTAGCCTTCATTGGGGGGGGGAGATGCTTCTGGGGGTTTTCATGGTTCCTTTCAATGAGTGGGGGGAATTCATGACAGCCATGTCCCTCCAGTTAACTCTCCCCAAAAGCATTTTGACATACATGCTATGTGTGAACTGGCATCCTAAATGAAACAGGTCTCCCCTTTCTTGGTAAGTGGGTTGTGTAAAGTAGCAACCATTAAGAGATGGTCCTCCTGGAATTTATTCTGTTTCTGTCTCTCTGCAACCATACTTCAAATTCCTCCAAGTTACCCCAACCCTCCTTTTGATGGACCAGTGAGGTGCTCATTTTTTCTTGCTTTGATCAATGACCACCCATGTTGGTCCTCAGGAGGAATCCAGGACCGGTTTGAGCTTCTTCTCCTGGCCAGAAAATCCTCATCTGGAATTTCTCTTCCTCTCCTCACCCCCAAAAGCACCATTGCTTCCCCAACATTTCTATGCTCTTTCCAAATTCCTTTCCTTCACACGCAACTTTTCTCTAACCCATGTAGAAAGGGGTTTTCACTGGTGTGTGTGTATGTGTTTGTTTGTGTGTCTGTGTAAAGGGGAGTTTAAGAGGCGTGGGGAGTTTGGTACTCAGCAGATGACCCAAGAGTCCCTTCCCAAAATGTTTGACTTGACACCAAGAAGTCAATTTTCACCATTCTCATGTTTAGGGTCAAGATCTCCAGGGAGAAGATCCAGGTCCTTGCTTGTCTCCTCACCACCAATACTTTATTTTTGATATTTTTTCCCTCTCTCGGACATCAGAAAAGAATGAGACTTTATTGAACAATCTGAATCAGTGCAATTCATGAACCTTACAGAACAGCAAAAAAGACTAATTTAAAAAGGGTGCATGAAAAATACTTCCTTCAGCATCCCACCCACCCTCATGCCCTGCTGCAGGGGGCTTTGCCAGGTCTGATGTCCTTCAATATTACCTTTTCTTGTGGCCTCCTCACTTTGTAACAGCCTCCAGAATGAAGTTGGCATGTCCTGCTGCTCTTCTTCCTTCTGCTGCTGAATCTTTCCCAGTGAACATTTATGGGATCCAACAACTGAGAAGGGGAGTAGGAGAGAAAGGGAGGAAGGAATTTGCAAGCTCTCCCTGGTATCCTCTTCTGACTTGAGGAGGTCTCTCCTTCTTCCTCCGAGCCTCTTTGTGGTATCAGATGCCCCAAATCTTGTCAGTGTCACCTGGCTGAAGAAGAGAGATGATTTGTACAGCATCTGAATGTCCCTGGAGATCAACATGCACCACAAGCAGGAAAGTGAAGTAGATGCACACTAGGGATTCCTCCCTATGAAGGGTGGAGTGAAGGGCAAAGGGACAAAGCTCAAACTCAGGACAACTTCCACACCCAGAAGGAGGGACTCTTGGGGGAGAACTGAGTATCTTCTGCTTTTCCTAAAACTGGAATGTCCAAGACATGGGATGAAATTATCTTTCCTAGGTTATGTAGATTCTCAATTTTCCTAGGTTAGGATCTTCTACATGTGTTGGACTTTAGTTCCCATAAAGTCTTAGTTTCCATGGCTGGGCATTATTGGCGAAGTAGTTGCACACTAGGGATTGCTCCCTGCAAATGTTGGAATGAAGGGCAAAGGGTGGGACCTCAAACTCAGGACAACCTCCACACCCAGAAGGAGGGATTCTCGGGGGAAACTCCATGAGAACAGAATTACAAACAAATCCACGAAGGGGGGGGGGCTGCTCCTGCAGGGAAGGCTTTCATATTCACGAGTGTCCACCCCAGCTTCTCCACTGCTTGCCATGTGACACAGCAAGTCTCAATCCCTTCCTGAGGTAGGGAAAGTGGGGAAGACCTGTCTCCTCTTGAAGTGGATCAATCAGACATTTCTCTGATGGGTCCTCGGTGTGCACTGGGCTAAGAACCTTACTGTCGTTTGTAGGTAAAATTGGGGTCCTGCAAAGAAGCCATCACGTAGAGCAGAACAGTTTGACATGTGTTAAACTGCAGCCATTCTTCATATCTGTTCAAGGCCTGGAGACTAAAACATATGAAGAACGGTTGCAGGCAGAGGTGAGATTCAGCCAGTTCGTACTGGTTCGAGCAAACCGGTTGTTAACTTTTTGCCCAGTTTGGAGAACTGCCTAATCCCACCTCTGGCTGGCCCCACCCGCCCAGCCCTTCCCAGGAGTTGGTTGTTAAATTATTTGAATCCCACCACTGGTTGCAGGATTTGGGTTTGGCCAGTCTAGAGAAAAGAAGGATTAGGGGGGACATGATAGCATATTTCAGGGGCTGCCCCAAAAAAGAGGGGGGAGGGTCAACCTATTTTCCAAAGCACCCAAAGTCAAGACAAGAGATAATGGATGGAAACCAACCAAGGAGAGAAGCAACCTAGAATTAAGGAGAAACTTCCTGGTGGTGAGGACAATTAACCAGTGGAACAGCTTGCCACCAGAAGTTGTTGGTTCTCCATCACTGGAGCTTTTTAAGATGAGAATGGACAAACATTTTTTCTGAAGTGGTGTAGCATCTCCTACTTGAGCAGAGGGTTGGACTAGAAGACCTCCAAGGTCCCTTCCAACTCTGATATTCTGTTCTGTTCTGTTCTGTTCTGTTCTGTTCTGTTCTGTTCTGTTCCGTACCATTTTTATTCCTATTCCTATTATTTCTATTTCTGTTCTATTCTAGTTCTGGGGATCCTGTGTTTTGAGGGGTCAGACCCAGATCCAGCTCACAGCATCCTTCCATCTATTCTCTCCACCAGCATTGGCCTTTCAAGGGCTCTGGGTGGATAAATCAAACTTTTCCACAGAGGTCTCATCTCTGCAATTGGCTGTCACCCCAGGTTTATCAGAGCAGACAGTCATATTTTAGGAAGCTGAATCTAAACCAAGAATAACAGGAACAGTAAAGCACAAGTAGTCCTCAACTTACAACCATAATTGGGAACAGAACATCCAGCATTAAGAGATATAAGAGCCGTGATGGCTCAGTGGTTAGAATGCAGTATTGCAGGCTAACTCACTGCTCACTGCCAGCAGTTCAATCCTGACCACCTCAAGGTTGACTCAGTCTTCCATCCTTCCGAGGTCAGTCAAATGAGGACCCAGATTGTTGGGGGCAAGAGATTGACTTTGTAAACTGCTTAGAGAAGGCAATAAACCACTTTGAAGCAGTATATAAATCAAAATGTTTGGTTTTTTTTAATTTGATTTATATGCCACCCTTCTCCGGAGACTCAGGGTGGCTTACAGTGCGTTAAGCAATAGCCCTCATCCTTTTGTATATTTATACAAAGTCAGCTTATTGCCCCCACAAACTGGGTCCTCATTTCACCTACCTTAGAAAGGATGTAAGGCTGAGTCAACCATGAACCTGGTGAGATTCGAACCTGCAGTAATTGCAGGCAGCTGGTATTAATAACAGGGTGCTTTAGACCACTGTAGTACCAAGGCTCTAATGTTATTGCTAAGTGGGAAGGAAGGAAGGAAGGAAGGAAGGAAGGAAGGGAGGGAGGGAGGGAGGGAGGGAGGGAGGGAGGGAGGGAGGGAGGAAGGAAGGAAGGACTCTGGTGGCACAGAAGTTAGAATGCAGTATTACAGGCTTACTCTGGTGAGTGCCAGGTGTTCGATCCTGACCGGCTCAAAGTCGACTCTGCCTTCCATCCTTCCATGGTGAATAAAATGAGGACCCAGATTGTTGGGGGCAAGATACTCACTCTGTAAACCACTTAGAGAAGGCAGTAAAGCACTGTGAAGCGGTATATAAGTCTAAGGGCTATTGGTATTGTTAGTGCTATATAACTAAGTCCAGAGGACATCCATTCAATCCTTCTATGTGTGGATGTTGGTCTAAGAAGTTCTCGGCTCCCAGCCCTTATTCCAAAGTTCTTAAGTTTTCAGCAAGGATCTCCCAAGTGAGAAGCATGGAGATGTTTTGTTTTTCTCCTTGGTGGTGGAAGTCATCTCCAGGGACGTGTCAGGCGCCATGAAAAACACAATTTTTTCCCCGCAAGTATTGACTCTGTTCGTGACACAGGATGAATGCAGGGAAGTTATGGGACCTCCAGTGCCTGAAAGAGACTTGAGAGCAATAAACTAAGACCCTCTTCAAGACAGTCCCTTGTCCCTCCTCAAGACAGAATGGTCTACTGGGGAGTTTGCAAGTGGTGGGAAAAAGGAAGGAGAAAGAAGCTCATGTCTGCCAGTTTCATCCAGGAGGCTCTGAACAGGTGAGGAACACAAGGGACAAAGAGATCTCAGATCAACCTGGAGAAAAGGTGTGTGTGGGGGTGAGATTAATGCACGCACAACCCATTTCAAATGCACCTCAACACCAGACATTGTCTGGAACAAGGGTCTCCAACCTTGGCAACTTTAAGACTTGTGGACTTCAACTCCCAGCTTTGCTGGCTGAGGAACTCTGGGAGTTGAAGTCCACAAGTCTTAAAGTTGCCAAGGTTGGGGACCCCTAGTCTGGAAGATGCATAAACTGCATGTTGATGGTGAGAAGAAGCTCACCTCTTTTTCTTGCAAAGCTTTCTCTCCCCCTCCCCTCAAAGACAGAAAAGGTGTTTTTGTTGAGCAAGCTACACACATTGAGAAGAGACCTGGAAAGACTTTTATCTTAGTGGTGGAGTAGGGAAGACACAGAGGGGAAGACAAAGTCCAGAACATGAATGATGAAGGTCTGGAGGAGAAGAGGCTCAAGTGAGGCAAGGAGACAGTCTCTTTCGATCCCCTCCCCACCTTTCATCCCAGGTATTTTGGATGGATGACCTCCCACCCCCACCCCAAAGTCTTCCTCGGGAGGGAGGGAGGGAGAGAACCCTTTCCTCCTTTCTTTCTCCCTGAGGAAGACCAAGTGGCTGCATTTTCTCTGTAAGCAATGATGGGCTAATTTTCATCTTGGCTTTTGGTCCTTGTCCTGATGTCTATGGACCCAGCCCAATGGTGAGATTGTGGCCACAACAGGGATTGTGGACACCCAGGAATGGAGCTAGTTTTGTAAAGTGACTTAGGTTGTTGTGCATACAAAGGCTTGTGGGTGATCAGAGGCAGCTTGTAGCTCCATAATTACAAAGAGGTTATAATTCTTGACATATTTATTCTTTGCACAAACCCTCCCAAATGCTGGGACCAGAAATCTCCTCTTGTGGAAGTCTGTAGAGATTCTCAGTCCTCCAGTCCTGGTTGTCCCAAAGGTGCCTTTTCTGGAGGCAACTGGACTTCCATATTTTTTTCTTCTGAAGACGTTTTGCTTCTCATCCAAGAAGCTTCTTCAGCTCTGACTGGATGGTGGGGAAGGGAAGGGTTTATATTCCTTACAGAGAGCTGGAAATGTGCATCCTTTTAGAGGGTCCTTGAAGAATTTGCATCCTTTAGAGGGTCGTTGAAGGACCCTCTAAAAGGAGGCAAATGACCAGCTGTCTGCAAGGAATATACATCCTTCCATTCCCCTCCATCCAGTCAGAGCTGAAGAAGCTTCTTGGATGAGAACTGAAACGTCTTCCAAAAAACCCCCCCAAGAAAGTCCAGTTGTCTCCTGAAAAAGCACCTTTTGGTCTCCTCTTGTGGCTACAGGGAAATTGGCACAGCTATTAGGATTCCCTCATTCCCTTTGTCTCCATCACCTTCTTAACCCTTCATTTGGGGGAGGAAGATTGGGAAGGAATTCAGCTGTTCATTCCCAGCTGTGTCCATCATCCACCTTCCCCATTCTGCGTCTTTGCACAGAGGTGTGAAAGGGAGAATGCCAGGTCACACATGGCATCTGTGCCAAATGAGTTTTGGGGAGAGTTGACTGAAGGGACACGGCTGTAACGGACTGCCACTCCACTGAATCAAACCTATAAACATTCCCAGAATCATCTCTCCTACCTGATGATTTTTTTTTATTCATGCCAACCATTGTTTAATTATTCCAGTCCAGTGATTCACTCATCCTTGGGAAGCTTCTTCTTCATGCTGTGATTTGATACCAGAGGCTACTCCTAAATTCTGCTGCATTCCAGCGTTGTCCACCACAGCTTGATGGACCTCATGGAAGGTGGCAACCAGACCCTGCAGGTGACCGAGTTCTTGTTCCTGGGTTTCTCTGGCATGCCCAGAGGCCGCCCCTTCCTCTTTCTGCTGTTTCTGGCCATCTACCTCATCACCTTGGTGGCCAACTCAATGATAGTCATCTTGATCCAGCTGGATTCACGCCTCCACAGTCCCATGTACTATTTCCTCAGCCATCTGTCCTGCTTAGATATTTGCTATTCCTCAGTCACCCTCCCCACCCTCCTGGTGAACGTCCTGCGCCAGCAGCCCACCATCTCCTACCATGATTGCATGGCCCAGATGTTCTTCCTCATGACATGTGCTGGATCTGAATGCACGATGCTGACTGTGATGGCCTATGACCGCTATGCGGCCATCTGCAAACCTTTGCACTATTCTCAACTGATGAGTAAGGAGGTGCGAGTCCCTCTGGCTACAGCTTCATGGATCTTGGGCATGGTTGATTCTGCCATTCACACTGCCCTGGCCACCGATTTGGTCTTCTGTGGAGCCAGCCACATCCATCACATCTTCTGCGATGTCCCCCCACTCTTGAAAATTGCTTGCAGTGACACTTATGTCAATGAGATGGCTCTTCACATAGCAACTCTCTTTATAGGAGTCTGTCCTTTCATCCTTGTTGTCATTTCCTATGTCTACATCTTATCTACAATTCTGAAGATCCGTTCCAGCACTGGAAGGAGAAAGACCTTCTCCACCTGTGCTGCCCACTTGATTACGGTCATTGTCTACTTTGGGATGGCCAACTTGAATTACAACCATCCCAGTGTGGGATATTCCTTGGGGGTGGACACCCTGATCTCCACCCTGTATTGTGTTGCCACCCCCATGTTGAACCCCCTCATCTACAGCCTCCGAAACAAGGAGGTCAAAGGGGCCCTACAAAAACTTCTGAATGGTTAGGACATTGTATCCCAACCTTGGCAACTTGAAGATATGTGGACTTCAACTTCCAGAATCCCCCACCCATTTAAGATAGCTCTACTTATTTCTTTTTAATGGGACTTTATTGATGTCTCTGGCAGAGAACAATTTGGTGTTTGTCTTGTTGTGTTCAATATGGAGCACTGAGAACTCTTCCTTCAGAAAGAGTCTCAGGGAAGTTTCAGTTCAAGCAGAACCCTACACAACTGAAGCATCAACATGGGTTTCATTTCCAAGGTGCAACACCATGAAGTGCCCAGAGTCACTTTGTTGAGTTGGGCAACTATAGAATATGAATGAATGAATGAATGAATGAATGAATGAATGAATGAATGAATGAACACTGTGGGAAGGCTCATCCACCTGGAACCTCCAACGTTATAAAATTTAGGAACCTCCAATGTGTGGAAGCCCCTCCCCCTCCTAGAAGAATGAAATATTTTGGGGGGTATTAAAAAGGAAGAATGTTGTATTCCCCTAAAGGAGAAATGGAGAAACATGCTCTTCAAGACAGAAAGCAGACTCAGTCTTTCTTTCTTAATAGCCCCCAGCAGATACTTTGTGCACCCATTAAGAAAGATCGGGCCAGCTTATTCACAAAACAAAAGAACTTCACCTCCAGCAATGGGATTAAAAATTTACATTCTCCTCCATCCAAATTCTAAGAACAGGACATGACCATTCAGGACATAATAAGATTAACCCACTACCATTTAGCGCAGTGTTTCTCAATCTTGGTAGCTTGAAGATGGGTGGACTTCAACTCCCAGAATCCCCCAGCCAGCTGGCTGGGGGATTCTGGTAGTTGAAGTCCACCCATCTTCAAGCTTCCAAAATTGAGAAACACTGATTTAGCAGAAGACACAGAGCTCACTACATTGCACAATTTGCTAAGGGCATTTCACTCATTGCACAAAACACATACACACACAGAGAGAGAGCGCAGCATTTCAGGACCTGTATAAAAATCCTGGCACTCATCTAGCTAATTGTTCAGCTGACCCACAACTGCACTCAGTCTCTGCGTGTGGGTCTGTTCATCAATAACCTTTCTCTCTGATCAGCCTCCATCTTCTTCCCAACGTCTTTCTCCCAGCTTGGAGCTAAGCCAGGTGGATTTCCCTTCCAACAAATGATAATTGAGCTAACCAGTTAGATCACCAGATGCCGTTGTATTTTGCAGCTATAAATTTGCAGATCGGAAGTTATCTCATACGTTGACATGTAACTGGGAAATTAAACACCTTTGGATTTAAATACATTTAATGTTGCTTATGGTTTAATATGACACGTCCTCTGTTTGCCACAGGCAGGAGTGCAAGCTATGAGGATAAGAGGCCAGGTGGTCTGCTTCCCACCAGGTGCATTGATCAAGAATTTGGGGTGGGGGGCTGAGCTCCAGTCCAAGTTGGGGAAAGAAAGACAGACACAAGAGGTTAAACAGAGCTTTCCATAGTTTCACATCCAACATTCAGAGATCGTCTTCTTTTAAGGACCCCATAATCCCTTGTGGGGCGGAATCTGGGCAACTGCATGGAGCTGAGTGTTTACTGGCCAGATGCCCTTCCTGTCACCAATGAGGAGTTTTCTTTTCAGCAGATCTATTCTCATTGTGCCCAGAGAGAGGAATATCTGCCTCTACCAAGGATTGAACTCACAGCCTCCTGAGTGTGAGGGGAGAGCTCCACCTCTAGGCCACCGCAACACCCTACCCAACATTCAGAGATGCCAGAGACTTATTTTGGGGCACCTGCTCAAAAGCAGAAGAGCAGCACCCATGGGGAGGCTGTGATAGAGGTACAAGGATCGTCACTTTTTTTTTCAGTGCCATTGCAACTTTGGTTGCTAAACAAAAGGTTATAAGTGAAGGACAACCTGTTTGAACAGAACTAATCTCCATCCTTCTACGCCCATGGAGCTTTCATGCCTGTTTTCTCTTGATCCATGAGCGATTTAGCCAAGATGGAATTAGGAGTCCAGGAAAGATTGGGCAGGGGGAGATTTTGGGGATCCACTGACGGAGATTAAACAAACCAGTTGCAGCCCGAATAGGTTCAGAGATCACCGCGTGACCAGAAGAGCAGAAGGACAGATCCTGGCGATGTACAATTGCTCGAGGAAGGAGAAGCATCTGATTGTTCCATGCAAGAGGAGACAAGTCTTCTCCACTTCTTCTACCTCGGGGCAGGGTTGTGGTCTGTTGTGTCACACAGCAAGTAAGGGTACTGGAGAAGCGAGGGATGGGTGCCTGCCGTTGGGCAGAACTTCATGGAAGGAGCTTCACATAGTTAGCAGGGAATAAGCCAACTCTGCCACGACAAGATCCACGCCACCAGCCCTCATCCACCTGCTCGATGGATGTGATGGTCTCTCCAGGGTCAAAGGAAATCTCATCATCCCCCTCTGGGAAAAAAAACGGAGAGGGTCATAACTAGCAGGCAACACTTGTTCAGACCAAGGGTAAGTATCTTCCTGACATTTAGAACAATCAATCAGTGGGATGGCTTCTTTCCAGAAGTTGTAAATGCTCCATCACTGGAGGTTTTCAAGAAGAAATTGGACAACCAATGGCAAAGTGTCTCCTGACTGAGCAAGGGGTTGGACTAGAAGACCTCCAAGGTCCCTTCCAACTCTGTTAGTCCTCACCCGTCACAATCACCTCCATGTGCTTCCCAGCCCCCATTATCCAGAAGCATTGACCCACCTCCTTGATAGTCATAGAGGGCCAGAGCAGAGAGACTTCCTTCATTCACATCATATATATGCTCTTCAACACCTGAAAAAGAAAATTGTAGAGGTCGGGCAGGGGTGAAATCCAGCAGATTCTGACAGGTTCTGGAGAACCGGTAGCAGAAATTTTGAGCAGTTCGGAGAACCAGCAAATACCACCTCTGGCTGGCCCCAGAGTGGGGAGGGAATGGAGATTTTGCAGTATACTTCCCCCAGGAGTGGGGAGGGAATGGGCCGAGGTGGCGCAGTGGTTAGGGTGCAGTACTGCAGCTACTTCAGCTGACTGCTAGTTCAGCAGATCAGCGGATCAAATCTCACCGGCTCAAGGTTGACTCAGCCTTCCATCCTTCCGAGGTGGGTAAAATGAGGACCCAGATTGTTGTGGGGCAATATGCTATTTAGTATACTGTCTGGTGTAAGCCGCCCAGAGTCCTCGGAGAGTGGGCGGCATAGAAATATGAATAATAAATAAAATAATAAATAAATTTTGCAGTATCCTTCCCCTGCCACGCCCACCAAGCCACGCCCACAGAACCGGTAGTAAAAAAAAAATTGGATTTCCCCACTGAGGTGGGGTATCTTATTATGACCATCGTCTGACTGATCCTGCCTCAACTGCTCCCATGCTCCATGGTGCAAGAATTTAAATCAAGGCACATCTATCACAGAGGGATATATTCCAAGAGGGATCTTGGAGTCTTGGTGGACAATATGAGCCAGAAGTGTCATACAGCTTCCAAAAAAAGACAATGCAATTCTAGGCTTCATCAACAGAGAGATAGAATCAAGATCACGTAGAGTGTTGATACCACTTTACAAGGCCTTGGTAAGGCCACGCTTGGAATATTGCATCCAGTTTTGGTCGCCACAATGTAAAAAAGATGTGGAGACTCTAGAAAGAGTGCAGAGAAGAGCAACAAAGATGATTAGGAGACTGGACTGGAGGCTAAAACATATGATGAACGGTTGCAGGAACTGGGTATGTCTAGTTTAATGAAAAGAAGGACCAGGGGAGACATGATAGCAGCCTTCCAATATCTCAGGGGCTGCCACAAAGAAAAGGGAGTCAAGCTATTCTCCAAAGCACCTGAAGGCAGGACAAGAAGCAACGGATGGAAACTCATCAAGGAGAGAAGCAACCTAGAACTAAGGAGAAATTTCCTGATAGTTAGAACAATTAACCAGTGGAACTCCTTGACTCCAGAAGTTGTGGGTGCTCCAATACTGGAGGTTTTTAAGAAGCAACTGGACAACCACTTGTCTGGAATGGTAGAGGGTTTCCTGCCTGAGCAGGGGATCGGACTAGATGACCTCCAAGGTCCCTTCCAACACTGTAACTCTCTTAATCTGCTACCAACAATGCTTCAAACTGTTGGATAACTTACCCCTTCCCTTCCTACTCTTACCCTTGCAAAGCTTTTTTTGTGATGTTCAAAGGGAATTTGTCTTCCTGTTGTTTAATTATTCTGTGTCCTGCATTCTGAGGGAACTGGGAAGCTCTTAAAAGGGGACCTGGCTGGGGAACTGGGATCATTCTTCCAAACGCAGTCTCATTCTCAAATCCAACATATTTATTTATTAAGCTTTATATGACCGCCCAGCTCACGGTGATTGTAGATGGCTTACAGAAATAAAATCTCCAATATAAACCCTCATCCACAGGTGACAACAATCAAACCAACCACTTGATGGGCTCCATATCATTCTTTGGGGTTCCCTGGACCGCTTGGAAAACCAGGGTTTTCAGGGCCTTTGGAAAGACTGGTGGGACCAGTCTTACCTCCGCAGGGATGATGTTCCACAGGAAGGGAGCCACCACAGAGAAGGCCCTGCTTTTTGATCCCACCAGATGGACCTCCTTAAGAGAGGGAACTTGTAACACACCCTATGTTCTGAAGTGACCTTCTCTACCCCAGCTTTTATTAAGCAACAACCAGCACGTACTACACATTTACGTCAAGACTTGAGTCCCCAGCATGAAGGTAAAGTTCAACCTACTCAAGCAACTCGCTCTGCTTCTCTCACCTGAAGAAGTCATTCCTCCAGGCTGGCCGCTGCAGAGTTCCTCATAATCCTGGTCCCCCTCAGCACCATCATCTTTGGAGACGTCCTTGTGGTCTGGCATTTCCTCATAATCCCCCCCTTCGTCGTCAGCTAAGGGAGGAGGTTCCTCGTAGTCCACGTGTCCAACCACCTCCTCATAGTCACCTCCGTCCTCGATGCTTTCTGTATAGATGGGCTGCTCCGGTTCCTGGTGGCCAGGAGGTGGGAGAGGAAGCTCTCTGGGGTCACCATGAAAGTCCAGGCTCCGTGGGGGAAGAACAGGGGGCTCCTCCTCTTCCTCTTCTTCCTGGGAAAAGAAGAACCACGTCCCTCAACAAACTCGCTTCCTATCAAGGGTTATTTTTTGCTGGAGGAACCAGAATTTGACTAGATGGGACACCCACCTAGGACAACCGTTCGTTCATAAAGACAGACAGCAATAGTCCACACTATATGATACCGGTAATCCTTGACTTATGACCATAAATTGAGAAGGAGGAGGGGGCAGGAGGAAGAGGAGGAGGAGGAAGAGGAGGAAGAGGAAGAGGAAGAGAAAGAGGAGGAGGAGGAGGAGGAGGTCGTCTGTAGGGTCCTGGGTGGTCTCTGAATTTGATTATTTTCTTGCAGATATTTCATGACCCAACTAAGTAACATCACTGGTGCCCTGATGATGTTACCTAGTTGGGTCACGAAATGTCTGCAAGAAAACAGCCAAGCCCAGAGAGCACCAGGGGGCCCTCAGATGCACAGAAGCTGCCTGGAAACCAAGGGCTCCGTAAGCTGGTTCCCCTTGATGGCAGCAACATCGTACCCTTGAATTCACATTCAGACATTACTCATTCGGTCTCCCTACCTGGTGTTGGGGAGGCAGAGGGGGCAGGCTGCCCTTTCGGGGGGTCTGTCCAGGCACTGACGGAGGGCTCCGATCTCGCTTCAATTCCTTAAAAGAGGAAAACATCCAGCAATTTCTTCCTGCAGACCAACCTTTCTTTGATTTTCCTCCATTGCAGAAGAAATTGCCAACACAAAGACTACTAAGTGCCCATGTGTCTCCCAAAGAAACACTTCCATCCCCATGAAGAGGGGGACGACTCTGATAAGGTCCTTCAGGGTAGAGTCTTCTGGAATTTCTTGGCCTCAACTACTCCCTTAGTTGGCTTAGTATCCTAGTATTTGAGGGGCTGCCACAAATACTTATATTCCAAAGCACCTGAGGGTATAGGACAAGAAACAACAGATGGAAACTCATCAAGGAGAGAAGCAACCTGGAATTAAGGAGAACCTTCCTAACAGCGAGAACAATTAACCAGTGGAACAGCTTGCCACCAGAAGTTGTGGGTGCTCCATCACTGGAAGTTTTTAAGAAGAGACTGGACAGCCACTTGACTGAAATGGTCTAGGGTCTCCTGCTTGAGCAGGGGGCTGGACTAGAAGACCTCCAAGGTCCCTTCTAGCTTCATTCTGATTGGCTGAAGAGTATGGGTAGTCTTCAAGTTGCAACAATTCATATAGTGTCCGTTTGAAGATGCAGCAGCACTGGAACAAAATGACTTGTGATTATTTTTCACACTGATGACTGTTGCAGTTAACATGAATGTTTCATTATCAAAATTCAGCCGCTTGACAACTGACTCATATTTATGACATATGGGTTGTGTGGGTGCTGTGATTCCTTCTTGCGACCTTCTGATCAACAAAGTCAACTGGGAAGCCAGATTCACTTAACAACCGTGTTACTAAGTTAACAACTGCCGGGATTCACTTAACAAGTGTGGCAAGAAAAGTCGTAAAATGAGGCAAAACTCACTAAACAGCTGTCTCGCTTAGCAACAGAAATTTTGGCCTTAATCGTGGCCAAAGTCATGGACTGCCTGTACACACATGGAGTGAAGGTGAAGACACATGGCTAACTGGCCCCAGAGGCATGGAAATCAGCTCCACTTCTGTGAAGTTGTGATAACACTTAGATATAATCCTAAACCAAGAAGGACTTAACCCCAGAGATTGACTCTAAACCTGGTTTGAGTTGAATGATGGAGAACCTACCTAGTCAAGACTCAAGATCCTCACCTTTGACTTCTCTTGGGTTTCCTGAAGTTCCCGGGCCTGGCGACGGGTTCGTTCTTCCTCTGCCTTCTTCTTGTTCTCTTCCTCTGCAGTCTTGGCCATGTTTTCAAAACGTTGTCTCAAGTTACCCATCCCAGCAGAAGCTGTTTCCAAAGAGAAGGTCAGTAGAGGGGCTTCAGGATTGTGAGAAGAAGCTTCCTCCATCTCCAATCAAAAGAAGACATGGAACTGTCCCTGGTGGGATTGTGTAGGTCCTCTGATTGACTGGTCTTCAGAAAAGTGCTATGAAACATCCAGTCACTCCTTAAACCAAGAGTGTCCTGTCCAACCATGGCCACTTTAAGACCGGTGGACTTCAACTCCCAGAATTGATTCCACATTCCACATCCGTGTACGTCTTGCCAGGGATGAGAAAAGGGCATTTTTTGCTCTCTGTGAGATCTTTCCCTTCTTCCCAGGTGCCCATGGATGAACTTACCAGCTTCTACAGGTTTTGTCTTCTGATATGAAGAAACGGGAGCTTCCATTTCACCAAAACCAGCAGCACTCTGCAAGAGAAGTCAAGGGAAACCGATAAAAGACAATGTTTGTAGCCCAGGGTGGGTGCTGTCTGGGCTTGGTGGTTTTCTTGCAGATATTTCATGACCCAACTAGGTAACCTCATCCATGCTAGAAGAAAGGCAGAGGAGGAGGAGGAGGAGGAGGAGGAGGAGGAGGAGGAGGAGGAGGAGGAGGAGGAGGAGGAGGAGGAGGAGGAGGAGGAGGAGGACTGTGGGACCCTTGATGCTCTCTGAGCTTGGTTGTTGTCTTGAAGACATTTCATAACCCATCTATGGAACATCATCAGTGGTTTCCCCACTCACTTCTAGCACTGAAGCTGAAGTCCACATATCTTCAAGTTGTTCAGGTAGGCAAACTAATCTAGGTTTATTACACCCATTCCTGATTCATCCTCTCCCTGAAAAACCTGAAGATTTTTTTTCCTTTTAGGTCAGGTTGGAAATGGCTACAATGCAGCTTAATGGCACCGCTTTAAGAATGGAACAACCATGTTAGTTGCAGAGGGTCCAAAAAAGCCAACATGGAGCTCAATCACAGACCCACAGATTTCCCACCCATCCCCCTCATATTTTACATGGACCCCGGGCAAGACAGACATACAATAAGCAGTGGGGCTTCCACCATGCAGAAGTGGACAACATCTCAACATTCTTTTACTTCCCTGTGTATCTCCAGGGTAGCATAAGTCCATCACCAGAGGATAGAAGGAAGTTATGGACACCCTGGCTCTAATGAATGAGAGTTGTAGTCCAACATATCTGCAGGGAAAAAGATTGGAGAAGCTTCTCCTGAAGCCTTGATATCAGGAGAATAAAATCAAGCAGTGGGGCCAGAATGAGAAGCATTCGTGGTAGAGAATTTGAGTGGGCTAATGTCCTCCTCAGCATCTTCTCCCAACCATCAAGACCCAGTTGAGGCCACCCCCAGGTTCAACCTCCATTTACCTTGTCCACTCTGTCTTTCTGCACCCCATAACGGCCTCCAAAGCCTTGAGAATGATCTGCAATAGAGAAAACAGCCAACTTTTTATGGAAGGTAGAAGCATGAATTGATCTCAGGAATCCAAGCTTAAGATCCTTCCTTCTCAGTTATCTGTGCAGCTGTCCTAAAAGGCTTGATGCTGCATTGAAAGAGTTATCCCAAAGGTCCTTTTTCCAATAGGCAACTGGACTTCCTTGGGGTTTTTTTTTACTTGAAAATGTTTCGCTTTTCATCTAAGAAACTTCTTTGGTTCTTCAGAACGAAGGAGAATTGAAGAGGCTGCTTGGGTGAGAAGGGAAACAGTTTCAATGAAAAAACCAAGGAAGTCCAGTTGCCTTTTGGAAAAAGCTGCTTTGGGGCAACATGACCTAGACAATGGAGAACCTTGAAAGAGTTGACCCTGGGTCCTATGATGAAGCTGATGCTTTAAACCAGGGGTCTGCAACCTTAAAACACTCAAAGAGCCATTTGGAGCCGTTTCCCACAGAAAAGAAAACTCCGGGAGCCACAAAACCCTTCCCGTGCCTGACTATTTCTCGAGCGGCCACAAAACCAGCATATGTAGTTGAATTAAACGTTCTGTTTTCTTCTGAAACTTTTCTTTTCTTGGATTTATCCATGGTTGCCCTACCGGGGGTTGAAAAGCTCAATAAATCGCATGTAAGTGTCACACATTGGCAGCTGTGAGTGATATTTTGAGTGACAGGGAGCCGCAGCAGAGGGGTGAAAGAGCCACATGTGGCTCCAGAGCAGCAGGTTTTCTGACCCCTGATTTAAACCCTAGTGACCACCTAAGAAATACAACCCTATGATGCATGTCGACACACCAAGACCACTTCGCACAATTAAAATTCGACTGGAGACTTCATAATACATCCCATCTCCTTCTCTAATCCCACCTAGGACTCATGGGTTTGAACCAGGGGTGAAATGCTCCCGGTTCGGACCAGATCACCTGATCCGGTAGCGATGGAGGCGGGTGGTTCAGAAAACCACCTCTTTGGCAGAAAAAAATGCTTTTAAAAGTAAAAAAAAAAGCCTTTGATGATCGCGCGGCTCAGCTGGGATCCTCAGAGGCTTTTAAAAGCATTTTTTCTACAACCTCTTCAGAGGTTGTAGAAAAAATGCTTTTAAAAGCCTCTGAGGATCCCAGCTGAGTTGCCTGTTCGGCAGAGGCTTTTTTTCTTTTAAATGCCTCTGACGATCAGGCAACTCAGCTGGGATCGTCAGAGCCTTTTGAAAGCATTTTTTACAACCTCTTCGCCGAAGAGATTGTAGAAAAAATGGTTTTAAAAGTTAAAAAAAATTGGCCACACCCACCCAGTCACATTACCCCACCACCACCAAGCCACGCCCAGAGAACCGGTAGTAACAAATTTTAGATTTCAGCCCTGGTTTGAACTTCTCCTTAGGTATCCAACTCAGGTTGGATTGAGGGTGATTGAGTCTTTCTGTACCACCACTGTCTTGCCTAAACTGGCTGTACAGATACAGCAGATTTCAGAAAGGCAGAGACACAACTAAGGTGGCTAGAATTGGGGTTCTGGTGGAGTTCTGCGGGTGCCACCTGCCTCTTTGTAGTAGATGCAAATAGCAGAATAACAGAGTTGGGAAAAAAAACCTTAGAAGTCTAGTTCAACCCTCTGCTTAAACAGGAAACCCTATACCATCCTGGTCAAATGATGGTCCAATCTATTTTGGGAAACCTCCAGTGATGGAGCACCCACAACTCCTGAAGGCAAGCTGTTCCACTGGTTAATTGTTCTCACTGTCAGGAATTTTCTCCTTAGTTCTAGGTTGCTTCTCTCCTTGGTTAGTTTCCACCTGTTGCTTCTTGTCCTGCCCTCAGGTGCTTTGGAGACTAGGTTGGCCTCAACTATACACAGCTGAGAAACTAGGAGAACAACAGGACCTTTGAAAATAATAAAGGGTGCCAAAAATCTGTTACCCTTGATTGTCCCCTGTATGGCAGAAATACAACCACTCTTTCAGGTTTTGGAGCCTCAAAGTTCTTGAGAAGAACCTGGAAGCTTGAACTTGCAAAAGAAGAACTGGAGCTTGTGATTCTTAACTAAAAGATTTCAGAACATGGTCTCTATGTTGTATATGTATGCTCTTCTAAGAGATTGCCCAGCCCTATCTCCTTCCACAAACCTGTTTGAGATTCATGGGGCTTGACTTCTTCCTTGTGGGCCCATCCCAAGGCAGACTTGTCTTGGCGGTCCTTCTGCACGCCATACTTCCCACCAAATCCAACGGCATGATCTGCAATAAAAGAACATGAGGTTCTTCAGAAAGCTATGAGAGGCTAATTAAGATGAACCAAGGTTGACTTGCAGCTTCCAGACCTGTCTGGGATTCATGGGGCTTGACTTCCTCCTTGTGGGCCCATCCCAAAGCAGACTTGTCTTGGCGGTCCTTCTGCACGCCATACTTCCCACCAAATCCAATGGCATGATCTGGAATGAGAAGACGCAACATTTTTCAGAAAGACAAAGAGGCACGAGAGGTTGTTTGAGAAGAAACAAATGGACTTGCAACTCCCAGGGAGAGAACACAAAACAAATCAGACATTTTTGATGGATAGATAGAATCACAAAGTCAACAGACTGCCTGACTTGGCACAACCTAATAAGCCACTCACAAATGCAAAGCTTAACCTGTGTAAGTGGAGCCACTAAATCTTCAACTAACCTGGCTGCGTGCCCATAGTCAGTATGTTGTGAGGTCCATGGTGCTCTCTGATCTTGGTTGTATTCTTGCAGATCTTTCATGACCCAACTAGGTAACATCATCAATGCTAGAAGGGACTGAGTTTGCAGAGAGGAGGGGGAGGGGGAGGAGGAGCAGGAGGAGGAGGGTGTGGTCCATAGTGCTCTCTGAACCGGTTTGAATTCTTGCAGATATTTCATGACCCAACTAAGTAATTTCATCAGTGTTAGAAGGAAAGGGGTTTGAGGAGTGCAGGAGGAGGATGAGAAGGAGAAGAGGAAAAGGAAAAAGGAAAGAAAAGGAATGAAGGAGAGAAGGAGGAGGAGGAGGAGGAGTCCTTGGTGGTCTCTAAGCTTGGTTGTTTTACTTGCAGACATTTCATGACCCAACTAGGTAACACCATCGATGATAATGAAGAGGATAGTCCTGATGATGTTACCTAGTTGGGTCATGAAACGTTTGCAAGGAATCCACCAAGCTCAGGGACCACCAAGGACTCCACAGTTCAATCCTGAACTACAAATATTCTCTTCTCTTGGAGCCAATATATTGCAAGGTGAGTAGGTTCTAAAGTTTTCTAAGTCTTTCTTTGTGACTTAGGCTGATCATTAGCTCTCAACCAAAGCTATCTCCCCATTTTCATAGGGGGAAAATGGACTTGCCGCTCCCAGTCCAAGTTCCAAAGACAGATGGACTTCTTTCTCTGGGAGCTCTGGGAGCTTGAAGTGGAGGTTGGACAGCCGTCTGTCTGGGATCCTTAAATTTCTGTTCCTATCCTGAGCCAATTCTAGAGTTCATGTTCATGATCTGAGGAGCTCCTCATGTAGCAGACTAATGGGGATGAAAAGCAACCCCGTGTACATATTGGCCCGAAGCAAGAGATGGGCCAGCCAAACTAAAGGACCATCAGGCCACAGCTTCAACCCATCCGTCTTTTCTACAGACCTGTCTGGGATTCGTGGGGCTTCACCTCCTCCCTGTGGGCCCATCCCAAGGCAGACTTGTCTTGGCGGTCCTTCTGCACACCATACTTCCCACCAAATCCAACAGCATGGTCTGGAATGGGAGAACACAATGTTTTTCAGAAAGCCATGAGAGATTTAATTGAGATGAACCAAGGTTGACTTGCAGCTTCCAAACCTGTTTGAGATTCATGGGGCTTGACTTCTTCCTTGTGGGCCCATCCCAAGGCAGACTTGTCTTGACGGTCCTTCTGCACGCCATACTTCCCACCAAATCCAACGGCATAGTCTGAAGCGGGAGAACACAACTTTCTTCAGAAGGTCAATCCCATGGATGGTCTGAAAATCTACGGAGATCCTCGGTCATCCAGGTCATGGGTTGTCCCGAAGGTGCTTTTCTTCAAGAGGCACCTGGACCTTCTTGTTTTTCTTTGAAGATGTTTCACTGAGAAATCCAAGAAGTTTCTTCCGTTCCAACTGAATGGTGGTGGTGCGGGGAAATGGAAGGAGTATTCTCAGAGAGAATACTAATGACCAGACGACTGCAAGGAATATAAATCCTTCCATTCCCCACCATTCAGTCAGAACGGAAGAAGCTTCTTGGATGAGAAGTGACACCTCTTTAAGAAAAAACCAGGAAGTTCAGTTGACTTTTGAAAAAGCATCTTTGGGGTGGTCTGAAAAGTTGGCATTTTAAAAACCCACTCATTTCATTCTCAGGGTCCAAGGAGACTGAGCACCAGAATAGGAATCTGGGGTGCCTCACCCCTGGGAAGAGATTGATGCATCAGTGAAAGTGAATGGGTATCCTTGGGGCCCTTTTACTGGGGAATGTGCTGTGGGAACTGGAGAAAGCATCCGGGGGCAGAGGGGGGAGAATGCCCAGAAACCTGGGGGGTGGATTGTCTCATAACTTACCTTTTTGGGAGGTGTGTATTTCTACCTCTCCCTTGTAGTCAAACCCAAGTGCAGACTGCAGGGAAGGGAAAGCAAGAGACGTTATACAGATATCCCCCACCCCTCAGAATAATTATATCCGATAATTGTATTGATCACTTGGAATCGACAACCTCCCATCGACCCGTGCGCTCCCACAGAGAGGGCCTCCTCGGGGTGCCATCAGCCAAAAAATGTAGGCTGGTGACCCCCAGGGGGAGGGCCTTCTCTGTGGGGGCACCTACCCTATGGAACCAGCTGCCCCCAGAGATAAGGAGAATCCAAGACCTCAGTGCCTTCCGCCGTGCCCTTAAAACTTTCTCTTTTCAACAAGCCGGGCTTAATTTTAATTTTAATTGGTTTGTCATTTTAAACTGGGGCCAAATTAATATATATTCTTTTAATTGTTTTTAATGTTTGTATTGTATGTTTTTATCTGGCTGTACACCGCCCTGAGTCCCTTGGGAGAAGGTGCAGTATATAAATTTGAAATAAAATAAAATAAAAAATAAATAACTTGATGGGTCAAAATAATCAACCATACAGTAGCTTGCCCTCAATGTATTTGTTGTTTTTTGTATTGTAAACTAGCCAGAGTCCCTTAGTGAGATGGGCAGGGTATAAATTTGATTATAAATAAATAATGTTGAGTGGGAAGAAAATAAAATGGGGAGGGAGGGTAGCAAGGGGGCTGGAAAAGAAATAAAGTTACATTCAATTATTTGGGCTGTTGGGAGTCACCTAATGTCAGGAGGAGGAGGAGGAGGAGGACAACTGTGGGGTTTTCTTTGTGTTTTCTTCCAGATGTTTCATGATCCAACTAAAAATATCATCAGTGCTAGAAGGGAGTGGTGTTTGTGAGGAGGAGGAGGGGGGAATCTGAGCCCACAGAAGGAATGGAAGAGACCCTCCCTAGTATCTTCCACCATAAAGGAGAGGGGGAAAGATGTATAGTACTTTCAGACTTGCAAGATTCTGTTACTATAAGTTTACCATAGTATTAGCACCCATGGTGGTGCTTCTTGCCTGAGCTACACTAAAGGGCTGACCTCTAACTTCCAAAGAAAGCCTCTGTCAACTTGCAAAGCTTTCAAGTTGCCATGAGCAGGAGGGAGGGAGAACTGATGGAGCTGATTGACTTCTCTCACTGAAACTACATTCCACAGATGCCTTTCTACCGGCAATCAGTAGGAGAGCTTTGGATTTCACAGCCAGCCAAAGTGGCTAATTGGAGAATGTGATTTATGACACGGACAGGGAGGAGGGGAGAGACAGGGTCATGGGGGAACATAAATCTACGTGGGATTAGTTCTAACTGCATCTGAATATTGCCGAAATGGTGCTCCTAATTGGGATGGGGCCCATGAATTAATTAGGGCATCTTTCGGAAACTTCACAGCCCCGTTTCTGACTGCAACACCAAAGAACATTGACTGCAAAATTCCATTGAGTCAAATGCATTTAAAGAAGTTAAACCATCCAACCTCATCACTTCTCTTTCACGCTAGAATAAGTATTATAACCAAAATAGTAGGCAGAACAGTAATCAAACGGCTCCAACCTTATCTGCTCGGTCCTTCTGAATGCCATACTTTCCACCGAATCCCTTGGCTGCGTCCGTCTGGGAAGAGTGCATGCCAATCTCGGCCACATATTCGTGGCCCAGGGCACTCTGGAGAACCAAGAAAAACCAGGGTTATCTCCTGGCACGCTTGTTATTTGGATTAAGTTCTCCAGAAGGTCAAGCTGCCTTGCAGAAGAGCAGCTGTGCGAAAGACCAAGTGGAGATCAGTTGAGAACTTCAAAAAAGAAGGGGGGAAAAAGAACAGAGCCCCACATCAAGATTGTACCTTGTCCATACGATCCTTCTCGGTTCCAAACTTGCCCCCGTAGCCATAGGAAGCTTTGGGTGCCGTCTCCAGCTCCTTCTTCTTGAGAACTTCATGTTCCTCAGATACCTTGCTTCTGAGCTGGTGGATGCTGAAAAGAGACATCAAATACGTAGCAAATTTGGAGAGGAGGAGGAGGAGAACTGTCAGTGCTCATAGATGGTTGCTCATAGATGGCTCGTGATGCAACTAGGTAACATCATCAGTCCAAGAGGGATTTATTGAATGGATGAGAAGGAGCTGAGAAGGTTCTTGTGGGGTTCTTGATGCTCTTTGATCTTGGTTGTTTTCTTGTAGACATTTCACGACCCAATTATGGAACATCATCAGTGCCAAGGAATATGGAGTGTTCGCCACTCACACTGATGGTGCTACCTAATTTGGGTCAGGAAACAGCCACAAGAAAACAACCAAGCTCAGAGAGCACCAAGGACCCCTGTAATTCCTATCTTAGCTAACTTTGATTAATTTTAATGTTTAACATTTAACAATGTTTTATATTGTCATTTTTATACGATTGTCTGCCGCCTGGAATCTCCTCTTGATAGCGAGATGGGCAGTGTATAAATTTAATCAATAAGTAAATAAAATAAGTCAGGAGAAAGCTCAGCGGAGATATTGAAAGAAGAGAAACGGTCACCAAATGCGAGGGCTATGATGTCCTCCAAGATGAAGAAAAGCAGCACTTCTGCCTTTCTCCAAATAAATACATACACAAAAGTTGTCTGAAAAAGAGGAAGGACCTCACTTCCTCAGTTTTTGGAGAACAGAACAAGGAAGCAACATAAATTGTGGGTCACAGGATTCCATTCATGCTGAAGAACTTCACGGTCAAGTTGAAGCACAGCCTGTTCTCCCTGGAGGAACCCCACCAGGTTCTCCAACTTAGTGCCTTCGGGGTTGGATTGCAAATTCAATGCTTGGGGAAGATGGGTATTGTTATCCAATGACTCTGGACAGGAAAGGGCAGGATAAAGTCTTGTGCAAGGATCTGAGCTATGAGTCTTCAAATATGTGGAACAGGATGGAGAATAAGAACTTCTGAAGTTCTTCTTTCTCCTTCTAATGGTTCCTGGTCCCCAAATTCAGAGACTGGGGTGGGGAACTGTGCCCCAAAATAACACTTTTCATTTGTTGACATGAGCTCCATTGATCAAAGTCAACAAAGTCACTAGTCCTCTTAGTATTTCTCAATCTTGGTAGCTTGAAGATGGGTGGACTTCAACTCCCAGAATTCCTCAGCTGGCTGGGGAATTCTGGGGATTGAAGTCCACCCATCTTCAGGCTACCAAGATTGAGAAACACTGTTCGAAGACTCCTCGGCCCCAGCTCCCACTAATAGCTCGGTCTTTCTCTGTAGTTGGCCTTCAAAAGTCTTGGCCAACATTTGGGTGAGGACACCACTTCCTTTCCCTGAGAGAAGCAAACACTGCTATGGTAACCACCAAGAGAAGAAGTCCGACTAGAGCCTCAGTCCAGCTCCCCTCCCTCCTTCCAACATGTGTGAGACACTAAAGCCCTCCTTTCAACATGGCTCTGGGCTCCATTATGGTCATACCTCGAGGACCGGGGCCAAGGGTTTGGGGGGAGGGTCACAGGCCTACTTTTGACCCAGCAGAAGTTGAGGTCTAGATGAAAGAGAAGACGGGATGGAGAAGCCACTCACTTGATGTGTTCTGCACGGCCAGAGCCTTCGATGGTCTTAGCCCCCCACCTCTGCTCCTTCTCTGAAATGTCGTTCTGTCAACAAGAGGAGATAAGAAGTTACACCTGGTGGGACTCAGGAGAAGGTGTCCTGGTGCCCATTCATGGAACATCATCTCCATGATGATGAGGTCAGGTTGCCTCCATCTCCACCAACCTTCTGGAAGTCCTTTAAAATGGGCTATGTATGTGCCTACATATCGATCTAAAGCCAGACATATCTCTGTTAGGTATACTACCAGAAAAGCATGACAAAGGGGTTGCATATTTAATATTACATGTGTTGATGGCAGCAAGAATTGTATTTGCACAGTATTGGAAAAATGAGGAAATTCCTGCAGATGAAAACATAATTTAAAAAATATTAGACTGTGCAGAAATGGAATAGGCTAACGTTAAAGATAAAGGATGAAGAAGATACAGAATATTTTTTTAAAACATGGGATTTGTTTTAGACAATAAAGGTAGTAATTAGAAGTTGGTGGTGTACCACTATCTACAAGTAAATATTGTTACTATTATTGATATTATGTATAAGTAAATAAAATGTTTATTAAGCATTCGTTTATGTTAAAGAAAAATGTACAAATAAAATTTATGAAACGGGCTATGCCTGCAGCCTTGGGGATCTCCAGGGACTGAAGAACTGATAAGATGGCTACAATCAGTGGTGGGATTCAGCCAGTTCAGGACGATTCAGGCGAACCAGTTGTTAAATTGCTGGCTGGCCCCGCCCCTCCCTTCCCTGCCCTGCCCCGCCCCTTCCAGGCGTCCTCATGCGCCTTATTTTGGCTCCCAGGAAAGTGCAGGGAGGCCTACTAGGCCCAAAATGGGGCGTGGGGAGGAGATAAGCAAATAAGCAAATAGACAAATAGACAAATAGACAAATAGACAAATAGAGAAATACAGAAATACAGAAATACAGAAATACAGAAATAAATAGACAAATAGACAAATAGACAAATAGAGAAATAGAGAAATAGAGAAATAAATAGAGAAATAGAGAAATAGAGAAATAAATAGACAAATAGACAAATAGACAAATAGAGAAATAGAGAAATAAATAGACAAATAGAGAAATAGAGAAATAGACAAATAGACAAATAGACAAATAGACAAATAGACAAATAGAGAAATAAATAGAGAAATAGAGAAATAAATAGACAAATAGACAAATAGAGAAATAGAGAAATAGAGAAATAAATAGACAAATAGACAAATAAACAAATAGAGAAATAGAGAAATAAATAGACAAATAGACAAATAAACAAATAGAGAAATAGAGAAATAGAGAAATAGAGAAATAGAGAAATAGAGAAATAAATAGACAAATAGACAAATAAACAAATAGAGAAATAGAGAAATAAACAAATAAACAAATAGACAAATAGAAAAATAGACAAATAGACAAATAGACAAATAGACAAATAAACAACTTTTCTAAAGTTCCTCCTCGTTTCTCGTTTTTTCGGTCCCTCGTCTCTATTGGGGAAGGGGGGATGACCTAAGAGTTTTCCCTGCACTGTCGCGATGAGCATCTTGGCTTCCTTGAACTGCGCCCTTATAGGACCCCCCTTTCTGCCGCCTCAGAAGCAGCTGTGCCCATCCCTGTGGGAGCCAGGCAGAGCCCCATGGGTCTGGAGCTCCTGAACCACGATCGGCCTGGGAGCACAGAGGACTTACCACAAAATCCGGATCGGTGTCCCAATCATCTCCTTCGGTCTCCACCTTTGCAGCCACGTTGTGGCCCGCCACAGCTTTCCACATCTGGGAGAAGAGAGAAAAGAAAAAAGGAAGGAAGGAAGGAAGGAAGGAAGGAAGGAAGGAAGGAAGGAAGGAAGGAAGGAAGGAAGGAAGGAAGGAAGGAAGAAGATAGGGAGAAGGGGAAGGGAAGGGAAGGGAAGGGAAGGAAGGAAGGAAGAAGATAGGGAGAAGGGGAAGGGGAAGGGGAAGGGGAGGGGAAGGGAAGGGAAGGAAGGAAGGAAGGAAGGAAGGAAGGAAGGAAGGAAGGAAGGAAGGAAGGAAGGAAGGAAGAAGAAGAAGGAAGGAAGGGGAAGGAAAGAAGAGGAAGGAAGGAAGGATGAAAGGAAAGGAGAGGAACGAAGAGGAAGGAAAGAAGAGGAAGGAAGGGGAAGGAAGGAAGAGTAAGGAAGGAAAGAAGGAAGGGGAAGGAAGGAAGGAAGGAAGGAAGGAAGGAAGGAAGGAAGGAAAGAAGGAAGGAAGGAAGAAGACTCCAAATCAAGCACAAGATTTTTCAAAATGGAGGGATTTCAGCACGCATTACACATTCATCAAAATGGCTGATGATCAGAACATGTAGTCCTCAACTTACAACAGTTTGTTTAGTGACTTATGGCACTGAAACAAGGGACTTATGAACCATTTTTCGCACTTACGACTATTGCAGCCTCCCCGCGGTCCCGTGATCAAAATTCAGACGCTTGCCATTGAACTCGTATTTATGACGGTTGCAGTGTCCCCGGGGGGAGGGAGGGTCACATGATCCCCTTTTTGCCACCTTCTGATGAACAAAGTCCACGGGGGAGCCAGATTCACTTAACAACTGTGTCACGAAAGGTCGTAAAATGGGGCAAAACTCGCTTAATGACTGTCTCACCTAGCAATGGAAATTTGGGGCTCAATTTTGGTCGTAAATCGAGGACTCCCCGCCTAGCTGAAGCCAGTGCGCATCATATTCCCAAAACATGAGAAGGTCCCTCCTTGGACAGGGGTCTCTTCCTTCCCCGGATGATTTAAAAATTGCTCAGGAACAGAGAATGTGGAATGTGCATGATAGTAAGTCCTCGACTTACGACCGGTTGCTTGGCAACCATTCAAATTTATGACAGCCCCACAAAAGCTACTTATGACCCCAATTTGAAATGCCAACATTTATCCCCCTCTGCATTTCACAGGCCCAGGTTTTATGGCCCTTTGCAGCGCCCTTCCATGAAAACGATAGTCGACCAACGTGTTTGCCGGAAAAGAGCATTTATTCCCAGCGTCTGGCAAAAAAAAAAAAAAAATGCCCCAGGGCAAACAGTGGATTCGCTTAACGACCACAAGGTTTGCTTTAAGGACGCCCACCCAAAAAAAAAGAAAAAAAGATGGCACAATCGGGCACAGTCATGTGCCCCCCTCCCCTGGGGCCCCCGCTTTGCCATCGTCACAAATTACAGATTGGATTACGGTTGTAAGAAGAGGACTTCAATGCATCAATTGATCAGAATAGAGCAGGAAGGGACCTCGGAGGTCTTCTAGTCCAACCTTCTGCTTGAGCATTAGACCATTTCAGACATGAGGCTGTCCAGTGTCTTCTTTAAAAACCTCCAGGGATGGAGCACCCACAACGTCTGGTGGCAAGGAGTTCCACTGATTAATTGTTCTCACTGTTAGGAAGTTTCTCCGTAATTCTAAGTTGCTCAAGGTCTCATTGCTTTTCTTTGGCTGCTGAAAAGCGCCACCCACCCACCCACCCACGACAACCTGTCCTTGGAGAGGAGGGGGGGGTTGGACACCGGTTTCCACTTCTTGTGGCCGTGACCACAGAAAAAAAGCTGAATTGGCGCATGAACCCACAGAGATCTCAGCCAAAGAGCTGCATGTGCCGCACAATGCTTGCAACAGAGCGATCGTTTCCTTTTGACTTGCATCCGGCTGACTGGAAGATGGTTAGCTGAGTTTCCATCTCTCCTCTGCACCACAGTTGCAGAGCGAACAACCATTTAAGGAAGGGGTTACAAGCCCTAAAACTTAGTCCCACACTGCGAGGGACCCACAGCCCAAAGGAAGGGGAACGTGCGTTGTCAAACAACGTTTCAGAATTTGTCCTCCCACTCTCCGATTTAAAGGAAGAGAGAGAGACTAATTTTATTTTTTAATTATTTAAAGCATTTATATGCTTTAAATTTAATTAGCACCCATCTTCTCACTAGTCCTGGGCAGCTCCCAATCAAAAGTTAAAACAACTTATAAAACCATATTAAAACTATAAAACTAAACACATTAAAAACAACAATAACTTGGTGCCAAATTGATTCTAATTCATGGTTATTTAATCTTTGCTCAGCGCATGGGGGAAAGCCAGCTCTTCAAAGCCCCATGGAAGGCAAGGAGGGTGGGGGGCCTGCTGAATTTTAGGGGGTGGTCCATGGGGCAGGGGCCGCCCCTAAAAAGCCCCCCCTCCTAGCTCCTATCAGGGGCAGCATGGTGACTCATTGGTTAAGATGCTGGGCTTGTCGGCTGGAAAGTCAGCAGCCCAGGTTCGAGACCCGAGCTCCACGTAATGGGGCGAGCTCCCATCCTCACCTCAGCTCTTGCCAACCTAGCAGTTTGAAAATGCAAGTAGATAAACAGGTACCACTTAGGTGGGAAGGTAACCGATGGATGGAGACTAATCAAGGAGAGAAGCAACCTGGAACTGAGGAAAGGTTTATTGACAATTAGAACAATTAACCCTAAACTTGGCTCTCTACCTGTTAACTCTTTATCCCGAATAGAGTCTTCGGTGAACCCCCTAAGTTATAGAGGTAATCCTCGATTTACGACAGCTCACTGAGTGGCCATTCAAAGTTACCATACAAGGGACTGAGAAAAGTGACTTACGACCGTTTCTCACACTTATGACCATTGCAGCAAAATTCAGCGTCATTGGAGGCTTTTAAGAAGAAACCGGACAGCAGGGGTGAAATCCAGCAGGTTCTGACAGGTTCTGGAGAACCGGTAGTGGAAATTTTGAGCAGTTCAGAGAACCGGCAAATACCACCCCTGGCTGGCCCGAGAGTGGGGTGGGAATGGAAATTTTGCAGTATCCTTCCTCTGCCACGCCCACCAAGCCATACCACGCCCACCAAGCCACACCCACAGAACCGGTAGTAAAAAAAATTGGATTTCACCACTGCCGGACAGCCACCTATCTGAAATGGTACAGGGTCTCCTGGTTGAGCAGGGGGTTGGACTAGAAGACCTCCAAGGTCCCTTCCAACTCTTGTTATTCTGTATTCTGAACACATCCAGATGTCTCCTTGGCCCTCACCTCTACACCAACAGCACCACCACAGACACCTGCAAGATGCCTTCACATGGTCTTTGTACCATCATTTCCAACAATGCCACTCTGGATTCTACTTGAGCCCACCCACCCAGATTTTGGTCGAAAAGAATCAACAGAGACAAGGTTGACCTCAGGACCCATAATGAGCTGCAACGCCAGAGAGCCTGGTGCTTCTAGAGACCCAGAAAGTGGGAGACCCGTGAGTTCAAGTCTCAGCCCAGCCCACCTCACAGGATTGTTGTTATGGGGGGGGACAGAGGAAGAGGAAGGGGAAGGGTTGAAATGCTCCCAGTTTGGACCGGATCACCCAATCCGGTAGCGATGGCGGCGGGTGGTTCAGAGAACAGGTAGTAAAAATCCTTGCGGCCCCCCCCCCGCCCCATGCCCAGCTGAGCCGCACGATCAACAGAGGCTGTTTTTTTTTACTTTTAAAAGCATTTTTTCTACAACCTCTTCGGCCAAAAAAATGCTTTTAAAAGTAAAAAAAAAAGCCTCTGATGATTGCGCGGCTCAGCTGGGACCGTCAGAGGCTTTTAAAAGCATTTTTTCTACAACCTCGAAAAAATGCTTTTAAAAGCCTCTGATGATCCCAGCATCAGAGGCTTTTAAAAGCTTTTTTTTTTTTTTTTGCAATCTCTTTGGCCAAAGAGGTTGTAGAAAAAATGCTTTTAAAAGTAAAAAAAAAAAAAAGTTGGCCACGCCCACCCAGTCACATTAACCCCCCCCCACCAAGCCACGCCCACAGAACCGGTAGTAATTTTAGATTTCACCCCTGAAAAGGGGTGTTGGATCTGTTTGCCGCGCCTTGTGTTATTTTGTAAGAAAAAAAATTGAAAAAGTGGGATACAAGTAATTAAATAAACAAATAAAATAAACTGCCCACAAGGTCAGCCTCACAGCGCTGCAAGAAACTTCCTGCAGCTTTTAAAGAATTTGAAAGCATTTGCAAAAACTATGCAGCCAGGAAACGCTGCTGAAAAAAAAAATCAGAGGCCCCGACTTCCGCCAGACGTCCCTCCCTGCCCTCTCTCAGCCCTTGCGGTGGTCCCTTTTTTGGGACACACATAGACACCCCCTGGCCTCCCCGTCTCAAAGGGGTCCTTTGTTCCTCCACTTTGCTCCAGATGCTGCCCTGTGGAAGCCCATCGGTGGGCACAAGGCAATGTGGGCAGCAATGCAGCTGCTGGGTCTCCACCTTTGCAGACACACCACAGATTTCCACATCTGGGGGAAGGGAGAGAAGGAAGAAAGAGAGAGAGAGAGAGAGAGGAAGAGAGAGAGAGAAAGAGAGAGAAAGAGAAAGACAGAAAGAAAGAAAGAAAGAAAGAAAGAAAGAGAAAGAAAGAAAGAAAGAAAGAAAGAAAGAAAAAGAAAGAAAGAAAGAAAGAAAGAAAGAAAGAAAGAGAAAGAAGGAAAGAAAGAGAGAGAGAGAGAGAGAAAGAAAGAAAGAAAGAAAGAAAGAAAGAAAGAAAGAAAGAAGGAAAGAAAGAGAGAGAGAGAGAAAGAAAGAAAGAAAGAAAGAAAGAAAGAAAGAAAGAAAGAAAGAAAGAAAGAAAGAAAGAAAGAAAGAAAGAAAGAAAGAAAGAAAGAAAGAAAGAAAGAAAGAGGAAGGGAAGGCAGGCAGGCAGGAATGAAGGAAACAAGCAAGCTCCCTCTGGAGATCAGAAGCCCAAGAGCCAAGGGAAGGGGCCCCTCTCAGTCCCTTTGGCCCCCTGCGCTCAATCAACCCACGGAACAGAAGTTGCCTTCAGACATTGTGGGAGCTTCATCCCTGGAAGCTTTCGAGAAGAGACCGGACTGCTACCTGTCAGAAATGGTGCTTGGGTAGGGGGTTGGACTAGATGACCTACAAGGTCCCTTCCGTTAACTCTTGTTAATCTGCTCCCCCGTGGCTGCCTCTTCCCACTGCTCCTTCTTGCCAGGTCGAAGCAACCCTCCCCGGATCCCACCAGCTCCAGAGATGGACGGGGCCACCGGGCGCCTTGGAGCAAGCAAGATTGACTTTCCATTCCCACCCGCAGTCCCCCCGCGAGCGCCCAGCACCCGCCCCCCATGCGCTGCGCATTGAAGCCTCCATACCTTGCCCCACAGCCTCAGTTCCACCTCTGGCAGCGTCTCTGCTCGGCTTCCTCTCCCTCCCCACAGCTTGGTTTCACTTGCAAACCTTAAGTTCCTGTTTGAAGTTCACCAAATCAGGAAGGTTTTGCTTCTTCCTGGGCCCGTCTCAGCAGAAGAAGACCAATGGCCTGGCTTTGGGGAGTGGGTGGGTGGGGGGCTCAGCCCTCCTCTGCCCAACCAGCCCAGGGGTCTAAATCTGAGCCCACGCCAGGCGTGTGGGGAGAGGTGGAAATCGCTGCACGTTCCCAAAGAGGTGACACGACAGGAAGGTTGTAATATCTGAAGGTCTGCCGCAAAGAAGCCAAATATTCAGAACTAACACCATTGGAAGGGACCTTGTAGGTCATCTAGTCCAACCCTTTGCCCAAGCAGGAAACCTTGCACCATTTCTGACAAGATGGGGAGTCTGGCCCCTAAAATTGGAAACATGGTCTTGAGCAAGAGTGAAATCCAGCAGGTTCTGGAGAACTGGTAGCGGAAATTTTGAGTAGTTCGAAGAACCGGCAAATGCCACCTCTGGCTGGCCCCAGAATGGGGTGGGAATGGGGATTTTGCAGTATCCTTCCCCCAGGAGCAGGGAGGGAATGGTTTTTTTTTTTTTTAAATTTGATTTATATGCCGCCCTTCTCCAGAGACTCAGGGTGGCTTACAATGCGTTAAGCAGTAGCCTTCATTCTTTTGTATGTTTTATACAAAGTCAGCTTATTGCCCCCACAAACTGGGTCCTCATTTCACCTACCTTAGAAAGGATGGAAGGCTGAGTCAACCTTGAGCCTGGTGAGATTCGAACTTACAGTAATTGCAGGCAGCTGATGTTAATCACAATGCTTTTAGTCTGCTGAGCTACCAGGCCCTTTGGGAGTATCCTTCCCCTGCCACGCCCATCAAGTCACACCCACCAAGCCATGCCACGCCCAAGCCACGCCCACAGAACAGGTAGTAAAAAAAAATTGGATTTCACCACTGGTCTTGAGGGACTTCTATTCAAGTAGGAGACCCTGCAGCATTTCAGATAAATGAGGGCGTCAGATTCTCCAAAGCACCAGAAGGAACAGATGGAAACTCATCAAGGAGAGAAGCAACCTGGAATGAAGGAGAAATTTCCCGATAATGACAACCATCGGAACGGCTTGCTTTCAGAAGTTTTGGGTGCTCCATCCCCAGGTTTCCAAGAAGAGATTGGACAGCCATTTATCTGAAGTGGTGTAGGGTTTCCTGCCTGAGCAAGACAGGAAGGTTGGACTAGAAGACCTCCAAGGTCCCTTCCGTTATTCCTCTGCCATTACAGCAAGACATTCTGCCGCCCGAGGATCTCCGATGTGGGGCAAATGGTTTGGCTTCCAAGATCAGTTGCTTAGAAGCATGAAGTGGACACTTTGATGGTGTTTGATGGTGTTCATGCAGGGGTGAAGTTCTCCCAGTTCGGACCGGATCACCAGTTCAGACCGGATTACCCGATCCGGTAGCGATGGCGGCGGGTGGTTCGGAGAACTGGTAGCAAAAATCCCTGCGCCTCCCCCCCCCCCATGCCCCGCTGAGCCATGCAATCATCACAGGCTTTTTTTTTTTACTTTTAAAAGCATTTTTTCTACAACCTCTTCCGACGAAAAAATGCTTTTAAAAGTTAAAAAAAAAAAGCCTCTGATGATCCTGCGGCTCAGCTGGGATCCTCAGAGGCTTTTCAAAGCATTTTTTTCTGCAACCTCTTGGCCGAAGAGGTGGTTTAAAAAAATGGCTTGAAGAGTCTCTGACGATCCCAGCTGAGACGATCCCGGATCGGCAGAGAGGCTTTTCAAAGCATTTTTTTAAAAGCCTCTCTGACAATCCCAGCTGAGTTGCCTGATTGTCAGAGGCTTTTCAAAGCATTAGAAAAAAATGCTTTGAAAAGTTTTTTAAAAAAAAAAGTTGGCCACGCCCACCCAGTCACATTACCCCCCCACACACACACAAGTCATGCCCACAGAACCGGTAGTAACACATTTTACATTTCACCCGTGTTCATGTGTCTTGTATATAGGAATGAAGCAGAAACCAGAGTCGCTCAAATAATGAGGTGGAATGGCATGTGCATTTATTGCATAAATAGGAAGTGCACTCTGCACATGTTCAGAAGCAAACAAGAGGCAATGGTTCAACCAGGCATGATGCAAAAATAAAATAAATTTAGGAAGCACCTCAAGGAACGTCAAAGCATCTTCCTCTTACAATGTGCTTCTTCATAGCCAACGTGCTTACCTGTGTAGGGCTTGCCTGCAGGTGCTACCTGTCCCACAGGTGAAAAAGTTGTTCCACCCCCAAGCAAAGCCAGCTCGTTCCCAACATTGCTTCAGGCCACCCAAAATCCTTTTTTAAAAAAGACTTACCTTTAGATCGGAGGTGCCCGTGCTTGGCCCCTTTAAGACCTGTGGACTTCAACTCCCAGAATTCCCCAGATGGGGAATTCTGGGAGTTGAAGTCCACAGGTCTTAAAGGGGCCAAGCATGACGCCCAACCCTGCTTTAAATGTTTCTCAGCTTATATTTTTTCAAGGCTTTTGCCCAGGGAATCAAAGTTTGAGGAATCGTGGCGCAGATGCCTTCCCAATTAACGATACCACGTTGGGTTTTGCAGCGGTTCAAGAGGGACCTCATTATGTCCCCGTAATTGCGTACGGCGAGACTTCAAAGCAACCTCATGAATTAATTCTGCTCGATCTCCAGATGCCCCAGTGGAGGTGTGACATTCTGAGGCCCAGGGACTAGCCGGCCTCTAGAGATCTGGGGATTTGCCCTCAAACGCAACAACTCGAAGGCGTGTGGACTTCAACTCCCAGAATTCCCCAGCCAGCATTTACTAGTCGTAGTCCTCGAGTGGTACGGTGGCCTAGAGGCGGAGCTCTCGCCTCACCATCAGGTGGCTGTGAGTTTGATCCTAGGTAGAGGCAGATATTTCTCTCTTTGGGCACAATGAGAATAGATCTGTTGAATAAAACTCCGCATTGGCGACAGGAAAGGCATCCAGCCAGTAAAACACTCAGCTCTATTCAGTTGCCCAGACTCCACCCTATAAGGGATTCTGGGGTTGTTAAAAGGAGATGATTTACTAGTCGTAGTCCTCGACATATGGCAGTCGTTAAGTGAGTCACGGCCAATTGATGACCTTTTTGGAAGCAGACCCCTCCCCCATCAACTCCGGAGCTCCCGATTACCTTTGAACAAAACGCTACTCGCACTCGACTCTCAGAAAAATAAACATCTTTATTGCACAACAAAGGGGTGGCAGAGAACCAGAAGGCCGGGTGGAGGGGATAAAGGCACCCCCAGACCACGGGGAGGGGACCCCCATTAAGTGCCAATCGAGGTCTGAAAAGCAGATCCCAGGCCAGACCAGGAGAGGCCTTTTCTTCTTCTTGAGTGGCCAGAAAGGGAACCCCCTGACCCATAACCCACAACCCTTCCCCTTCAAGCCGAGGAAGTGGCTTCCTCCTCTGGGATCTGCTGGACAACCTTCCATTAACTGACCGCCAGAGGTCCGGAGATTGGAGGGTCAGGGCCTCCAACGTTGTGAGAACCTAACTGCAGGACCCCCGACAGACCCTTCCTCCTTCTTGACTCTCCGGAACAGGACAGGGGTCCTCAACCCCCTGGCTGCAGCCCACTACCGGACCTTGAGCCCTTTGGAACCGGGTTCAAATGGCAGGCAAGCGTCTGCATACATGCACGCATTCCCACTTGTGTCAGCAGCCATCACGGGCGCACAACGCTCCGTTTGTGCGAGAAGTGAGCAAGCACGGGCGCAGGGTTGCTCACCGCTCGCACAAATGGAGGTGCGTGCACACATATGCGCTTTCCTGCCACTTGCACGGATCCATTCCCTCTCCCCTGGGCCGGTCCCCAAATCCAGCAAGATTGGGGAACTCTTTGTCTTGAGGGCAATATTTCCAGCTCCGGGGGCTAAAACGGCGCCCCCCCCCCCCAAACGGTATAGAAAGAGAGAACTGATGTTTAACGTGAGTTAGAAGTCTACCTGTCAGTCAAGTCCCAAAAGAGCAGAAATCTGATCTTCTGCAGGAGTCCCACTTTAACTGATTATGATTAGTGCCAGCAAAAGGATGGGAGGCGGGCATCTTCGTGGCTCCGCCCTTTCCCCCACCCCAAATCAACGGTGATGCCAACCCCGATTCGGCCGGCATTCGAGGCCCAGAAAGCCCTGGCACTTCCCTGGAAGGAGCCACACAAACCCTGCATCGCCAATGGCAAGAAAGGCCGTCGCCTGCTTTAACTAGCCAGGATTGCGTTCGACCTCTGGCAGCCTTGACGACGCCACGGGTGAGCCGGGAGCCTCCCCGTGTCCAGACCGGCAGGGTCCCCCAGGTGTCGAGGTCCGTGGTTCATCCGAGTTCTCGTGCCCCGGTCTTCTCACAGGCGGCCCACGGCGTGGAGGAAAAGCAAGACGTGGATCCCGAAGAGGTAGACCGTGGCCAGCAGGGAGAAGAGCCTCCGGGGGCAGAAGACGGAGCGCAGGGCACGCTGCAGCCCCCTGGGCCCTCGAGCCTGTGGGGGGGGGAGGAGGAATTAGGGAAGGTGGGCATTTCGACCCCAGAGCCCCAGCCCAGCGGACACCAAGAGAAGTGGAAAGGGATGATCAGGGACGCTGTCCGACTGGAGGGACAGTCCACGCCAGAAAGGGGAAGTTGGACTTTCCGCTCTGTTTGTGAGTGAAAGGAAGAGTGAAAGTTCATGATAAGCCCTTATTTCTGGGATCCCCGGGCTGAGGGAGGGAGGGAGGGAGGGAGGGAGGGAGGGAGGGAGGGAGGGAGGAAGGAAGGAAGGAAGGAAGGAAGGAAGGAAGGAAGGAAGGAAGGAAGGAAGGAAGGAAGGAGGGAGATGGGAATAAGAGGGAGGAAGGAAGGAAGGAAGGAAGGAAGGAAGGAAGGAAGGAAGGAAGGAAGGAAGGAAGGAAGGAAGGAAGGAAGGAAGGAAGGAAGGAAGGAGATGGGAATAAGAGGGAGGGAGGAAGGAAGGAAGGAGTGTAGGGGAGGAAAGGAAGGGAGAAAGGAGAGAGGAAAGACTTAAAATGAGGTGACTTCTCAATAGGCATCACAGGGACCCTCAACAGTGGGCTGAGGGGTTCCGGTGCCCCCCTTACCTTGCTGAAGGAGCTCTCTGCAGACCCCAGCAGCAGGGCATGTTCAGAGCTGGGAGGCATGGCAATGCTGGTCTCCAGAGACTGCGCATACTCCTCGGACTCCAACCTGGGTGGCAAGAGGCCTAGATATCAGGGTCCTGTCCCTGAGGCCACCCATGGCCCCTGGCCTCCCCCACCTGCTGCTCCCCGGAGACCTGAATACCCCTCCCCAGAGACCCAAAGTACCCCTTCCCTTGAGCCGCAGCTGGCTGGGGAGCGAGCGCTGCAGCCCGACCTTCCCTGAGCCCTGCGGAGGACCCGGAGACATCTCTGAAGGCCTCTGAAGGCCCCGTGAACCAGGCTGCCTCCTTCCACCCGGGAGTCCCCCTCCTCCCTCTCACTGATCAGCCTCGGAAACGCCTCCCTCGGGGCCAAGCCCACCAGGGCGCTGAGACGGGAAACCCTCCCAGGGGTCTGCAGGGCTGGGAAAGGGACCACGACAAGATGGGTCCGTCCACTTTAAAATGGATGCTGACCAAAAGTCTGGTAATGTAGAATATCTGGAACAGAGGATTCAAAAAGAGGTTCTAAAGATACAATATAATTTCACAGAATATGCAATAAGACTTAGAGGTTTGCAGGAAAATAACAGAGATGACTTAAGGAAAATATCTTCTGAATTTCTAGCTGGGATTTTAAAGATTCAACCTGAGGAAGTGTTTTGTAGGATTGACAGAGCTTATCGAATAAACTCCTGGACTGCCAAGCAAAGGCAATTGCCTAGAGATGTGGTAATCTATTTTTCAGATAAAGAAATTAGGAATAAAATTGTGCAAAATTCCTTCAATTCTAATTTGCAATTGTATGGAAGAAAGATTTGGATTTACAAGGAACTCCCACCTAAGATATTAATGGAAAGGAAGAAATTTGGCTTTCTGGTGTCTGAGTTAAAAAGGAGAAATATTCAATTCCGGTGGGACGTCCCAGTTGGTATTATATTGAGATATCAAGGAGAAAGATACCAGTTAAATACTGTTGAAAGGGCGGAAGAATTTTATCAAAATAGGTTGAAAATGAATTTAACGTCTTCAGATATAATACAGGATAAGCAGAAGGAGCTGGAACTAAAGACAGAGACTGTACCAGATAAATTGCCTTTGGATTTATCGGATACCCCAGCTGGATTATCTACAAATTTGAGAGAAGTGCCATCTGATTTTAATGTGATGACTTATCAAGGCAAGGACAAGCATGGAAACCAATTAGAGGATATACAAGGGATAAAAAAGAAATGCGAGACACAAAAAATTAGGATGGAGGTCAAACCCACAAAAAGAAAACAAAAAAAGAAATAGGTTGTACAAAAATAGAAATTTCTAACCCAAGCAACAGTGAAGCCAGTGATTTTAAAATATGAATGATTATGTGAAAACATAGAGGAGGCGACATATTGGTCAATATCATCCTGAGGATAGTGGCAGATCTCTGCATTGCCGTAATTTTGGGACATGGAAAGAGCCTCAAATTGATGGTTTTGAATTATCTATTTTGAAACTTCTTTTTGTGTTGATAAATATATTATAATTATCTTGAATTATAAGGCAAGAGAATCACATTGGGACATGCAGAAGATCGGGTTGTTACCCAATACGATGATGGAAATTAATAATCCTGATGAAACCCACAATTATTATTATATGGAATACAATTATAATGTCACTCGGGTGGTTGTTTTTACTTTTATATATATAAGAAGATGTTTACTACTGATGGGGGCAGATATGATTGGAGATCTTGAATAAACTGTTGCATCCGCAAGCTATGTCACCCTATTATGGATGTTGGTTTTAACAATCCAGTGGAAAGACTTCAAGAAGATATTATATGGACTATAAATTTAAAGTTATTGTCTTTTCTTTTTTTATTTAGATATAATGGAATATATATATATATATATTTTTAAGTAGTGTGGGCAGTGAATTAAAGATATCAAGAATTGTTGTGTATGGTAAATTTGTAAGACAGTGGGTGAATAAGCTAGCTACAGACTGATTAGTTTAAGAAAAGGATTTTTAAGTGATACATTTAGGGGAGTGGAGGAAATGGATAGAGTGGAATAAATGTTAAATTAGATTTTATGGGGAGCCCGCTTTGAAATGTTATTAAAGTAGGACTTATTGTATAGTTTTAAAGTGGAAGGTGGTTTTGAATTGTTGCAATAATGCATAGATATAAAACATTATTATGCTAAATTAGAGTTATTTTATAATAGTTATAGTATAATGTGTTTGTTTTTTTTTGTTTTTGTTTTTTTTTCTCTTCTTCTTTTCTGAAATGTATGGATAAAGGGGGATTTATAATACTTTTAGTAAGTAAAGGTCAGTATTTTGAGGAGGGAGTAAGTAATCTGTTATGAATTAGGGTTTTTTTTTTGTTACGAAGAAGTCACAGGGGGGAAGGGTGGGGAGGGGGGGTTAGGGAGGGGGGGAGGGGGGGGAAAAGGGGAAAAATTTGTATTTGAAAACCTTTTCAATAAAAAAAAAAAAAAGAAAGAAAAAAAATAAAATAAAAAAGATGGGTCCGTCCACCAATTGAGTCAACGGATTTAACCCGCCCGCTTGGCTGAGGGTTGCCAGAGTAGAGGGGGGAGCCCTTCAGACAGGTTCCCCGGAATAGCCAGGAGGGAGGGAGGGAGGGAGGGAGGGGGCCAGCCCTGCCCCAGCACCTGCGCATCTGCTCCTGGGCTGCAGAGCAAGCCTCCTCAGCGGCCAGGCGCCTCTCCTGCTCCTCCTGCAGCAGCTGCTGAAGCTGAGTCAGGCCCTGCCTGGCGAGGCTTTGCTGGTGCTTGGCCTCCGAGAGCCTGGGGATGGAAGGAGAAGCCCCGTGAGAGAGACGGGAGTGGGGAGGGAAGGGGAAGCAGCCCCCAGGACGGACCCTGACTCTTCAAAGAGAGGCAGACCGGGCCCGGATGTCCCTGGGATCAGAGGCAGAAAGGAAGAGACTCTCCTGTTGGGGAGCTGCCAGCCAGGCTGGAAGGAGGAGTCAAGCAGGGAAGTAGCCTTGAATCCTTGAGTAGCTGCAAGAGGCATAAGACTGAAGCCACCCCCAACCTATCGCCCATGAAGCGTTATTTGGGGGTTCCCAGGGGAAGGCAAGAAGTCCGGGCAGATTCTTGTAAATACAGGCACTCCTTGACTTACGACCACAACTTGGGCCCAACATTTCTATCGTTAAGTGAGGCAGGCGTTAAGTGAATTCTGCCCCATTTTCACAACCTTTCTCGCCACATTTGTTAAGCGAATCACACTTCATTTGATAATTTAGTCACAGGGCTGGATCCGGGTTCCCTCGTTGACTTTGCTGGTTAGAAGGTCACAAAAGGGGGGTCGCGTGACCCCGGGGACGCTGCGACTGTCATAAATACGAGTCAGTTGCTAAACCCCTGAATTTTGATCGCGGGGCCCTGGGGATGCTACTAGAGGGGCGTGAAAAACGACCGTAAGTCCCTTTTTTCAGTGACGTCATCACTTTCAAACGGTCACTGAAAGAACTGTTGTAAGTGGAGGACTGCCTGGATAGGCGGAGGCCAATAAAGCTGCTTGTGTTGGCTATTAGTGGGCGGCCCCGATTCCTTGAACCCGATACCTCCGTTGGGGTCAGGCCTGGGGGGCTGGAACTGAGACTCCCGAGGTTGGTGGAAAATTGGGGCGAAGGGGATCAGGCAGCCCAGGAACCCCCAAGTTATTTCGCTCGCCCGCCACACTCACTGCGCCTGAAGTTCCTGCAGCTCCCGTGCGTTGGTCTCGTCTTTTTCCTGGGGGGCTCCGGGGGCGGCATCGGTCAGGAGGGGTCCCTAGGGTAGAAACCTGGCGTGAAGATGGGGCTCCCTCTGCCTTTGCCGTCTGACCGTGTTGAGCACGAACTCAACTGACGGAGGCCCCGGCTTACGCCAGGCAACCTGTGCCGCATGGAAACCAGATGAACTCACCACACGGGGCAGAAAATGAGGACGACCCCTTCCCCCTGCGCAAAGCAGCTGGTCTCTCTCGCTTGGAGGGACAGGGGTGGCAGGAGCAAAGGCCTGGATCCTAGAGTCTGCCTCCCCACTCTGCCCCTCCTGGCCCGGGTGGAACACGGTTGGGCCATGAGATGGGGGAGCCCAGACCCCCTTCCCTGGCCTTACCACGGTCTTCGCCGGCCCCTGCCATTCCTGCAGCTGCTTTTCAAGAGCCGCACAACGGGACAGAGCCTCGTTGTGTTGCTGGCAGCTCTCGCGGAGGCTGCGGCTGCTCCCCCGGAGTTGGAGAGCGAGTGTGTTCTTCTCTTCGAAGACCTGCGAGAGCTGGAGAGATGAGCGACAGCATGAGGCTGGGGGAGGGGGGGGTCTTCTCAGAGTCCCCCCACCCACCCAACGGGAAGCCAGCATAACACATCACTGGAGGCCTGAAAGTAGCTAGCTGGATTCATAGATGTTTGAGATGATATTGGCTGCGTTGGGTCTGGGTTTAGTGCGACCCCCCCAACCGATGGAGGCCCTCAGCAACCATGGCTAAAAGAAGCCAGGATTTAAGAGAAGGAGTCTCAAAGTTGGCAACTTGAAGAACTGCGGACTTCCAACTCCCAGAATTCATAGCTGGCTGGGGAATTCTGGGAGTTGAAGTTCACCAGTTGTGATGACCCGGGGCACGGCACAGAGGCAACAAAAGCATCTGACAGTTCAAACCGCCCCTTTATTGCTCTAAATTTCTCTCTCTCTCTCTCTCTCTCTCCCTCCCTCCCTCCCTCTCTCTCTCTCTCTCACACACACACACACCTCCAGCAGCCTCTAGCTGCAAGTAGTCCAGTCCAATGCTGTGAGCACCACAGCTGCAAAGCAAGAAATCCAGCAGGGCAAGTTGAGGAGTCCAGGAAGCAAAGTAACAAGGCAATTAATCCAGAAAGAATGCAAGGAATCCAGGAAAGTTCAAATGCCCCTCCCCACAGCATCTCCTTAGGTCTCAGTCCCCAGGTGTGCCTTGTGAAAAGGGGCGGGGCGCTCTCCTCCCGAGTAGTCGGGTCAGCCTGCGCTGTTCCCGCCTTCTCTCCACTCTCCATGCTCGAGGATCAGGAGGGGGCGGTCCTTGCTCATTGCCTGAGCTCTGTCTCTCATGTTCACTGCTTAGTCATCCTCCCCCGTCTTCCTCCCTGCCTACAAGCCATCTCAATCCTGAAAGGCCCAGGCCTGACTGGCCCTGCTCCTCCCCATTTTCCTCCCAAGCCAACTTGATCTCCGTCGGCTCCAGTTCCATCTCGTCTTCCTCCGCAGATTCAGGCTGCGACGGGGGCATGACACAAGTCTTCAAGTTGCCAAGTTTGGAGAGCCTTGACTCAGAGCACAATGCAAGCCCAACATCCAGAGGGTTGAACCACTACGAGAGGTTGGACTGGAGATAGCCAGCTTCCCAGGAAGGACACCCTCTCCCCACAGTTAACCCCCTGGAAAAGATCTCCCGGCCCAAGAGAAGGACGCCCCAGATCTCTGCCCCACCTTGCTGTTCAGCTGCTGGATGCGTAGCTCCTTCTGATGAAGGTGCTTCAAGCTGTTCCCAAGCTGGACCTGGAGGTCCTCCATGGATGCCATCTGGCCAGATGTGTCTCTGTCGGAGCTAGTCGTCCCCGAAGACCCCTGTGGAAAGGCCCAGTCAGCTGTTGCCCACATTTTTATTTATTTTTATTTAATTTGATTTATATGCCGCCCTTCTCCGGAGACTCAGGGTGGCTTACAGTGCGTTAAGCAATAGCCTTCATACTTTTGTATATTTTATACAAAGTCACCTTATTGCCCCCACAAACTGGGTCCTCATTTCACCCACCTTAGAAAGGATGGAAGGCTGAGTCGACCTTGAGCCTTGGAGAGATTCGAACCAGCAATAAATTGCAGGCAGCTGTGTTAATAACAGGGTGCGTAGACCACTGTACTATCAAGGCTCTGTTGTTGGATCTTGTTGTTGGATCTTGTTGTTTGCCCAACAAGATCCTCCCACCATCCACTCTGGCCTCGGACGGTTCATAGGTGGCTTCCAAACCTTCCAAACCCTCCTGTCCTCCGGACTGCCTCACTCACCTCCCTCTGCTGCTTCTCTGCCGCCTGGGCGCTGCTGGGTGGGCTCTGCTGCCTGACCTGCTCCCAGCCTGCCTTTTCTTCCCTGGAAAAAACAAGCCCCAAAAGCGAAAGGAGGAAAGTCAATGGGGAGGACGGGACTTGATTCCCTTAACAACTGCAATGATCTGTTTAACGACCGTGGCAAAACAGGTTGCAAGGCCAGGAATGACTCCAAATGACTCTAAGCCTTGCTTAGAAATGGAAATTCCTGGCCCCGCGGAGGTCGTACGTCGAGGGCTGCCTGCATGGCTCCATGGGCTCACCTGAGTTGCTGGAGCTCCAGCTCCACGGAGGTCTTCTCCTGCTTCAGCTTCTCCTGGAAGAGCTCCTCCTGCTGCTCCATCTCTTGCTTCTTCTGCTGGAGCTGGGCCTTCAAGCGGCTGATCTCGGCCGTGTCCACCCCCACCTGGAGATACTGCTGCTGGAGGTTCTTCAGCTCCTCCAGCTGGAGGACAAGGAGAGGAGAACGTGCTTGTCAAGGCTCCCGACGAGATCCACTGCTTCTCCAAAACAGGTTAAGTAAGGGGTCAAGGATCCCCCACAAAAGACTCCGACATCAATGGAAGAGAATATCTGTAGCAGCAGCTCAGGGTTGAACTGGGGGGTTCCCTGGTGCTCTCCGAGCTTGGAGGTTTTCTTGCAGGCGTTTCATGACCCAACTAGGTAGCATCATCAGAGCTGACCCTGAAGGTGGTACCTAGTGGACCACCAAGGACCCCACAAAAGATCTCCACAAAAGGTGGCAGGAATTGGGTATGTCTACTCTGACGAAGAGAAGGATTAGGGGTGACATGCAACATAGAACAACAATGGCTCTGATAGCAGCGCTATCGTAACAATGATACACGTATCATAACAATATCATCGTATCACATATCTTAACAGTGATAACAATGATACACGATAGCAGAATTCCAGTATTTGAGGGGCTGCCACAAAGAAGAGGGAGTCAAGCTATTCTCCAAAGCACCTGAGGGCAGGACAAGAAGCAATGGGTGGAAAATGATCAAGGAGAGAAGCAACCTAGAACTAAAGAGAAATTTCCTGGCAGTTAGAACAATTCATCAGTGGAACTGCTTGCCATCAGAAGTTGTGAATGTCCATCACTGGAAGTTTTTAAAAAGATGTTGGATAACCATTTGTCTGAAGTGGTTGGACTAGCAGACCTCCAAGGTCCCTTCCAACTCTGTTATTCTATTCTGAACATCCTCAGACTTTTGATCTGCACCCAGCATGATTTTTACAGTGCTACTCCCAAGCATTCACTCCTGAAACTCAATCTAGGGACTGATCCGCTTGGGCTTCCTCACTGGAGCTCCCCCCCTACTGCAACCTTCTTGCAAGGTGGTTTTGGATTGAAATATGCAGCCCCAACATTTCTAGTGGAACAGTCTTCCTTCAGAACATCCACAATACAAATGCATTCCTTGCTTGTATTTATGAAGTGGTTTTTTTAAAAAGCTGAAGAAAAATTATGTTGAGTTTTCAAGACAAATGGTGGACGAGTCCAGAAACCAGGAGATGCTGACATTTCACCCTCCATCTATTATTCTCAAAAACATCTAAAGGCAGGAGAAGAAGCAACGGATGGAAACTAAACAAGGAGGGAAGCAACCTGGAATTAAGGAGAAATTAATTCCTCCTGACAGTGAGGACAATTAACCAGTGGAACAACTTGCCTCCAGAAGTTTTGGATGCTCCATCACTGGAGGTTTCAAGGAGATTGGAGAAGAGCTACTTGTCTGAAACAGTATAGGTTCTCCTGCTAGTGGAGGGTTACATGCCAGCATCTTCTGGTTGAAACAGAAGACCTCCAAGGTCCTTTCCGACTCTGTTATTCTGTTACCTTGCCCACACAGCAGAGATTCAAGACTTACCAACCGGTCTCGGTCGTTCTGCAGGGACGAGAGTGCCTTCTTGAGGCTCGACGTTTCGGCAAGACTGGAAGACACGTTGGCGGCCGACTGCAGCTTCACCTCCTCCGTCTTGCGGGATTTGTCCAGCTGGCTCAGCAGACGGTCTCGCTCAGCCTGAAGGCTGGCCATGGCCTGGGAGAAGGCCTTCACTTGGCCAGAGGTCTTCTCCAGCTCCGACGAGAGGCGAGCAAGCTGCGAGTCTTTGGATTGAAGCTGCTGGTTGAGTTTCTCCAGCTTCTCCGAGAAGCCCTTCTCTTCCGTTGAGACTCGGAGAGCGGCGAGTTCGGAGGTCAGGCTGTCCCTCTGCTTCTCGAGGGCTGTTTGTGTCTCCTGGGCATGGAGCTTCTCCTGATGGAGGCTTTGGACCAGCTGCCTCTGCTCTTCCAGCTCTGCAGCGTATTTCTTCTCCAGGGCATGCCGTTCTTCGTGAGACTGATCCCAACTGTCTTGGAGAGAACTCATGGCTTTCTTGAACGACTGGATTTGGGCCTTCAAATCCTGGTTTTCTTCCGTGACCACAAGGAGGTTCTGCTCCATCTGCAGGAGGTCCTTGGCCAGCTCTGCCACCCGTTCTTCGGCTGTCTCGGTCTCATTCCGCAGGAGTCCAGTGTCGTGATGGAAGCTCTTGAGCTCTTTCTTCATCTTGGCTTCCGCGTCCTGCAACTTCTGATGAAGGCCAGCCAGCTCTTCTTCCAGGCCCGCCACCTGCTGATTTGCCAGCAACAACTGCCCGCCCAAACTCTGGATTTCATCCACTTTCTCTTGCAGCTGCAACTGCAGCTCCAACATGGAACCCCCTTCCCGCAGAACCTGCATCTCATCCTGCAACTGGGAGAGGGAAGATTTGAGAGCCTTGACCTCCTGGCCCAGATTCTGCTTCTCCAGCTGCAGGGCCTCCACGGTTCGCTGTAGGTTGGCCGAACCAAGTTCAGACTCTCGCAGTTGGCCTTCCACCCCCACCTTCTCCTTCTCCAGAGCCTGGATCCGGTCAATCTGGGTTTTCAGCAGCTGCTTCTGCTGAGTGTCCTTGATGGAGATGACTTGATTCAGGTCCTCGCGATACCGTACCAGTTCGGCATCCAACTTGGCGTTCTCTGCATGCAAGTCATCCATCTGACCATGGAGGCTCCGAAGTTGCTCCTTCAAGGAATTGTTCTCCGAGGCCGCTTCCTGGATGAGCTGATCCTTTTCTAAAATGGCGGCCAGGTGACGTTGTTCCAGCTGCCGATAGTTTTCCAGGACTCTGTCCCGGTCATCTTGCAGGGAAGACATGGATTTGGTGAAGGAATCTAGCTGAGCTTTGTACTGCTTGCTCTCTTCGTAGATGTTTTTCAACTTCTCCATGAGACCGGTCACTTTCTCCTGAGATTTTGCCTTCTCAGCCTCCAAGGCCACCTTCTCAGCTTCAGCCTTGGCCATCTGGTTCTCCAACTCCTTCAGGTCTTCCTTGTGCTGTTCTTGGATTTCTAGCAGGGCTTCGGCTACGGCCTCTTCCTTGGCAGCCACAAGGCCGACAATCTTCTGCTCCTTGTCGCTCACCTCGTTGTGGAGTCTCTCTGTCAGCTCCTTGGAAGCCCGCAGATCAGCCTCCAGCTGCTCCAGACTCAACCTGCAGTCCTGAAGACTGGCCTCGTGGCTCTTCACCGTCTCTGACCTCTCAAGACGTGCCCGGTCGCAGTCTTCGAAGGAGGCCTGCAAATCGGCAAGCTGCTTTCTCAGAGACCCAAGTTCTCCTCCTTGCTGGAGAACCTGGCTCTGGGAGTGGCTCAGTAACCGCTGGACCTCTTCCAGTTGAAGTCCAAGTCTGTGCTTCTCCTCCTGGAGCAACCCGACTTCTTCTCGATGGTGCAGGAGCTCCTCCTGGGCATGAGACTCTTGGGCTGATTGGCTGCGTTCCAAGCTGCAAGCAGAAATGGCAGAATCTGAGAAGAGCCCGTATACCAGGGGTGTCAAACTCAATTTCATTGAGGGCTACATCGGGGTTGTGTTTGACCGTAGGGGGCCCGGGGCGTGGCCAGCTCAGTGTCACTCATGTTGGGGGCACCTGTCTGTGAAAACGGGCTCCCGAGCTCAGTTTTCGGCTGCGACGGCTTCCTGCAACCCTCTGCCAGAGAAAACGGAACCCAAACTTTGTTTTCGCTGGCAGAGGCACCGTGAGCTGGTCCTTCACTGCTTCCAGGGCAGCCCAGCAGGCCAAATCCGGCCCGCGGCCTTGAATTTGACACCTCTGCCATATACGTTCCTTTCACTTTTACTCATTGCCCTCCATCCAAACCAGCCACCTGAAATGCTAACGGAGTTCTCCACTACTAGCAGAACCATAAATAAAAGGGCTCTGGAAAATATTCCCATGAAGTTAGGGTGGAGGCTGGGCCATATTTAACTGCAGGGCATGAGGGAATCCAGAGGACTGAACCAATGGACAGTCAGAAAAGCCCAGGAAAGAAACAAGCTACTAGATCTGTTGACTTCCCTTCACAAAAAGCTTCTGAAAGTGGGAGGAAATGTCTCAGGCCAAGGTTGGAATGAGATCCCTGGGTCAGTTTCAAAGAATGGGTTGGACCATTGCCAGCTCAGAACGCTTTAAGGTGAAGGAGGCCCTTCTCCAATATGGAGGGGTTGGGTTTTGGTGACCCAGTGATTTTTTTTTGCAAAGTCTCGACCTACTAAGAGAAGGAAATAGTTGTAGCTCAGGGTTGAATGGTGGCCTCTTTGGTGCTCTCTGAGCTTGGCTCTTTTCTTGCAGGCATCTCATGACCCAACTAGAGAACATCATCAGTGTTAGAAGGAAGTGGGGTTTGTGGAGAGGAGGAAGAGGATTATGGGGTCCTTGCTGTGCTCTGAATCTTGGTGGTTTTCTTGCAGACATTTCATGACTCAACTAGGTCACATCACCAGTGCTGGAAGCTTGTAGCACTGACGATCTTAACTTAGTTGGGTCGTGAAACATCTGCAAGAAAACCAACTCAGGGAGCACCAAGGACCCCACAGTCCTCGTCCTTCTTTTCATCCATTCCACAACCCCACTCCCTTCTAGCACTGATGATGCTACCTAGTTGGGTCATGAAACATCTGCAGGAAAATAACCAAGCTCAGAGAGCACCAAGGACCCTACACTCTCTATCTACTCCTCAATCCTTATCTATCCCGAGTTAAGTTAGCCCAAAGAGAAAGTGGACACCTCTTCTCTGCAAAGTGTTTCGCTACATCTCCAAGCCTTGACCCACAACCTGAGCCACCCGGTGGCTTCAGCATCGAAGACAGCATCAGGTAGGCAAAATAACGTCACAGTGAGCTCAAAATCTGCTTCCACTGACTCTAGTAGCTTTGCCAAGAGGACAGACTCAAATTCAACCTCAGTGACTCTCATCTCCCACACTAAAATGAGCACAGAAGAAATGGGGGTAAGGAGATCTGCGTCCTTCCCCTTGGCTCACGTACTCTAGTTCTCCTTCTGCTAGTTATGAAAAAGTGCAAGAGCCCCAGAGGAACCCCGGAAGGGGTCAGCCGCTGTCTTACCTGGCCACGAGGCCTTGGAGGTCTTCCACCTGGAGAGCCGTCTTCTTGGCCTGGTCTTGCAAGGCAGCGCAGGCCTCTTCTCGGGCAGAGAGTTCCTGCTCCTTCTTCTCAATGGCCTCACTGAACTTCTTCTCCCACTGCCTGGACTCGTCTATCACCCGGTCCCTGTCGTCCTGCAGGGAGGACATGCTTCTGGTGAAGGCCGCCAGCTGAGCTAAGGTGTGGTTGAGGCTGCCCTGAAGCTGTTTGGCTTCTTGGTCCTTTTGGCGCAGGGACACCTGGAGGTCTCGTGCCGACTCCTCCACGAACACCTGCTTTTTCCGCAAGGCCTCCAACCTCTCGTCCATGTTTCTGATCTCCTTCAGGTGCTTGGCCTTCTCTTGTTCCACATGTCTCTCCAGCTCCTTATCTTTTTGACTCAGCTGACTTCTGACCTGAGCCTGGGTGGCCTGAAGCTCCTCTTTCACCTTCAGGCTCTCCGCCACGACTCGGGCAGCTTCGCTCTGAGTATCGTCCAGCAAGACCCTGCAGGAAGCCAACTCAGCCTGGACCTTCTTGGTCTTCTCCTCTGCCTCCACCATGCTCTTCTTGGTGGTCTCCAGCTCTTTCTTGGACTCACTCTGGACAAACTCCAGGGCTTTGATGGTTCTCTCCAAGCCACTGATCTTCTCCTGGCTCTTAATGCAATCTCTCTGCAGCTGCCTCACTTCTTGCTGTTTCTCTTTCAACAATTCCTGAAGTTCTCTAGTCTGAGTCCGGCCGTTGTCTCCCTTCCAGGCGCTCTTGACTTTCTCCACGTTCTCTTTCTTCTCGGCTTCCACCTCAAGCTTCTCCCTCAACAGATGCCGCTTCTCGTCTTCCAGGAGGCTCAGGGCCCCCTGAAGACCTTCCATCTCACTGAAGAGCTGCTGGTTCTTGCTCTCCAGGTTGGCCATGTCCTGCTGGTAGTTCCCAATGCTCCCGTTCAACTCAGCCAGCTGGTTCATCAGCCTCTCTTCAAGGTCATCCTTCTCAGTTTCCAAAGCTTCTTTCAACATCAATGCCTCAGCCAGCTGCTCCTTGGTTTGCCCACAAGCTTCCTCCATCTTGATGACCTTTTCTTGGAGAGCTTCCAATTCCTGGCCTTTCAAAGCCAGTAAGCCCTCCAGGCGGTTCTTCTCTTCCTTCAGGACCTCCAAATCCCCATGGGCCTTATTCATTTCCTCTACCGCCATCTTCCTCTTATCTTCTAGTGCCGCCATTTGTTCCTGAAGCTCTGCTACTTGTTGACTATCCCCAACTCTTTCATCATACAAGGGGCCAGCTGTGCTAAGCTCTTCCTTCTTGTCCTCAAGGCTCGGAGTGACAGTGATGAGAACTTCAGAACCCGTGTCTGGATCTCCTTCCTCAGCCACCTCCTCTGAAGATGACATCATGGTGGAACCAACTACCTCGCTTCTGGCCACCATCTCCTCTTGGGTGCCTCTCTGATCTTCCTTGTTTTGCAATGTCTGCCTCAAGTTTTGGATTTCCTGCTTCAAGAGGTCCTTTTCGGCGACCAGCGCTTTCATCTCATCAGAAAGAGCCTGGCAATTGTTCTTGGAGGTCTCCAGCTCTTCTCGAAGAGCAGAATTGGTCCCACCCTGTCTACCATCCCCGGGATGGATTTCCAACCTCAGCTGCTCGTTCTCTTCCTCCAGCTCCAGGATCTTCTGCTGCTTGGACTTGGCAAACTTCCTCATCTTCTCCCTCATGCCTTCCATCTCCTGTTCTGCTCCCTGCAGGCGAGCTTCCCCATCCTTCTTCTCGGCTTCCACCTCTTTTAGTCTGAGGAAGAGGTCCTGCTTCTCCTGCCGGACGCTCTCCATCACCCGCTGGATCCGCTCGGCCTCATCGCTGACGTTCTCATACGATTGCAGGAGCGTCTCGTACTCCTTCTGCAGCTCCTCATGTTTCCTCCGCCACTCGGAGAGCTCCTGGGCCTGCCTTTCCTTCAGCGAGTCCATTTCCTCCTCCAGTCTTGTCTTCTCCTGAGTCACCCCTTCCAGTGCCAACTTCAGACTCTCACAGGAACCGGTCACGTTCTGGTTTTCCACCAAGGCGTTGTCCACTGCGGAAATGAGTTTGTCCCTTTCCTTCTTGAGGGTCGCCAGTCTCTCCAACAGGACCACCTTCTCCTTGTCCAGCTCAGACGCCCGAAGCTCTACCTCTTGAAGATGGAGAGAGGTGCTTTCCAGAGCGGCCTTGGTGCCGGACAACTCGTCCTTCAGCCCCTTGCTCTCTTTCAGGGCTTCCTTCCTGGAGATGAGGGCTGCCTGCAGCTTCCTCTGGACCTGGGCTTTGGACTGGGTCTCTGCCGATTTCACCTGCAGTTCGGCCTGCAGCTGCTGGGCTTGGTCCAACTGTCCCTGCAAAGCTTGGATCCTATTCTCCCTCTCTTGCAACTCAGCTTGGAGGCCACCCAGGGACACGTTTTTATCTGCTAACTGGGAGTGAAGGCCTTGGATTTCTTCTCTGCTGTTGAATTCCTTCTCCTCTTGGTGGCATCTCAGCTTCTCCTGCCTGGCGATTTCTTCCTGGCTCTCCTGCAACTCCAGCTTCAGGCTTTCCATGCTGGCTTCTGCCTGACTGCAGGCAGCTTTGGCCATCTCCACTTCGGCGAGAAGTTGCTCGACGTTTTCCTGGAGGAGCAGAACCTTCTCAGACTTGGCGTCCAGTTCGCCTTCCAGATGCGTGAGGTGGGCTTCCAGTTCTCTCTTATCCGCCTGAAGCTTCTCAAAGTCAGCCTTCAGCTGGGCCACAACTGAGTCTTCGGTTGCCAAGGAAGCGCGTTCTTCAATGACCTCCTGGCCAAACTCCTGCACAAGCCCTGATGCTGGACCTTCAGAAGAAACATCTCCAGCAGGTTTCTGAGGAGGGAAGCTCTCCAGGGCCTTGGCGAGCGTCTGGAGCTGGTCCTGCAGGTTCTCCTTCTCCCTGCTTTCCTGCTCAAACTGCTCTTGTAGCAACTTGTAGTCATCCTTCTGCTGCTTTAGCAGCTCGCGATAATGACGATCCTTCTCCTTGGCTTTCTTGATGGTCTCCTTCCGCGAGACCAAAGCTTCTTGCAGCTTCTTTTGGAGCTCTTCTCTCTGCTGGACCAGTGCCGAGAACTCTTCTTGGAAGATCTTATTTCCTCCTTCCGGGCCAAGGTCAGCGTTGCTGCTTGACCTACCTGCCCCGGAATCTGCTGAGCTGGACCCCTCCAAATTCTGATCCGCTGGACTCTGTTTCTCGGGGGACAACTTGCAGTCTTTGAGCTCAGCCTGCAGGGCGTTGATCTGAAGGTCCTTCTGCTGCAGGCTTTGCTGCAACTCTGCAATCACGGTCCGTGGCCACGTGCAATCTTCTTCCTCAGGGGTGACCTGCGACGTGGCTTCCTTTGCAGAGGGCAGCTGGTTCAGGGAGGCAGCCCTGCCCCGCCTTACGGGATGCCCTTGGCCGCTAGGGCTCTCAGAGGGATGTCCACCTCCTTCGTTCTCCTGAGCCAGCCCCTCCTGGCTCTCAGCTGGAAGCGCTTCCCCTCCTTTTCCTTCCTGCTCCAGCTGGCGAACCCTGCCGAGGAGCTCCTTCCTACTGAGAAGAGCAGCCTGCAGCTTCTTCCTCATGAGCTCGTTCTCCTTCCTTAGAACTTCCGCTGCTTCACTGGTGGGCAACTCCTCGGCCAGCGGCCGGCTCTCCTCTGTCTCCACCGCCTGCTCTCTGGTCTCCTTCCCTTGCTGCAAGATGCATAGCTGCTCCATCGCGCTCTTCAGCTCTTTCCCCAGCACAAACTTCTCCTCGTTGAGTTGCACCATCCGGTCAGACATGCCCACGCTGACTTCGGCCATCCTCCGTTCCCGCTCCAACACTTCCTGCTGGAGCCTCTCCACCTCCATGGAGTTTTCCGAGAGGAGCGTCGCCAGCTTGGTGGCTTCCAGCTCCTTCAAGGCCAAGGCCTGGGATTGCTCCTCGGCCTTCATGGAAGCCTCCTGCGCCTGTTCAACCAGGGCTCGGCTGTTCTCCTGCTCCTTCTGGAGCTGGCTGAGGAGGTTCCTCCCCACCGTCTCTTGCTCCGAGATTTGACGCTGGGCTTCGTCCAGGTCGTTCTGCAGAGCGACGATTTTCACGTCCTTGGATTGGGCCTCGTTTCTCAGGCTCTGAATCTGCTCCTTCAACAAACCCAGGTGAGAGATTCCACTTTCGTAGTTGGGAAGCTGCGGCTGCAGCTCTGGATGAGCAGGGATGCCTTCGGGCTGAGCTTTCAGTTCTGCGAGGAAGCAGAGTTCCTTCAGGCGAGACAAGAGCTGGTCCTGCTCTGCGTCCAAGGTCTCCGCAGCTCTGGCTGAGGCCTCCACTTGTTCCTGAAGCTGGCCAATTTCTGTGCTTTTCTCCTCCAAGATTCTCTGGTGGGTTTCCACGGCTTCCTGCTGCCTTCTTTGCAGTTCAGCGACTTCTAGCTCCAACCTGGTTATCTTCTGCAACTGCAGCCCAGAGTCTGGAGATGGTCCCTGAGCTGTTTCGTTCTCCTCCGGTCCCAAGAGCAGCCCCAAAACAGAAGGAGAGTCCTGGATGTCTACAGTGACCAGAGAGCTGCTGCTTGAGTCACTCTGGATGGGCACAGCCCCTTCTCCCTCTCTCTCGCCATCGCTCCCCTGGGGACCTCCTGCTTCGGCCTCCAGGCTGCTGGAGAGAGGAAGCTGCCCCTTGAGGAAAGCGATCTCTTCCTGGGCCTCCTGTAGTTCCAGAAGCAGGATGGACAGATCACGCTGCTTCTCCCCAGCGAAGGATTCCTGGAGATCGGGCTGTCCGTCCGGTTGGGCCGGCAGGGGCTCCTCCAGGGTCCGGTCTGCGCTGGACTGAAAGAAGGAAACGAAGAAGTCATTCCTCTACAAGAAGCAGATATTTTATTTTATTATTTCGTATTTTATTATTTTATTTATTTTACCTTTCCTTATCCCAAAGGTGCTTTTTTTTCAAGAGGCCATTGGACTTTCTGGTTTTTCTTTGAAGACGTTTCGCTTCTCACCCAAGGAGCTCCTTCAGCTCTGACTGGATGGAATCCTTCCATTCCCCACCATCCAGTCAGAGCTGAAGAAGCTTCTTGGGTGAGAAGCAAAACGTCTTCAAAGAAAAACCAGAAAGTCCAATGGCCTCTTGAAAAAAAGCACCTTTGGGACAACCAGGACCTGATAGATGACTGAGAATCTCCATAGACCTTACCTTACTTTCCTTTGTTTTACTACATGCTTTCCCTGCGGTCACTTCCCAGGAAACCTGGCCTTGCCACCTCTTCTGCAAAGGTATTTACAGAAACAATTACCTGGTTCAGGGGAGGAGACGGGACTGCGGCTGTTTCCACTTCTGGCTGAGACAAGCTGAGCTCCGGGGGTCTTTCAGGGGTCTCGCCTGGGGCAGAAAACGCAACATGAGCTTTCCCTCAAAAGTGGAATCAGAGACACACACACACACACACACACAAGCCGAGATAAGCAGAAAACGGCCACCAAGTGAAGCCCTCTCCTTAAATCTGCTCTTGGTTAAGGAGCAGCCAGACTGAGAGGCCATTTTCATTTCGCAAAAACTGAAAGGACTTAAAATCCTGAAGGCTGCCACGGGCACAACCGACATGCTGGGCTGTTCCTGAGCAGGGGATACTGACACGGTGTCAGAGCATAGTAGTATGTGCATAGTAGCATCGTAATACATAGTAGTATAGTAACAGAGGACCTGACTTAGATGAGGGGATAGAAGGGGAACAAACTTGCAAATGACACTAAGCTGACGGGAACAGCCAACACCCCAGAAGACGACCTCAGGATCCAAAAAGATCTTGACAGACTTGAACAATGGGCTCCAAGATCACTGCAGATGGGGACTGCAGCCAAGACATTAAAAGATGCTTGCTCCTGGGGAGGAAAGCTACGGCAAATATAAACAGCCTACTAAGAAGCAGAGACATCACCCTGCCAATGAAAGTGTGTATGGTCAAGGCTCTGGTTTTCCCAGTTGCAATGGATGGCTGTGAAAGCTGGACCACAAGGAAGGCTGAGCGCCAAAGAATGGAGGCCTTTGAACTCTGGTGCTGGAGAAGACTCCTGCGAGTCCCTTGGACTGCAAGGCCATCCAACCGGTCAGTCCTAGAGGAGATCAACCCTGACTGCTCTTGAGAAGGCCAGATCCTGAAGAGGAAACTCAAACCCTTTGGCCACCTAATGAGAAGGAAGGACTCCCTGGAGAAGAGCCCAGTGCTGGGAACGATGGAGGGCAAAAGAAGGAGGGGACGGCAGAGAACGAGGTGGCTGGATGGAGTCACTGAAACAGTCGGCGTGAGCTTAAATGGACTCCAGAGGATGATAGAGGACAGGAAGGCAAGTTTTCCATGGAGTCGCGATGGGTCGGACTCAACTTCGTAACTAACAACAACAATAATCCAACAACATGAAGTTTAATGTGGAGAAAAGCAAGGTTTTACACTTGGGCAGGAAAAAAACCCAAAGGTACAAGTACAGATTAGGCGAAACCTGGCACAAAAACTGTGAGAGGGACCTTGGAATCCTAGAGGACGATCCCTTAAACGTGAGCCAGCCGTGTGCAGCAGCAGCCAAAAAAGATAATATAATCCTTGGTTGTATAAAGAGAGGGAGAATCAAAAACACATGAAGCATTAGAACCGCTTTATAAAGCCTTAGTAAGGCCACACCTGGAATACTTGCATCCAGTTTTGCTCACGTTACACAAAAGATCTTGAGACCTTGGAAAAAGTGCAGAGAGGCCCGAGAAAGATGATTAGGGGGCTGGAGGCTAAAACCTATAAAGAACGGCTGGAGGATTTGGGTTTGGCCAGTCTAGAGAAAAGAAGGACTAAGGGGGACATTCTAGCAGCATTCCAGTATTTGAGGGGCTGCCCCAAAGAAGAGGGGGTCAGTCTATTCTCCAAAGCACCAGAAGGCAGGACAAGAAACGATGGATGGAGGCTAAAAAAGGGTAGAAGCAATCTGGAATTAAGGAGAAACTTCCTAACAGTGAGGACAATTAACTAGTGGAACTCCTTGCCACCAGAAGTTGTGGGAGCTTCATCACTGGAGGTTTTCAAGAAGAGACTGGACAGCCATTTGTCTGAAATAGCACAGGGTCTCCTGCTTGAGAAGTGGGTTGGACTAGAAGACCTCCAAGGCCCCTGCCAGCTCTATTCCGATTGAATGGTTGACATTTTACAATCAATCAAAATGTGGGGATGAGTGTTGCTAACAGCCTAACCAGAAAAAAGCACCAGCTTTTTGCACCAGTTGCACCACCAACTAACGGCCTTAGGACAGCCCCTGACCTCCTCTCCTTCCGCCGCAAATTGAAGACGTGGCTCTTTCATCAAATGGGCTGATCCGCAGAGGTGATTTTAAATAATTTTAATCAATTTTTAATTGGATTTTTAATGTTTATGTAATTTTTGTTCCGTTCTTTGTAAGCCGCCCCGAGTCCTTCGGGAGAGGGGCGGCATATAAAATACATACATACATACATACATACATACATACATACATACATACATACATACATAGCTGATGGAGAATCTATCCAGGTATCTCGGGAATAGAATGAGGATCCCTGGGAACAGACATACTTTCATTACTGGGTTTACTCTCTATTTATATACTTATTACCTTGCCCTGTCAGTGTTCCTGGGACTGTTCTTGGTTCCTTCATTCGACTGTTGTTTATTGGACTGAATTGGTAAACTCCTTGAATCCAGCAGTAAACAATACCTCAATTAGGAATCACCAACTCAGACAAACAATCAAACAGTAAACAATAGCCTGATCACGAAGAACACTGCCACTAGTATGTAAACAGAGAGCAAACCTCCCTTCCAGCACTGATGATGTTCCCTAGTTGGGTTATAAAATGTCTGCAAGAGAATCACCCAGCTCAGAGAGCAACCAAGGACCCCACATTTCAACCCTGAGCTACAAATATTCTCTTCTGTTACTTTGATTCCTTCAGGAGGACGTCGCTGCTTCCTTACAGATGGGTTTTTTCCTCTGACCTTGCATGGTAGAAGCGTCGTCAGGCGGGCTCTCCGGTGGCGCATCCCCCTTCTGCCGCAGCTGGGCGTTCTCTGCTTGGACAGCCTCGTAACTGGCATGGAGGTCCTGCTCTGCTTTCTGAAGCTCGACCATCTCCTCGTTCTTCTCGGCCACCTCCAGGGCGTGCCTGGCCTCCTCGGCCTGCCTCTCCTGCTCTCGCTCGGCCTGGGCTGCTCTCGCCTGGGCCAGCTCTTGGCTCAGCTCTTGAACCTCCTCCTGGCTCTGCTGGAAGGCCGTCTTCTGCTTGGCCAGCTCCAGCTCCAGCCTCCTGACCAGGTTTAGGGATTCCTCCTGGGCAGAAGCCAGGGTGCTTCTGGAGGTGTCCAGCTCTGCTTCTGCCTTTTGCAGCTTCTCCAGGAGATTCTAGGGAAGAGAAAGACGGAAGCGTGGAGCTCAGCCAGAGATAGGAAGGACACCATCTTCATTGAGGAGAAGACAACAGAAAATGGACAGCAGAGGAATTCTGGTGGGGGGAGGGAATCAGTCATTTCCCCCTCTTAGGTGGGGTTATATGTGGGGGCAGAAGAAGGGAGCTATGCGCATAGAAGTTGCAAAAGCCAGATTGCTGGATGGATGGATGGTTTACTCCACATCCTGACAATGGAGCCAAGACGACCCAGGGAGGAAATATCAAATCCAGGAAAACTGTTGCCTCTAATGTAAATGAGTTTTCTTAAAAAGATATTTTACGACACAATAGAAGTTTTTTTTAAAAAATGAAAACTAATATAAAAATCAGAAAAAGGTTTTTAAAAAAACAAAAACAAAAAGGAAGGAAAGATAGAACGTTGCCTCTTCCTTGCATCAAGGAATTGCCACCTCTTTCCCCTCTAACCCTTTCTAATCCTTAAATCCCTAAATCACCAGCTCTGTCTTTTTGTTCTTTCAGCAAAAAGTCCAGCTCTAGGTTTCCATTTTTTAAAAAACAAAGTCTTAAATGTTTGTTTGTTTGTTTGTTTCCCTGACCGCACGATCATGTTAAAAACTTGGATTTGCTTTATTTAAAAGTCAGGAAGTAATTCTGCTCCTGGATGTGTGCATTTTTTTTTGCAAACCGAAATTGCAATAAAAGGCGATTCTTGTCGGGATACCCAGGGGCGATACCTGCTTTTCTTCCTGAGAGCTGTTCAGTTCCTGCTGCAGCAATTCGACCACCTGCGTCCGGCCCAGCAAAGCCTCCTCCTGTTCTTCCACCTTCCGCTGCAGCTGCCTCAGATTCTATTGTGGGGGAGGGAGGAAAGAGAGAGAGAGACCCCAAAAGGCCCAGGTTCAAAAGCCACAAGACTAAAATACAGATTTCTCACTGCCGGCTTTGCCTCTGGCCAGATATAAGGAGTCCTCGGCTTACGACCACAACTGAGCCCAAAATTTCTGTGGTTAAGTGAGACCTTTGTTCAGTGAGTTTTGTCAAGAGGAACTGGCAGAGACATGGTAACAAGGCCAGCCAATGAATAGGCATAGCAACTAAGTCAGCCAATTGGGAGCTGAGACGGACTGGAGCTCTCAGGGCGTGTCTTAGTCTGCAGCTTCTGAGTCTGTGCAGAGAAACTGAAACTAGTCTGCTGCTGGAAAGCAATCTCTCCTCTGCCTGTGAATCTGCTATTGGTATTGTAAATTTACTTCATGTATTATTGTGTATATAAAGAAGTTAATGAATCCTGCTGCATCGGTCTGCCTGTGTGTGCTTTCTGGATTTAATTTCTGCAAGAAACTCTGACATGCTTTGCCCCGTTTTACGACCTTCCTTGCCACAGTGGTTATGTGAATCGTTGCAGTTGGTAACTCAGTCCTTAAGCGAATCTGGCTTCCCTGTGGACTTTGTCAGAAGGTCGCAAAAGGAGATCACGTGACACACACACAGGGATGCTGCAACCGTCATAAATAGGATCCAGTTGCCGAGCGTCCGAATTTTGATCCCGTGACTATGGGGATGCTGCAACGGTCGTAAATGTGAAACACAGTTGTCACTTTTTTCAGTGCCGTTGTAACTCTGAGTGGCCCCTACTACCTGTAAATCTTTGGCAGCTTCCCCGAAGCCAACCACCTGCTGCATTTCTGCTTCGCGGGCCGACCAGGCCTCTACCTGGTGGATTTCTGCCTGATGCTGGAGAGCCTGTTCTTCGCGGAGTGACTCTTTCTCCAGCACTTCCCTTTGAAGGGAGCTGATCTGCCGAGAGAAGAATGAAATAAAATGAGGATTATAATGGGGGAAGCCTCAGGAGAGTCGCTGGAGCCCCCAGGGCAGAAAAGAGACAATGCTAAAATAATCCCTTTCCATGGGCAGCCTGGAAGTTGGGAAAATGCTTTTGGTTCAAATGTACCAGGCACCTGGAGGCGAAACTCTCCCACGCAGGGTTATCTCTCATTCACCAGGTGCCTCGTGAGAGGCTGAGGCTCTTCTTTTCTGCATTATTATATTCACATCCCACCTTTATTCTTTCTACAGATAAGGTGGGGAAGATGTCCAACGCACCTTCCTCCTTCTTCTGTTGTCCCCACAACAACAACCCTGTGAGGTGGGTTGGCAGAGAGAGAGAGAGAAGGTGATTGGGCTAAAGGCACCCAGGTGGCTTTCACGCCTAAGGCGGGACTAGAACTCACCATCTCCTGGTGATTGACCCAAAGTCACACGGTCAATTCTCATCTCTAATGAAGGACTAGAACTCACCATCTCCTGGTGATTGGCCATCACAATCCTGGTGATTGGCCCAAAGTCACCCACCTGGCTTTCATGCCTAAGGCAGGACTAGAATTCACATTCTCCTGCTCTCTAGCCTGGTGCCTTAACCACGAGACCAAAACTGGCAACATGCTTCAGCAGGCAACTTTGGACCACAATTTCAAACTGTGTATGGAAACACCAAAGCATTGCTGGACAAGTTATAGGAATTTCACAGGAGAAGAGAAAACACCTAGTAATCTATAATGTACAGTCATTGGTTTTATGGTTCCCTTGCCAATATTAGCCTGAGAAGATCCCAAGAGGTCAGAAAACCCCCCCAAAAAGCCCAGATGGGCATCGCGGATTCCCCACCTGGGCCTGGGCATCCCCGAGTCTTCCCGTCGCTTCCTCCAGCTGCCCTCGGAGTTCCGTTACCGTTTCTTCCTGCTCCTGAAGCTGCCTCCTGAGGACGCCCGTCTCGTCCACCGTCCCGTCGCTTAGGCCATGGTCACCCTGATAGCACCGAAGACAGGCATGAGTTTTGGGAGAAGATTTAGGCAGTCCTGGACTTTTCAAAAGTTGTCATGTTTTAACAGATTAACAAAGTTGGAAGGGACCTTATAGGTCGTCTAGTCCAACCCCCCCCCACCCACCCAAGCAGGAGACCCTACACCATTTTTGACAAAGGGCAGCCCAGACTCTTCTTGAAAGCTTCCAGTGATGAAGCTCCCACCACTTTTGAAGGCACTTCTGTTCCATCGGTGGATTGTTCTCACTGTCAGAAAATTCCTCCTTATTTCCAGGTTGAATCTCTCCTTGGTCAGTTTCCATCCATTATTCCTTGTCTGGCCTTCGGGTGTTTTGGAAAATAGCTTGAGCCCCTTCCTCCTCTCTGGGGCAGCCCCTCAAATACTGGAAGATGCTCTCCTGTCTCCCCTGGTCCTTCTCTTCGCTAGACTAGCCATGCCCAGTTCCTGCAACCGTTCTTCGTATGTTTTAGCCTCCAGTCCCTTCATCATCCTGGTTGCTCTTCTCTGCACTTTTTCTAGCGTCTCAACATCTTTTTTATAGCATGGCGACCAAAACTGGGTGCAGGATTCTAGGTGTGGTTTTAGGCAAAGCGCTCCTGAATCCATGTCTTTATTGGAAGGGATAAGTTTGCCAGTGGAAGTGGGCAGAGGGTCTGTGGACGGGAAGGGGCTACGTGGCTGAATGGGACTCTCTCACTCAGCCAAGAAGCCAAGAAAGACATTCGGAGGACAGCCACTCCCTCCTCCCACGTGGGACGTTTTGGACGCCCGGCTTGGAGGTGGTGCCTTGGTCCCTGCGGAGGGGAGGGGGCTCACCTGGACAGGAGGCGGGGGCCCTTCCGGCTGCCCCTCGGCAGGTGCTGCCCTTCCCTGGGCCGTCAGCTCCTCGATGCGCTTGTTCAGGTTGGCCACCTTCACTTTAGCCTGCAGCTTCAGCTTCAGCAGTTTCGCATCGGCTGCCTGCCTCTCCTCCTGCAGGGGAACCACGACGTCACACACAGGGCCAGAGCTACGGGGGCGTGAGGGGCAGGGGTGACCCTTGCAGGAGGATGCCCGGAGGGGTTTGGGGAAGAGAGGGCTGTCCTCTGCATCAGGTGAACAAAAGATCCAGGGAAGCCCTTTCGGCCCAGAAGGAAAAGCTCATTTCCTGGGGGTGTTTGGGGGCGATTCCTGCAGGGCCAGGTTACTTCCCCTCTCTTGTGTATTTATTGATGGATTTATATCCCACCTTTATTACTTTTACAAATGACTCAAGGTGAGAACATACCCAGCACACCTTCCTCCAATCTTCCCTCCCGTAAGGTGGGTTGAGCTGAGAGAGGAGGACTGGCCCAAAGTCACCCAGCCGGCTTTCCTGCCTAAAGTAGGACTAGAACTCACCGTCTCCTTATGATTGGCCCAGAGTCAGCCAGCCAGCTCTCATGTCTAAAATAGGACTAGAATTCACCGTCTCCTGGTGATTGACTCAAGTCACCTAGCCGGCTTTATTTATGGCATTTTTTTTTTACTAAAACCAGTATTTACTTCTCTTTTTCTGCAAGAACACCTCATAGCAAACCGAGGATCTACTTAAACAATCATGGTATTCATTTAACAAGTGCCACACAAAAGGCCATCCAATCAGGTCCGGTCACTTGATTACCTGCTCTACGACTGTCACAACTTACGATCGGAATAGGCAGGCTCCATTACAGTCCTAAGTTAAGGACCCTCTGCGGCTGAACTAAAAATGTAATAATTTTACAGTTGCCAAACACTTCGCGCGAAAAATTTCTAGCCCGTTTTTTTTTTTTAAAATTTCCTTCTAGGGAATTGCTTTTCGGCTTTTAAATATAGCAAGCCCACCCATGCTAATTTTCCTATGTTTCCCCCCGCCCCACCTTCCCCAAAGTGCAGCAGGAAATAGTGGAGCAACCTTGTCCAAGTGTAGCAGCCCAGTTGGGGGCCAGATGCAGCCCATTGCTGATGGCTGCTAAAACTCCCATCCCACCCACCCATTAACTCGTTTAAGTTCATCCTTTATTCCAGGGGTCTCCAACCTTGGCAACTTTAAGACTTGTGGACTTCAACTCCCAGAATTCCTCAGCCAGCTTTGCTCCACAAATCTTAAAGTTGCCAAGGTTGGAGACCCCTGCTTTATTCAATACAGGGCATTTGTTGCCAAAAACCAGAAGTAAACACTGGTTATCATAAATATAGCCAGTTGAATGAATTTGAGCCAATCACCAGGAGATCGGGAGTTCTAGTCCCGGCTTAGGCATGAAAGCCAACTGGGTGACTTTGGGCCATTCCCCAGGAGGCTGTGAGTTCTAGTCCCACCTTAACACACACACACAAACGGAAGCTCCTGTCCAGGAGAAAGAGGGCGTCTGCTTTCCACCCACCTGAAGCGTGGCCTCCTTCTGATGGAGCTGAGCGTCCTTCTCCCGCACCAGGGTCTTCAGCTGTGCCACCAGCTTCTCCATGTGGGCCAGCCGTTCCAGGACGTCTTCTGGGGTCTCCTCCCCATTCTGCTGGCTGGATTCAAACTCCGGTCCCTGCAGAGGAGGAGAAAAAAAAAATGGGAAGCAGAAGCCCTTAAGTCACCCCTGTAGCTTTTCAAGCTCTCGGTCCCCAAACAAGGGTTGGTGTCACATGAATGTCCGAGAAGGGACTCGCCATTCATTTAGTGCTCCTGGGGGGGTTAAGATGCAAAGGAGGCCAGACGCTTTGGCTGTCGCTTTTGTGAAAGGCCCAAACCCAGTGGTGAAATCCAATTTTTTTTATTATCGGTTCTGTGGACGTGGCTTGGTGGGTGTGGCAGGGGAAGGATATTGCAAAATCCCCATTCCCACCCCACTCCTGGGGGAAGGAGATTGCAAAATCTCCATTCCCACCCCACTCTGGGGCCAGCCAGAGGTGGTATTTGCCGGTTCTCTGAACTACTCAAAATTTCCGCTACCAGTTCTCCAGAACCTGTCAGAACCTGCTGGATTTCACCCCTGGGTCAACCTCTATATTCTGCCACAAATGACCAAGTCTCAAAGATTTAAAAACCTATCTGTTTCCTCCGAAGCTGAGGGCTAAGATGACTAAATTAAACTAAAAATTAAAATTAAATATAAATGTGGAATAGGTTGCCTGTTACAGATTATTAAGTGGTGCTAACTGGTGCTTTATTTATTTATCATCTTTTAACGACCCCATAATCCTTTGCGGGGTGAAGTCAGGGCAACTGAATGGAGGTAGCAGAGTGTTTTACTGGCCGGATGCCCTTCCTGTCACCAATGCAGTGTTTTGTTCAGCAGATCTATTCTCATTGTGCCCAGTAGACAGAAATATCTGCCTCTACCTAGAATTGAACTCACAGCCTCCAGATTGCGAGGCGAGAGCTCCACCACCAGGCCACCGCATCACTGCTTTATTTATCCTATGTATATAGGTTGCCCTTTATTTATACTCGTATATGTTGCCCATCTCACTGATAAGGTGACTCTGGGCAGCTCCAGTTGACTCAAGATCGTTTTATCTCTAGTTAATTAATTTAAAGTGTTTATACAGCCACTCAGTTTTATAGCTGTTGCTTTGTCAATGTTCCACCATCCAATTGACTCAAGAACAATTAAGAATGCTGGCTTTGAATAAAAGGAGGCCTGTAATTGTAGGTTGACTTGCATCAAAGCAAGGAGAGATTAAGAAGAAATTTCTTTGAAGTGGGAACAATTAACCAGTGGAACAGCTTGCCACCAGAAGTTGTGGATGCTGCATCACTGGAGGTTTTTAAGAAGAGACTGGGCAGCCACTTCTCTCAAATTGTACAGGATTTCGTGCTTGAGCAGGGGGTTGGACTAGAAGACCTCCAAGGTCCCTTCCAGCTCTCTTCTGATTGAAACTGTGGGTGCTCCATTACTGGAGGCTTCTAAGAAGAGATTGGGTTGGATTGGGCAACTTTCTCTTGCCAAACTGGTCCGGGACAGAACAGGCGACTTACAGCGGGGGACGGTGCCGTCCCGCCATCTTCTCCTTCCCCAGAGAGCTCGTGCAGGACAGTGCTGGCCAGCCCCGACAAACGGCTGAGCATCTTCACCCTCCAGGCAACCAGCGGCACAGGGGGAGGAGGAGGAGGAGGAGGTCGGCTGGAGCATAAAAGGAGCACAGAAGGTCCAGAGAAGGAAGGAGTCACAGCTTGCAAGCCGCCGGGGTCTCCGATAGGCTGCCCAGGTGCACGTTGGTTTCTTCCTTGGCGGGCACTCAGCTGCTTTGGCCGATAGTTTTTCTGCAACAACAATCATAATTTAACCCAAAGTAAAAGGTAACACACTACACAGCTCTGTGTTTATGTCCCAGAGTAAAAGATATCCTGTGCACTTCCTTAGAAAACATAGAAGAAAACATGCAACTCAGCCTTTGTTTGGATCATTTATTCACTTTCGGTTTCTACAGCCACCCCAACTCAGCCAAGTGACTCTGGGTGAAATGTGCCCATTGCCCAGGGGAAAAAAGACCCAGGGGTCCTGGAAAAAACATTCCGGCAAATCAGTGTGTAGACCACAGTTTAGGAAGCCTGCAATGAATGCACAAACCCTTGGCAGCCATTTCGTGGGAGCGCCCGCAAGGCGCTCCCCGAATCCCATCCATTCTGTGCTCTCACGCTGCCAAGGCTAAATAAAAGAGCCATCACCGGGAAGGGACGTTCTAACACAGTTAAACTGCCAGAATCCTGAAGAGTCAAGTATGTTCTGGTGGAAGAAGAGGAAGTTCCAAGCAAGGCGCTAGTCCTCATGAGATCTGAGTCATGTAATCTCACAGAGGGCTTCAAAGCAAAGAACAGAGTCAGCTTTTAAGTCGCTGCTAAAGCCAGGATTCAAACTGTCACATCATTCAAATGAGGTATAAGTGGCACAGGGGTATCATACACCGTTTAGTCACAAATTGATGACTCATCATGCCTCCCAATCAATTCCAATAGGAATCGATTGATAAAAAGCCTTCAAGTTAATGAACTAGCCCTAGTCCTAATCTGAGTATGGCCCTAAAGGAACAGATGTGCAAGGGGGCACATATGGTCCATGCCATTTATTTGAGTATATGGTCATACACAAATTGGGACTAGGGCCAGATCATTACCTTGAGGGTCAGAATGCTTTCTATAAATTGATAGAAAAGGAAGGTATGAGGAGTAATCTGTCTGTCTGTCTGTCTACATCTATCTATCTTTTCTATCTTTTCTATCTTTTCTATCTTTTCTATCTTTTCTTTCTATCTATCTATCTATCTATCTATCTATCTATCTATCTATCTATCTATCATCTATATCAGTAGTGGGTTTCAAAAAATTTTACTACCAGTTCTGTGGATGTGGCTTGGTGGGTGTGGTAAATTCCTGGAGCAAATTTTTTTCCTTGTGCTAATCAAGCTATGCTGAAAATGAAAGTAAAGCAGGCTGTTTGCGGTTTACTGCAATGCAAAATTAGGCAGAGGCAGAGGAAGATTTCGTTTTTCTTCTTTTTCCTCATTAAAAAAGGTAGGTACAAACAATGGAAAATTTAGGGCAAAAGAGGAGAGTTCAAGATTTTAAAACACAAAAGAAAAAAAGGAGAAAGAAAAAGACAAAAATAAAAATGGGAAGGGAGAAAAAGAAATGAAAGAGAAAGATGTTATACATATTTAGAATTGAAATATGAATAGTAGTAAGAAATAAATGGGAAATCATGATTGTAAAAATGAAATGAATAATAATTGGAATGTCTGTCTTTGTATTTTTGAAATCTAGACAATGATAAGTTTTTTTTTGTTTTGTTTTGTTTTTAGAAATATGTATAAACTGTAAATTGAAATACCTTTAATGGTATATGGTGGTGAAAGTAAAAACGATTTAAGTTGTAGATTGGATAACAGCTAGAACATTTTAAAATTTAATTAGGGAAATTGTAACAATTGAAATATTTTTCATTATATATTGCGATGAAAGTAGAAATGATTAAGTTGTGATTTGGAGGATTATATGGGCAAAACTATTTGGGTTATTGGGAGAGTTTAAGATGTGAAAATGAGTAACATAACGGGAAAGCTCTATTTAACTAGGGAATTGTAATAATTGAGATGCTATTAATTGTATATTGTGTTGAAAGCAGAAATGGTTAAGTTGTGGTTTGGAGGAATATATGGGGGAAATATATATATGGTTTATTATTGGTAAATATAATTAATTGATTTGTAAGAAATTGGATTGCATGGAAATAATTGGAATATTCATGTTCATATTGATTAATATACAAAAAAGTTAGTTATATAACTAATTGGTTTATATTAAAATGTTGAATTTGTATTAAACAACTGTAATATTACATAATTAACCAATGTGAGGATGGATATAAAAATAGATGACAATGGGAAAGGGTATAATATAGAAGAGAAGAGAAAAATTGAATTTGATTAAGATTAGAGATGAGGATGAAGAGTAATATTGGTTTTTTTAAAAAAATAGATGAGGAATATGGCAAAAAGGAAATATAGAAATTGTAAATTTAATTGAAATGACTAAACACTGTTTAAATTTGTGAACTCTGTTCAAACAAATACTCTGTTCAAAGAAAATACATTGTATGTTTGTAGGTGTGTTTGCCTAAAATATATATATATATATATATATTAAAAAAAAAAAAGTAGGTGCGTCTTATACTCTGTACGGTAGATTGTTGGGTTGAATCTTTAAACTGCTCAGAGAGGGCTGGAAAGCAGTAGGAAGTGGTATATAAGTTTAATTGCTATTGCTATTGTCCTTCCATCCTTCCTTCCTTCCATCCCTCCCTCCTTTCCTTCAGGTTGATTCCGCCTTCCATCCTTCCGAGGTGGGTAAAATGAGGACCCAGATTGTTGGGGGCAATTATGCTGACTCTGTAAACCGCTTACAGAGGGCTGGAAACCACCGTGAAGTGGTATGTAAGTCTAAGGCCTATTGCTATATATCTATCTATATCTAATCTATACATACACATACACATACATGCATACATGCACATACATACATATACATACATACATACATATATATATGTATATGTATTTTTCTCTCAGCCAGGTTTTTCCTACATAAATCAAGATCTTTATACAGCCATAGTTCAGTGAAATCTCATTCACTAGTTTCTAGGCTTTATCAGACAGCAAACCAACATTTTGCTATCTGTTGTGAGACTTAAAGGAGTTAAATGCTGGTTTGCTGTCTGATAAAGCCTAGAAACTAGTGAATGAGATTTCACTGAACTATGGCTGTATAAAGATCTTGATTTACGTAGGAAAAACCTGGCTGAGAGAAAAATACACATAAAGACCTACGAAAAGAGAATAATAAATATATATATATTTGCTGATAAAGAAATAAAGGGAGACTAGAATAGATCTATTTCAATAGCTTGAAAATAGCTCTATACTCGCCTCCCTTTATTTCTTTATCAGCAAATATAAATTTGGTATAAAAATGGCTTGTCGTGAATGCGACGGATTGGAGCTGAAAGACGAAAGGGAAACAGGATGCTTCCCTCCCGTATTGGGGTAGACCAGGTGCTGCGACAGAAAAACACTTAAGAGATAGATAGATAGATAGATAGATAGATAGATAGATAGATAGATAGATAGATAGATAGATAGATAATAAATAAATGATTAATAGGGGTAGATAGAGATACTATTGATTATAGATAGATAGATAGATGATTGATAGAGGTAGATAGATAAATAGAGATACTATTGATCGGGTGTTTGTATGTAGGTCTTTGGTTATTCGGGTTTTCTCCCACCAGATAGATAGATAGATAGAGATAGAGAAAGAGAGATGGATGGAGGGGAGGGAGGAGGGGCTCCTGGGGGCTCCTGATTCTTTCCTTGCAGACCTTTCACGACCCAACTAGGTCACCTCATCCGTGCTAGAAGGGGCTGGGGGTGGGGGGAGGGGCGGCCGAAGGCTTCTAAGCTGCTGTCTGGGCAGGAGGAGGCGAACGTCTCCAGGGGGCACCCCGAGGTCCACAAGACGGTCCCCGCCGAGACCCTCCTCCTCCGCTCCTCCGAGGGGCTCTTAGGGTGTTTTTATCCGCCTGCAGGACGGGGGGGGGAAGAGACGCTGCACCGGTTGGGCCTCGGCCTGCAGAGCCGGTGGGGAGTGGGGCGCTCCGAGCTCTTGGAGGGCAAAGCAGGCGGGAGTCCAACCGGGGCTCCTGCAGAGTTGAGGCCTGCGCCGCCGCCCAGAGGATTGAAAGGGGGGAGATTTGAGGCTGAGAGAATCGGCGACCCCGGGCGAGACTCACCGCTCCGACGCGCCGCCGGGTTCCGGCCACATCAGCACCGGAAGCGCCCCGGTCTCCGGCCACTCGGCACTTCCGGCTGCCTCACTTCCAATCCCCCGCCTCTTTCTCTCCGATCTCGGCCAATAGGAATGGGAAATATTCGAGACAGACAGGTTCTTTGTCCAATCGCTCGGCGCGGCTTGGGCTGTTGCTGTGGTTTCGCGGAGGAGAAGGGCGGTCCGGGTCACGCCTCTTTTTCCACCAATGAGCAAACGCGGCTTGGGCGCCGCCCTGCCCGCACCAAAACAAACCAAAGGAAGCCAATGGGAAGAGGCGCTCGTGCCGCTCGGAACCAATCGGCGGCCGCGTCTCCTGGAAGAAGGGACCAATCGGAGTCTGAGGGGGCGGGGGCAGAAAAAAAGTTAAACCGTCCCCGTCCAGTGGAGGGGGAGGGCATCGATTTGCATATGGTAATTTATGTTAATGTTTGAGGTCTCGCCTGCAGCATTCAATGAATGAAAGAAGCGGCGGAAGGCAGAAAAGCTTTTAAAAATCCTTTTTTATGTTAATTTTTTTTTAAATGTATTTAACAATTTTCAACAGAGCCCCTTTGAAGAGTGAGATGGGAGGCATATAAATGTAGTAAATAAAAGAGGGAAGGAAGGAAGGAGAAAAGGGAGAAAAAGAGAGATAGTAAGGAAAGGAGTGAAAAGGGAAGAAAAGAGGGAGAAAAAGAAAGGAGGAGAGATGAAAAAGGAAGGAAAAGGAGAGAAAGGAAGAAAAAGGGAAAGGAAGAAAAAGGGAGAGAGGGAAGGAAGGGAGAAAAAGAAAAAAGAGGGAGAAAAACAAAGGAAGAGAGAAGAAAAAGAAAGAAAGAGATGAAAATGGAAGAAAAAGAAAAAAGAAGAGAAAAAGAGGGAGAGAGATAGGAAGGAAGGGAAAGAAGGAAAGAATAGAGGGAGAAAAGAAAGAGATGAAAAGAATGGAAAGGAAAAGAAGGAAGGAAAGAAGCAAAAAAGAAAGGGAGGAAGAAAAAGGAAAGAGAAATAAAGAATCCTGTGTATGAAATACCTCCCCACACACACAATATACATAAGGAGGCATCAATCAACCTTCTATCAACAAACCAAGCATTTTTTTCCCTTACACCCTCTCCCAATGCCTTTGTCTTCTGCAGGACAGGGCCAGACAGTTGCCTGGGACTACAAATGCCACATCCCCAGCCAGATGGGAGTTGTAGTTCCATCCTTGCTTTCCCACCCACTCCCCCAGGTGTGAACAGGAGGGGGAAGGAAACAGCTAATGAACTCAACAGCTGGACCCAGGTGGAGGGGGGGAGCTCTCCTCTGAAACACAGACCCCTCCCCTCAGTCTTGGGATGGGGATCCCCCTCAACCAGCCCCACTTTAAGTTGGGTGGGCTTCAACTCCCAGAATTCCCCTGTCTTGCTCTTCTGCCTGGGGAATTATGGGTGATGAAGTCTTAAGACCCATCTTAAAGTGCCCGAGGTGTGTTTTTGTTTTTGTTTTTAAACACCTGTAGTTTAAACATTTTGTAAGGTCCCAAAATATACTTGAGTCACCAGAATGCCAAAGAGAGAGACTCAAGACGAGGCTTGCAAAAAGAAGCAGATTTTATTTATGGCCAAAAACAAAATACTGGGTGGGACTATATCCAGAACATACAGATACAATGCATGTGAGGAGATAGCCACACCTTGGGGAAGGTATGGCATCCTTTTTATACCTTCAGAGGCATCATCTTAATACCCAATTCTGGCCTCCTAGTTTAGGTTTGTGCATTCCCTGTTGCCCTGCAAAGGAATAGAAGCCTCCCAATTAGCCTTATCTCTTCCTTGAGCATTCCTTTGTTTTTCTCAATTGGCCATTTGGCTCCCTGGTTCTGCAAGGAAGGAGCTTATACAGATCAAAGGTGTAAATTAGAGCTGAAGTGTAAATTATCCCTTGAATGATGTCTGCAGTTCCAACTGAGATACACGTACCATGCTCTTAGATGGCACAAGAAAAACAGGAAGAAGATTGATATGGGTTCAGATCAAATGGCAGGAACAAATGTTTGACAGATACCAAATACATTACAGAGGCCTAATAACAGAATATGTTTGTTACAGGAGATACAAATATAAAGGTATATACACAGTATATGTGTGTTATACAAATACAAAGGCTATATATGTATTACAGGAACCTAATCGTTACAGAATAACAAGTTTCTACTAATTCTAGTATACCAGTATATTATATTCTAGTATTATTTATTATATCCTTGTTACTGTTTCCCTTCAATTTAATATTAAAAACCAGAGAAAAGGGAACTTTGGAATGGAGAGAAATTCAGCTTGGTGGCCAGGAAGGGTCAGAGGAGCCACAGAGAAGTAAAAAGTGGGGAGAGTCCTTGAGGCAGGGAAACCAGTTCCGTCCGGCTTGTCTGGCCAGAACTAATCCAGGCCCAAATTCTCCTTAACTTTGTCCCTTTGTCCTGTCTGTCAGCTGGACTTTCACCGTAGCTGAGCCCAGAAAACGGGAAATATGAGTTACTGGTTAAAATACTGAGCTGTGTGTCATTCTCAGGGTTTTGCCTTTGCAGCAGAATTGAGTTGGGTGGCCCATGCACATAAATAGCTATAAAAGTTAAAGAATATGGGCCTGGCTAGTCTAATGAAGAGAAGGACCAGGGGGTGACATAATAGCAGTCTTCCAGTATTTGAGGGGCTGCCACAAAAAGGAGGGGATCAATCTATTCCTCAAAGCACCTGAAGGGACAACTGATGGAAACTGATTCGATTCGATTTCTATTTTCTATTCTATTCCTATATTCTTTTTTCTATTTTTTCTATTTTCTATTTTCTATTCTATTCCTATTTTCTATTTTATTCTATTCCTATTTTCTATTCTATTCTATTTTTTTCTATTTTCTATTCTATTCTATTCTAATTCTATGAGGTACTAATACCACTCTATAAAGCCTTAGTGAAACCACACCTAGAAAACTGCATCCAGTTTTGGTCACCACATTATAAAAAAGATATTGAGACTCTAGAAAGAATGCAGAGAAGAGCAACCAAGATGATGAGGGGACTGGAGGCTAAAACATATGAAGAACGGTTGCAGGAACTGGGCCTGGCTAGTCTAGGGAAGAGAAGGACCAGTCTTCCAATATTTGAGGGGCTGCCACAGAGAGGAGGGGGTCAAGTTATTTTCCAAAACATCTGAAGGTCAGACAAGGAATAATGGATGGAAACTGATCAAGGAGAGATTCAACCTGGAAATAAGGAGAAATTTTCTGACTGTGAGAACAATCAACCGATGGAACAGAAGTTGCCTTCGGAAATTGTGGGAACTTCATCACTGGAGGCTTTCAAGAAGAGACTGGACTGCCCTCTGTCAGAAATGGTGTACTGTATAGTCTCCTGCTTGGGTGGGGGGGTTAGACTAGATGACCTACAAGGTCCCTTCCAACTCTGTTAATCTGTATCTTTATTCTATTCTATTCTATAGGGAAAGAATCACATTGATTAAAATAAAAGGTCTCAAATAATATTTTCAACACCAAGTCAGCCAGGAATTAATCAAAATACAGTATGTACAAAGAAGCAAAAATTAGAAATGATTGACTGGGCCATCCATCCTTCCCCTCTCTTTGCCAGCTTCCTTGCAAAACGGACAACTTGAGACACAAACAGGCAGCAGGAAACCTCTGACAATGCCATAGGATTAGAAAGTTTTCAAAGGCCGGCTGTGAGTCATCTCCTACCAAGTAGGACAAATGCAACCTTGTCCCAAATATGACAAGCGAAATCGATCAAGTGTGAACACGGACCTTGGACAAGAAATTACAAAGATCGGCATGGCGTAAATAATAAAATTTTTCTTTAATAAATATCTGAGCCAACTTTTACTCGGGCGTGTTCGGGATGGACTTCTGTCCCAAGCATGTGAGGTTTCTGCAGAAATAAACAACTGAAGAAAAAAAAAAGATTTGTTTTCCTCATTGCCAAGTGATTTATTAACCATTCACACCAGGGAAAACAGTTAGGAGCTGAAGCATCAGCCTACAGGTCTACAGGGAAGATCCTGCCTCTATTGCAGCTGTTTTAAGGGAAGCCTTTTTGGGAAGGAGCCATAGACAAAGCAACTCAGATAGACCTTTGTCAGCTTCTTCCTTCCCACCTTCAATGACTTCTCTTCAAAGCTAAGGTCTCCCACGGTGTCCCTCCAAAGCAGCTTTCGCACGACCTACCCTTATCCTCGTCCCTGGATTAACCTGTCCCTGTTTTCTGGGATCACCCAATCCGTTGAGGCATAAATTGGCTAAGTTCCCAACTGCATGCCAAACCCATATTAAATAAACAAACAGACCGAAGCTCAAGAGAGGTTAAAATTAAGCAAATATGCCAGGTTGTTAATTGATTGGGTTAAATGGATGGGGAGTTCAATTCCCAGAATTTGCCAGGGTGGAGGAGAAGGAAGAGGAAGAGGAAGAGGGGGAGAGAGAAGGAAATGAGGAGAAAGAGGAGGAGAAAGAAAGAAGAAGAAGGTAGGAGGAGAAAGAAGGAAGAAGAAGAGAAGGAGGAGGAGGAGAACATCCAGCTTCTCTTGAACGTGAGCACAAGGAGCTTGGGAAACTGAAAAATGAGATGATAAAAGCCTAGACTAGCACAATACCACTGAAAAAGAAAAATGAGAGATTCCAGAAGAAACTAGCATGGCTGAATAAAGAACTCTCTGATAAACCGAAAGACAAAAAGGACAAGTATAAAAAGTGGAAAGAGGGACACATAAAGTAGAATACCAGCAAATAGCCTGAATCTGCAAAGATGAAGCCAGGAGACCTGAGGATTCACTAGATCAGTGTTTTTCGAAGTTGACAACTTCAAGATGCGTGGACCTCAACAACCAGAATTCCCCATTGAAGCAATTCTGGGAGTTGAAATCCACACATCTCAAAGTCACCACATTTGAAAAACCGATCTAGCCGGTCTAAAATTAGATCTTGCAGTCTAGAGACGCTTGGTCCTGCTAAGTTCAACTTCCCCTTAATGCTAAAGTGGGAATTCAACTAAGTTCAACTTCTCCTTAATAGTAAAGTGGGAATTAAAATTAAAGATCTACTTCCACCGCCAGGAGCCCTGTTGTCTTCTGCTTTGCCACATGCTTCACTTCTGCAGGCTGGAGGCCTCTTGGCGAAAATCCAGATGTTTGTCAAAATATCGTGGCGTGTTTTCATTCTCCTGGCACAGGAGAAGGCAAGGAAGTACAGGCCTTTCTTTGAGAAAGTGCACTGCAGGGTCAGGAACCAAAGCGAGGCTGTCCTGATTTTATGGTTGGTTTTTAAAATTTGATATTGATTTTAATTGAAACGTTTTAAATTATGGGCCAAACTTTAATTATTTTTAATCGATTTTAACTTTTGTGTACAAGTGTTTTATTTTGGCTGTTCACCGCCCTGAGTCCGAAAGGAGAAGGGCGGTATAGAAATCTGAAAAATAAATAAATAAATAAATAAACTTCTACTCCAAAAAAGTAAACTCTGGAACAATTTACACCCGGTTTCATACTCTGAACTCTGAACATTCTGTGTTAAAACAACCACTTTCTCTACATTTGACAAAACCATCAACAGGAAGGAGAATGTGAGTTTTATTTAGTGTCCTGAACTACAAGATAGAGACATTCTGACACCATCATTCAGTAGATGGCTTGCTACCATTTTGCAGTGCTCAGGACTCTAGAGACCATAACAGATGCTGCTGGTGGTGGATCCTTTCTAGCAGAAAACCCCAAAGCCCAGATCAGTGCATAAGCTAAGACCTATAGTATTTGTGGTGAGCCTTCCTTACCAAGGGAACATCATCAGTGCTTAGAAGTCTTCTACCACTGCTTTCTAGCACTGATGATATTACCTACTATAGTTTGAGAAATGAAATGTCTTCAAGAAAGCAACCAAGCTCAGAGAACACCAAGGACCCCACAGTTCTCCTCCTCCTCTCTGCAAACCCACCTCCCTTCTAGCACTGATGGCATTACCTAGTTGGGTCATGAAATCTCTGCAAGAAAATCAGCACGTTCAGAGAACCCCACAGTCCTCCTCCTCCTCTCTGCAACCCCCCTTGTTTCTAGCAGTGATGATGTTATCTAGGTGGGCCATGAGACGTCTACAAGAAAACAGCCAAGCTCAGAGAGCACCAAGGACCCCTAAAATCAAATTATTTCCACAGAAGCATCTGAGCTGAGGTGAGGACCTTCCTCTGGGTTCCACAAATTTAGCAAAACAACACTGCAGTCTTCGCGTGACCCAAACCCTGACTTTGTGAGATGGCCCTCCTTCTTCTCAACCATCATGAAGTTCCCACCAACAGCCCAACCTCCCTTCAGCATAACGGCCCACATGAATCTGGTCCTGCTGGAAGAACCTTTGGTGGCTTGATGCTTTTGTCCTGTTTTTCCCCCCTCCAACTCAGCTCTCCTTGGCCCCACGTGAGGAAGCCAATAACACCTGAACCCAGTCCAGCCTCGTGGATGGAGGCCTGGTCATGCTCCTTTGGCTACCCTGTGCCCTGGCGAAGGCAGTGACCGAGTCTCAACCTTTGCTTGGCTTGGAGGTAGCTATGGTTCAAATTCCAGGGGCAAAGGAGGGTGCCCCCTGCCCCCCAGGACTCCTGGGGAGCACTTCTCCTTCTAATAAACATCAGGCATTAATTGTTTGCTCACGCCAGAGAGGAGTTTGGCCCTGGTGGGTTAACGGATGACTTATTGTCCCGTTAACACTGACATCTGTTGCCATCTATAAAACCGAGGGTTATAAATCCTGGAGAAGCAGGCAGATAGACCCCTTCCTAAGACTGCTGCCTTCCTGTGCCTCTCTTCTCCCACAGCTGCAAGGATGAAGGTGGTGGGCCCGGTAAGTGACACACACACACACACACTCAAACCCAGCCGAGCATAGGTGTGGTGAAGGAGAAGTCACAGTAAGAGGAACGGAAGGATCCTGGTTGAATATCAAGAGGTTGTGTTCCTACAATGTGCTGGACCACACAGTTTGGTAAACTTGCAGAATATTAGATTAACAAGAGTTGGAAGGGACCTTGGAGGTCTTCTAGTCCAACCCCCTGCTCAAGCAGGAGACCCTATACCATTTCAGACAAATGGCTGTCCAGTCTCTTCTTAAAAAGTCAGGTGATGGAGCATCCACAACTTCTGGTGGCCAGATGTTCCACTGGTTAATTGTTCTAACTGTCAGGAAATTTCTCTTTAGTTCTAAGTTGCTTCTCTCCTTGATTAGTTTCCATCCATTGCTTCTTCTCCTGCCTTCAGGTGCTTTGGAGAAGAGGTTGACTCTTTCTTCTTTGTAGCAGCTTCTGAAATATTGGAAGGCTGCTATCATGTCACCCTTAGTCCTGCTTTTCATTAAACTAGACATGCCCAATTCCAGCAACCGTTTTTCGTTCATTTTAGCCTCCAGCCTGCTAATCTTCTTTGTTACCCTTCTCTGCGCGCCTTCTGGAATTTCAAAGTCTTTTTTGCATCATGGTGACCAAAAGTGGATGAAATATTCCAAGTGTGGTCTTAGCAACGCAGTGTAAAGTGTTATTATCACACTTCATGTGATCCTGAAAATATCCCTCTGTTGATGGAACCTACGGTAGGACCTCATTGGCTCTTTTTGGCAGCTGTAGAACACCGCTGGCTCATAGTTAAATGGCGGTCTATCACTTCACGTCATCTTGGTATTCTCCTTCAGTTGATGCAACCTTGGTTAGTTTTATTCTGGCTTAGATTCTTGATAACATTGAGTGTTGGGCGAGCCAAGCCTGCTGAGTTTGTTTATGATTCACCCTGTTGTGCCATCCCAGAAGATGGGTTGAATTTGCAACCAGTTGAAGCATTTTATTCAAGTGGGAAGAAGCAGAAAACAGCCTCACGGGCTTCGAAACCAGATCTGTTCCATCCAAACAGCCAAACATTCATGGAACACGTGAATTTGAATAGCTTCAGCGATTCCAGAGGCCTCCAGTTTATTCCTCATGATACCAGGAGACCTTTGACAGCCCTATATTCCAACACTGGAAGTTTTTAAGAAGATGTTGGATAACCATTTGTCTGAAGTGGTGTTGGGTTTCCTGCCTAGGCAGGGGGTTGGAATAGAGGACCTCCAAGGCCCCTTCCAACTCTGTTATTCTGTTTTCTATATAAATGCTGTATTTTTCATTTAGCAATAATAATAAGATGTTTCTTTCCTTTTCTTTTTTTCTTCTTCGCCTTGTTCTTTGTTTGGTTTGCATTACTTCTGCTAAGATGGAGCTCTGGATTTTCTGCTCTAGATAACAAATAGATTTAACCACACAAAACACAAAATTATGGGGTATTTTAAATTCAGCCAAATTATTTAATTCGTTTTTAATTCATTTTAATTTTTTTGTATTTATGTGTTTTATCCCATGGCTGTTCACCGCCCTGAGTCCTTCGGGAGAAGGGCAGTATAGAAATTTAATAAAATAAATAAATAAAATAAATAACACAGCTGATCGCAGGACAGATGAAGTCCATGCTCCTCTAAGCATCTCCTTGCTGGCTCTAGGTGGGATCCTGAGCAAACCCTGCTCAGGCCCATCTCATATCTACAAGTGAAGGTGATTCAGCTTGAGATGCTACCCAAATTCATCTCCTCTGTTGAAACCAAGCCAGGCCCCTTCCTCAAGCAGTGAAAACATCTCACCCCCTTCCCAGAGGTGGGTTGCACATACTTTAACAATCAGTTGGCCGAAAATGTGAGAGAGCGTGCATGCCTTCCGCATTTGCGTGCAACACCTGAAATAAGGCTTTTTTGATGGGGGCAGCTTCCTGCACACCTGTTAGGTCAACCACGGTTAGTAGAACGGGAGGGGCGCACAAATCAGCTGGGCTGCGGGGCGAGGCGAGCGAGACGGAAAGTGAGATATCTAGGACTGGATAGCGTACGGGCGGGTGGGCGGGGCCAGCCAGTGCTTGGAACTACCGGTTCAGGTGAACCGATCCGAACCGGTAGCAACCCACCTCTGCCCATTCCTAAATCTTCTTTTCTGCAAGCAGATGTATAATGGTGACGAGTCATGACAGCAGAACAAGGCCTTCTGTGTTTTCCTATCCTTGACCAGAAAATCCTGGTAGTTATTGAAGCCACTTGAGTGAGGATTTTGACCCTGTGGCCTAATACAGCCTTACTGGCTGGGGGATTCTGGGAGTTGAAGTCCATACGTCTGAAATTATGCCAAGATTGAGCCACACCAGTGGTGAAATCTAAAATTTGTTACTATCGGTTCTGTGTGCGTGGCTGGGGAGGGGGGGGATAATGTGACTGGGTGGGCATGACCATTTTTTTTTTTAACTTTTAAAACCATTTTTTCTACAACTTCTTTGGCGAAAAATGCTTTCAAAAGGCTCTGATGATCCAAGCTGAGTTGCCTGATCGGCAGAGGTTTTTAAAAAAGCCTCCGCCGATCAGGCAACTCAGCTTGGATCGTCAGAGGCATTTAAAAGAAAAAAAGGTGGTTTTTTTTCTTTTAAAAGCCTCTGACGATCCAAGCTGAGCTGCGCGATCATCAGAGGCTTTTTTTTTTACTTTTAAAAGCATTTTTTTGCCGAAGAGGTTGTAGAAAAAATGCTTTTAAAAGTAAAAAAAAAAAAAGCCTCTGATGATTGTGCGGCTCAGCTGGGCATGGGGGGGGGCAGGGATTTTTGCTACTGGTTCTCCGAACCACTCGCCTCCATCGCTACCAGATCGGGCGATCCGGTCCGAACCGGGAGCATTTCACCCCTGAGCCACACTGTTCTAGGCCAGAGGTCTCCAAATTTGGCAACTTTTAAGACTTGTGGACTTCAGCGCCACACAATTCCTCCGCTGGCAAGGAGAACCGGTTGTTAACTTTCTGAGCAGTTTGGCAAACTGGTTGTTGAAAGAAATCATTAGGGCAGAGAACCGGTTGTTAAATTACTTGAATCCCACCCTGCCCACTACTCTAGGCCAAGTGAAATGGTGACAGATATCCATATTCCCTTCAGCATTTATTGACATGGGAGTTAAGATGTGTAGGACCCAAATTTTAAACATTTAGATGGTCTGCTCAGGTCCGTGATCTGAAGGATTTGAGAGGCAAAGAGAGGGTCAAAGTATTCTACAAAGCACCAGAGTGCAGGACAAGAAACAATGGATGGAAACTAATCAAAGACAGAAGCAACCTGGAATTGAGGAGAAACTTCGTAATAGTGGGGACATTAACCAGTGGAACAGCTTGCCACCAGAAGTTGTGAGTGTTTCATCATGGAGGTTTTTAAGAAGAGACTGGACATCCACTTGTCTGAAATGGCATAGGGTCCCTGCTTAAGCAGGGAGCTGGACTAGAAGACCTTCCAGCTCTGTTCTGATTGATATTAATATTGAGACCCTCTTTCCTCAGGCATGTCAGTCTTCAGATCCTCCGCAGGCTGATAATCATCTGGAGAACCCAAAGTCCAAGGAAAACTTCAGGAATTTCAAGGTCAGTGAAATTCAGCAGCAGATGGACAGTGTCTCTGTTTTGTCCCACAATTCCAGAGGATCAGGTTGAAAAATGCTGGGTAGGAGATGAATATGAATATATTTTGAAAACACTTCATAATTTAAAGGCACTAGTGCAAAAGTGTGCAAAGTCTGTTCTGGGAGGGACCACCAGATGTTGGGGCAGAGGCAACTGAGGCTGGACAGAGGAAGAAGAGGGGGAGGAAGGGAAGGGGGAAGGGAAGGGGGAAAGGAAGGGGAAGAAGATACAGGAGGATGAAAAGGAGAAGGGATGGAGGAGGAGGAGGAGGAGAACTGTGGGGGTCTTTGGTGCTCTCTGAGCTTGTTGGTTTTCTTGCAGATGTTTCATGACCCAACTAGGGAACATCATCAGTGCTAGAAGAGAGGGAGGTTTGCTGTTGGTGGGAGTATTCTTAGTCATTCCTTGGTTAACCTGTTGTTTACTATCATTGCTTGATTGGGGCATTGTTTACTGGTTGGTGCTGAACTTTGATTATCAGGATATAGATTGCTGGTCAGGAGGCGTTGTGGTCTTTTAGCTTTGTTATTGCCTCTTTCGAATGATAGGTAGCTGTTGTTTATCTCTATGTGCCTGTTGATGGTTGATCTGTCTGAGTGCCAGGCTTCCAGGAATTCTCTAGCACTTTTGGACTTGACTTGGACAACACCTATTCTGGGAATTGAAGTCCACCCATCTTAAAGTGGCCAAGTTTGGGGGGTGGGTGGTGGAAACCCTCTGCCTTGGATTAATGATTGTTACTCACTGCAATACTTCCAAATTGTCATTTCAGGAGGGGGCACTGATTGACCGAGTATACCACACTTATCTACTCATGCACACCAACCAGACTGTGGAATTTGTGCAGAAGAAGGTGAGTTTGCCCAGGCAGACCCCATCTCTCTTCTGGGGAGGGTCTCTTGGGCACCGAGCATGGTTCAACGCATCCAGGTGATACCAGCAACAAGAGAGGCCTATCTCCAGTTCTTTGGGGGCTGTATGGATACCCCAAGGGTTGCCAGCAAGAGACCCATCAAAGTCTTCATTCCTTCTGGGTTTCCTTCCAAGTTAGTCTAAAATGACTTGCTCTTCTTAAGATCCTACCTCATTTTCAAAATTTGCCTGAACAGTTAGAACATAGAATAATAGGTTTTCTAGTCCAACCCATGCTCAAACAGGAAACCCTCTACCGTTTCAGATAAATGGTTGTCCAATTTATTCTTGAAAATCTCCAGTTATGGAGCATTCACAACTTCTGGAGGCAAGTTGTTCCACTGATAAATTGTCCTCACTGCTTCTCTCCTTGATTAGCTTCCATCCGTTGCTTCTTGTCCTGCCTTCAGGTGCTTTGGAGAAGAGGTTGACCCCCGATTCTCTGTGGTAGCTCCTCAAGTATTGGAAGACTGACACCATATCATCCCTAGTACTTTTCATTAGACTAGATTTCCCTCAAGTTTGAAGAAGGCATCATAGCTCTAGTCCATCATAGTGTCCTTACAGTTCCCTCTCCCTAGAATGAGCAATACGGTGGCTGTAACCTCCGTCAGATGACCATCATGGAGGGCTTGGAGTTGCTGGACAATGTGGTGGACGAATCGGACCCCGATGTGGACTTCCCCAACTCCTACCATGCCTACCAGACAGCAGAGGGCATTCGGGAGAAACATCCTGAGAAAGGTGAACTCCTTGATTAGATCTATAGTCCCTAGGAGAACAAGAGGCTCTCTCCCCACTTCTACCTAGATGCAGAAGATGACAATTGTTTGGGGTCCTGCAGATATTAGAAGGATCAAATTATTTGGGTGCCAAGTCATGTCTAGTTTCCAATTCTGAGAGATGATGGAGACCATCACCCATAATTCCCCATCTATCATGGCAGAAGATGCTCTGGGACTGTTTGTAACCATTGAGCAATGCCATCTCCATGTGTCTTCAACACATGATGACCTCAAGCAGAGCAGAGATGTTTTCCAGGGAGCCGTCAGTACTCCTTGCTGTCACCAGGAGAGGACAATGTTCAGCTGGACCTTTCTGCATGCGAGCCCTTTCTCCTCACCCTCTAGATCTTCCACATAGCTAAGTCCTGCTCTGATCCTGGCATCAAGATGTTCCATGAGGCACCGGGTCTAAGTTGATGCCCCAACTGAGGTTAGAGGGACCTGTCAAGGGACTGAAACAGATTCTCACTCTCTCTGGTCCCACCCTAGATTGGTTCCACCTGGTTGGATTGCTCCATGATTTGGGGAAGATTTTGGCCCTGTCTGGTGAACCACAGGTGAGATGAAGGACAAGGGGCATGGAAGAGAGTCAACATTTCCAGGTCCTGCTCCATAATACCCAGTGTTTACATTATGGGGCAGAAAAATGAGGTTTGTGCTCAGAAATGGATGAAGAACCTAAAATCTGAGCATCTATAATTGATACATATTGAGGAATCACTAAATCAAGGGTCTCCAAACTTGGCAACTTTAACACTTGTGGACTTCAACTCCCAGAATTCCTTGGCCAGCCAAGGAATTCTGGAAGTTGAAGTCCACAAGTCTCAAAGGGGCTAAGTTTGGAGACCCCCTGCACTAAATTAAATGGTGTGTTTAATTGCACACTTGCCAATAGTGAGGATAGAAAAATGGGGTTCAGTCCGAGGGCAACACTATCAAATAAAGAGGAACCGAGGTGTGATGGGGCGTTTTGATCTTGGTTATTCCTACAGTGGGCTGTGGTGGGAGACACCTTCCCAGTGGGTTGCAAGCTGCAGGACTCCATCGTTTTCAAGGACTCCACGTTCCATGACAACCCAGATACAAGGAATCCTCTGTACACGTAAGTTCTTGCTTGACCTTGCTTTGAGGCCACCCTTGGATGGATGTAGAAGTCTACAAGGTAGGGCATGTGGAGCCGAGATCAGCAGCCACTTGGCTCCTAGTCTCCCTGGTCCTCCTTCCACTGTCGCCTCTCCATCTCTGATGGAAGACCTTATCTGCTGAGGTGTCTATGGAGATTCTGTGTCATCCATCAGGTCCTGGTTGTCCCAAAGGTGCTTTTTCAAGAGGCAACTGGACTTTCTGGGGTTTTTTTGAAGATGTTTCGCTTCTCATCCAAGAAGCTTCTTCACCTCTGGCTGGATGGTGGGGAATGGTAAAACAGATAAAACACCCAGACATAAACTGAGCAAAGTGGTATATGCTGTACAATGCAGTGAGACGTGTGCAGATCTGAATATTGGGGAAACAAAACAACCACTTCATAAGTGCATGGCACAACATAGGAGAACAAAGCCACCAGGATTAGATTCAGCAGTCCACCTGCATTTAAAAGACAAAGGCGGCTCTTTTGAAGGCAGCAAAGTCCATATTTTGGACAAAGAGGACTGCTGGTTTGAAAGAGGGGTCAAAGAAGCCATCTATGTCAACGTTGAACAGCATTCTCTCAATAGAGGGGGGAGGGATACAACCTCATCTATCTCCAATCTACAACATGGTCTTTTCAGCAGTTCCAAGAAGACCCCACACCCATTTGCACCACTCAGGTGACCCTGAGGACACAGATAAACTTCCAAGTGGCCTCAACGACTCTCTGAAAGGATGCAAATCTCCAGCGGTCTGCAAGGAGAATAAATCCTTCCATCTTCCACCATTCAGTCAGCGCTGAGGAAGCTTCTTGGATGAGAAGTGAAACATCTTCAAAGAAAAACCAGTTGCCTCTTGAAAAAGCACCTTTGGGACATTATCTGCTGAGGGTTACTAGTGATTGTACCAGTACTATTCTGCATCTCTTTGGACCTACAACCTGGCTCCATCATGTTTGCTTTGAAACCAGAGGCATGAAGAATGGTTACTGTTGGCATTTATCAAAGGCTTGGCCAATTACCTGATGTTCCACCTGCAGGTGCCCCTCCAGACAAAGGGTCTCCAACCTTGGGAACTTTAAGACTTGTGGACTTCAACTCCCAGAATTCCTCAGCCAGCAAAGATGAATTCTGGGAGTTGAAGTCCACAAGTCTTAAAAGCTGCCAAGGTTGGAGACCTCTGCTCCAGACTCTTGTCACCTTCTTCAGAATGTCAATTAGAGATACTGGCTCTTCTCGAATCTTCCCTCTCGCAGAAGCTTCCAGATCAAAGAATTTCAGCTCCAACCTTCTCTCTTTTTACCTCCTCAGGACCAAATATGGGATGTATCAGCCCCACTGTGGCTTGGAAAATGTCCTGATGTCCTGGGGCCATGATGGTAAGCGCTCTAGTTCTCAAAGAACACACACAAACACACAAGCCCTAAGTATAAGCGAAAACAAATCCCAGTTTATCTACAGACATTCTCAATCCAAGTTACGGTTGTTCCAAAGTTGTAGGTGCTCCATCACTGGAGGCTTTCAAAAAGAGACTAGACAACCATTTATCTGAAACTGTATAGATGTCAGGCCTGGAAGCCATCTTTTGCATTGGGCCTGCCACGTTTACTACAGTGGGAAACTGGGAGGGGGAATTGTATGGAGCACGGGTGATATGTAATCTGTCAGGTTTCAGTGTCGTCTTCAAATAAATTGCATTTCCAAACAAATAGTCTTTGATGAAATCTTTCATTTATTAAGCACGACAATCTGTCCCCAATTATGTCGTAGCCAACACTGACTTCCTGATCCCAAACCTTCCCTTTCCGTTCCCCAGTTCTCTGCATCTCATTGGCCATCTTCCAAATCACTCTCCCCATATCTACTACTTCAGCTCCCAGGAATGTCCCTCCTCCCATCTCATCTCCTAGGGGATATTATCTTCAGGGAAAATAAGTAGGTAAAAAGTCAAGCGTCCTCTTGCCAGCTGCTGCCCCCTCTTCTCCTCCTTATGTCAGCACTGGAACGAATGTAGTTTGGAGTGCTGACATAGTCATAACAACATTCCTTTCTCAGAGAGTCAAGGTCACTCTGCCCTGCACCTGGAGGGCTGGAACTGGGAGGCATTTCCAGTTGAGACAGTGTTTGGATTGGACCATGTGATGGGCTTGTGGGTGTTGCCAGGGACTTGAACTTTTCTTTGGGTGGGGAAAACCTGGAAACTTTCGGATTCAGGTTTTCCCAGATGTGTCAATATGACATCTGTAATAAAATGTACTTTTGAGGAAACTCAAGCCTCAGAGGTTTATTTCATTAGGGGTGTTACTTGGACCCTGACAATAGGTCTCCTTCTCGAACAGAGGGTTAGACTAGAAGACCTCCAAGGCCCCTTCCAACTTGGTTATTCTATATAGGCTACAATACAGTGGTGAAATCTAAAATTTGTTACTACCGGTTCTGTGGGCGTGGCTTGGGTGGGCGTGGCCATTTAAAAAAAAAACTTTTAAAACCATTTTTTCTACCACCTCTTCGGTGAAGAGGTTGTAAAAAAATGCTTTAAAAAGGCTCTGACGATCCCAGCTTGGACCGTCAGAGGCATTTAAATGCCTCTGACAATCGGGCAACTCAGCTTGGATCGTCAGAGGCATTTAAAAGGAAAAAAAGCGTCCAATGATCGCGTGGCTCAGCTGGGCATGGGGGACGGGGACAGGGATTTTTGCTACCGGTTCTCTGAACCACCTGCCTCCATTGCTACCGGATTGGGCGATCCGGTCCGAACCAGAAGCATTTCACCCCTGCTACAATGTAGTAGCAGGACAAATGAGGAACGAAGGAAGCAGTTGAAGCCAGATTGCAACTTCTGCCTTCTCCGATTTGGTACTGTCCTCATGCCACAAAAACCGAGGAATTATGAGAGTTGAAGTCCAATTTACCCGGAGGAGGTCACATTGGCTGGCCTGGATGCCGTTTGCAATTCTGCAAATACTGTAACTCTCTACCTTTTTTCTTTCTTTCTTTCTTTCTTTTTTCTACCTGCTCCAGAGTACATGTACCAAGTGATGAAGAAAAATAAATTTGCTCTTCCGGAAGAGGTAAGAGACTGAGAAGACGGGTCTGCTTCCTTGTTCTCCTTGGGGCGGATGTGGGGGACAAATCCCCACCATTTCTTTTCTCTTGGGAGGGATTTCCAGGGTGCCATCTGAATTTGAGGTCTCCAGCTGCCTTCATTGCAGTTGACTGGCCTTGCTTGAGGGGGGTGGGCGCTGTGAAAGTATGTTTTTGGAGATATATCCTTCTCCTGGTCCAGGTTAACCTACAATAGGTTCAGAGGTGGGATTCAGCCAGTTCGGATCGGTTCAGGCGAATCAGATGCTAATTTTACATCTGGTTCGCCGAACCGGTAGTTGCAAGGACCGGCTGGCCCCTCCCGCCCTTCCCCTCCCAGGAGTCTCCAAGCGGCCCATTTTGGATGCCAGGTAAGTACAGGGCCCGTGTGGAGGCTCTGGGAGGGCGAAAAATGGGCCTCCCGGAAGTTCCGGAAGTCCGGAAATGGGACCGTTTCCGGCCTCTGGAGGGCCTCTGAAGCCCAGGGGAGGCAGTTTTTGCCCTCCTGGAGGCTCGAGAAAAGCCTCCAGAGCCTGGGGAGGGCGAAAATGTTCCTCCTGCCATGGTGCAGGAGTAGCCAAGTAGGCCACCTGGCTATGCCCACCCAGCAACTTGGCAGAGAACTGGTTGTTAAAATGTTTGAATTGGGTCCAGGTGTGGGTAGCTGCTGCACCGGTCCTTGCAATGTCCCTCCCGCCAATCTCATTGTTGCCTACAGGCCTTCTACATGGTGCGGTTCCACTCCTTCTACCCCTGGCACACCGGAGGGGATTACATGCACCTGTGCAACGCCAAGGACCTCCAGATGTTACCCTGGGTGCAAGAGTTCAAGTAAGGAGCTCCAAGCCATGAAGGGGGGGAACGGAAAGACCAGGGATGGGAGAAGGGAGGAAACCTCCGCACCATTCTGGAACTGTTAATAGTGCTTTGATAAGGCCACCATTGGAATACAGCGTCCAGTTTTGGTCTCCACGATGTTCCAAAGGATGTGGAGACCCTAGAAAGAGCGCAGAGAAGAGCAACGAAGAGGATGAGGGGCCTGGAGGACGAAACATACGAAAAACGGTTGTTGCAGGAATTGGGGATGATGAGTTGAATGAAAAGAAGGACCAGGGTGGCATGAGAGCTCTGTTCCAATATTTGAGGGGCTGCCCCAAAGAAGAGGGGGTCGATCTATTCTCCAAAGCAGGGGTCTCTAACCTTGGCAACGTTAAGACTTGTGGACTTTAACTCCCAGACTTTAAAGCCCAGCTGGCTGAGGAACTCTGGGAGTTGAAGTCCACAAGTCTTAAAGTTGCCAAGTTGGAGACCCCTGCTGCAAAGCACCAGAAGGCAGGACAAGAAGCAAAAGAGCCTTGATAGTACAGGGGTTTAGTGCACCCTGTAATTAACACAGCTGCCTGCAATTTCTGCTGGTTCGAATCTCTCCAAGGCTCAAGGTTGACTCAGCCTTCCATCCTTTCTAAGGTAGGTGAAATGAGGACCCAGTTTGTGGGGGCAATAAGCTGACTTTGTATAAATATACAAAAGTATGAAGGCTATTGCTTAACGCACTGTAAGCCGCCCTGAGTCTCCGGAGAAGGGCGGCATATAAATCAAATTAAAAAAAAAAAAAACGGATGGAAACTAATCAAGGAGAGAAGGATAGAATAACAGTTGGAAGAAACCTTGCAGGCCACTTCTACTGCCTTACAGCTGCCTGCAATTTGGCAGTTCACATCCCGTGTCTTAGCCACTGAGCCACTGCGTTTTAGCATTCCAGAAAACCCCCAACTCCAAGTAAAGATTCTTTTTTTTTTTCAAAAAACGTTCTTTATTTTTATTTCTCATAAACACATTTACACGTACAATCATTTCCATCATTTTTCATTCATCTTTTAACTTTCATTTTTCATTTTTACTTTTTCGGGGCTGCTCTTTTACCCTTTACCTTTACTCCAACCTTTCTTCTCTTCCTCCCCTTCTCTTCCTTCCTCTTTCTCCTCCTACTTCCTTCGTTCTTCCTCTTCTCCTTCCTACTTCCCCTTCCCTTCCCCCACTCCTCTCTTCTTCCCCCATTCTAACCTTCTCCTCTGCTCCTCTATCCCCTCCCTTTTCTTCCTCTACTTTTCCCTTTCTTCTCTCTCTTCTCTCCTCTCCTCTCCTCTCCTTTCCTCTCTCTCTCCTCCTTCCTCTCTCTCTTCTTGTTTCCCTTTTCAGTTCAATCTAAAGTGGTATTCGAGAGCCCCGATTTTCTAATTATCTTTATTCTCATTTCAATTTCTTATTCAATTATTATTTATTTTTATTTCATCATTTGCGTACATTTTTATAATATCTCACTTTTTTCCCTTTTACCCTCCCCCCTCCCCTTTCTCCTTTTACTTGACATCATCTGGGTCTCTATTTTTCTAATTGTTTTCTCCCATCTGTTCTCTATCTATTTTGTCTCTATATCCTAATTCATATTTCCTTTCTAACCAATCATGAAATTTATCCCATGTCTTGAAATACATCGACTCAAGTAAAGACTCTGAAGGAGGCATTTTTCAAAGTTCTCTTTACTAGAATAGGTAAACTGGCACATCTGGGAAAACCCCAATCTGAGAGGTCCATATTTTCCCTCAGTAAATCAAAACCCCCAAAACCATCCCCTCACTCCTCAGTCGATCACATGCTCCAATCACCGTCCGTCCCATCTCAAGACAGCACTCCCACCACTCCAGATGCAAGGATCGGCCTGACCTTGACCGAGAGGAAGAATGCTATTATGTCTACAGACAACCCCTCTACTAACACCCCCCCACACTTTCCCACACAGAAGAAGGTGGCAGCGTGGGAGCTTCCGGCCTAATACAACTTCCAAAGCTGACACCACGTCCCTCTCAAACTGCTTAGAGAGGGCTGTGAAGCACTGTAAAGCAGTATATAAGTCTAAGTGCTATTGCTAATCCAAACCCTCTGCTCGAGCAGGAGTCTCTATACCAGTGATGGCTAACCTTTTTGCCATTGCGTGCCAGGAAGGGGGGGGCAGGGGGGGTCGTCCGCGTGCGTGCTCATACCCATAATTCTTTGCGACCCACCCACCCCCTGCTCACCCGCTCCTGGCACACAATGGCCCGGTAGGCCCGTTTTTCTTTCTCACCTGGCTCCAGGATCTCTCTAGGCATCTGGGGAGGGCGAAAACAGCCTTCCCCATCCCTCCAGAGACCGTCCGGAGGCCAAAAATGGCCTGTTTCACAACTTCCAGTCCCACCGGAAGCTGAGCTCACGTGCCCACTGATATGGTTACACGTGCCAGCTGTGGCACGCGTGCCATAGGTTCACCATCACGGCTCTATACCATTCCAGGTAAGTGGATGTCCAGTCTCTCCTTAAACACCTCCAGTGATGAAGCACCCACAACGTCAGGAGGCAACTTCTGTCCCACTGATTAATTCTTCTCACTGTCAGGAAATTTCTCCTTAGTTCTCGGTTGCTTCTCTCCTTGATTAGTTTCCATCCAATGTTTCTCCACCCTAGAACTAAGGAGAAATTTCCTGACTGTGAGAACAATTAATCAGTGGGACAGAAGTTGTGGTTCTGTCTCACTGGAGGTCCTTAAAAAGAGAGCGGGCAGCCACTTGTCTGGAATGGCAGAGGGTCTCCTGCTTGAGTTGGGGGTGGGTGGACTAGAAGGCCTCCAAGGTCCCTTCCAATTCTTGTTATTGTTAGACCAGAGCGGAGGAGGCATTGCAACATTCAACCTCTATCTTGCAGCTTCAAGAAGGTATCTGTGCACCCAGATTGCACAGCAACTCATTTGCTTATCAGATAACTTTTAATATTCATTTGCAATGATTTCTTCTTGCTGGTTTAATATTTGTTAAGTTTGTCTGTCTGCTGCAGCCTCCTTCCTTCCCACCTGGCCTGTGGCGCAGCACTAAACCTGGTCTTTTTCTAGCAAAGACTTCACCCTCTGTCCTAGTCATCTCCTTGCTGGTGGCCTCAAGAAGCGGTGGAGATCCCTGGAGCGAGATGTTGGCTTTTTCCTGGCTTATCAAAGCCTGCTCAGAAGAGACCCAACATCACCATGGCTTCAGGATAACGGGGAGCCTTCCCTCTCCGCCCCCACCTCCTCAATAATCCCCCCTTTGTGCCTCTCTTGCAGCAAGTTTGACCTCTACACCAAGTGTGAAGAGCTTCCCGACCCGCAGCAACTGAAGCCCTACTATGAAGGCTTGATAGCCAAATACTGTCCAGGCCAACTGTCCTGGTGATGGCCTGGACCTCCAACGGCATTGGGCCACTCTGCTCCTGCTTCTTCCTTGCAGCAGCAGCTGCCCTCCAGATGTGCTGGACCCCTACTTCCATCATCCCCCTCCCAGGAAGGAGAGGACTTCTTTCTGGGTTACGTTTGAAGCATCAAGGTCTCCTGTGGTCCAATTGATGCTTGTTATTTTAACTGTCCAATTCTTAGCAACTTCTCTCCTCTCTATCCTGTCAATTGCAGTTTTTTCCCTATTATCGCATGTTCAACTTTTGCATCAGTTTTGATGGTTATGAAGCCAGCGTGGTCTTTGCTCGCCCCTTCTTCTTCATCCACTAACTCAGTGGCCCCCAACTCTTCGGGCACAAGGGACCGGTTCCGTGGAGTTTTTTTCCCCATGGACCAGAGGGGGACGTGGTTTCACATCCTGCCTGCATCCCAGATGGGGTTTCGCTCATTTGTATAGCCCGGTTTCTGGCATGTCGTGGCCCGGTGGCAGTCCGCAGACCGGGGGTTGGAGACCTCTGTACCAGGGGTGAAATTCTACTGGTTCGCTCCGGTTCGGGCAAACTGGTAGTGATAATACTGGTTCAGTTGAATGGGTAGTTAAAAATCTACCGGTTCGAGCGAATCGGTAGTTAAAAAAGCTACCAGTTCGTCCAAAGTGGTATTTCAGACGATCAGCTGTGCTGCGTGGTTTATATGCTAAATCGCGCGGCACAGTTGTCTCCGCCCCTCGCTGTTCTACTTACCTAGTGAAGTCTTCTTTTTCCACGTGAAGGGCGTGTTTGGTGCGCAGTGCCCATGTGTGCGTAGCGTGTGCATTTGGCGCACGGCATGCATAGGCAGTCAGTGAACTGGTGGTGATCCGCGAAGGATTTCACCACTGCTCTGTACTAACCCTTCCTAGCATCACTTGACTTTTCCAGGGAATTTGAACTTGTGATCTGGCCGAAGTAAATCGGATGCAATCTTGTGATTTTTAGCTTCTGGTTTTAATGTCTGGTTGTATATAATTCAGCACCTTCGCTCTGGCTGTCCATGGCACAGGTAATCCTCAAATTATGACAACTAAGCCCAAAATTGATGCCGTTAAGGGAGACATTTGTTAAGTGAGTTTTGCCCTGTTTTACAACCTTTCTCGCCAGTTGTTAAGTGAATGGCTGCACTTGTTAAATTAGTCACACGGTTGTTAAGTGAATCTGGGTTCCCCATGGACTTTGCCCATTGGAAGGTCGCAAAAGGGGAATGATGGGAGTCGGTGGTCTAGCATCCAAATGTAAGTCACATGACCATGGGTTGTAAGTGTGAAAAATGGTCACTAAGCAAACTGTTGTAAATCGAGGGCTACCCCTACTTTGTGCCACAAGTTCAAAGGTGCCAATTTTTTCTCCGATGCTTTTTCATGCCTTTTTAAAGTGATTAATTTAATCCGTGCTGACCAAGGAGTTTTATCTCAATATTAATAAAATGTGATTGAAAAGTTGATCAGATCTTTTTTTTGGTTGGTTTTGTTCCCAAGCTGGCATCCAAGATCGGCCGGGGGGTCTCGGGTCTTCTGCCCACAGAATCCAAACTCTGAGATTCTTACGACCAGCAGGAAGTCCTCGATATACGATTGAAATTGAGCCCCAAATTTCCACTGCTAAGTGAGACAGTTGGGAAGTGTGTTTTGCCCCATTTTACGACCTTTCTCGCCACAGTCATTAAGCGAATCACTGAAGTTGTTAAGTCAGTCACACGGTTGTTAAGTGAATCTGGCTTTCCTGTTGTCTTTGCTCGGCAGGTCGCAAAAGGGGATCACGTGACCTCGGGACACTGCGACCGTCATAACTATGAATCAGTTGCCAAGCGCCTGAATTTTGATCATGTGACCCCGTTAAGTGTGAAAAATGGTCATAAGTGACTTTTTCCAGTGCTGTTGTAACAGCTGCAGTGATTCACTTAACAATGGGTGGCAAGAAAGGTCATAAAATGGGGCAAAACTCACTTAAGTCTTGCTTAGCAACAGACGTTTGGCTCAACTGTGGTCGTAAGTAGAGGATTATCATAAATTGGTTCAGTCAGTGGCAAATTTTCCACCTCTTCCCCTTTCGTGGTTCCAGCCATCTCTCCACAAACACAGATAGTCCTCGATTTACAATGGTTCATTTAGTGACCGAAATTACAACAGCACTGAAAAAGGTGACTTACGACCGTTTTTCACACTTACGACCTTTCCAGCATCCCCATGATGTTCACGGGATCAAAATTCAGACGCTTGGCAACTGACTCGTATTTATGACGGTTGCAATGTCCACGGAGGTCACGTGTTTCTCCTTTTGCGACCTTCTGACCAGGAAAGTGACTCACTTAACAGCAATGATTTGCTTAACAACCGGGGCAAGAAAGGTCATAAAATGAGGCAAATCCACTTAACAAATGTCTTGCTTAACAACATAAATTTTGGGCTCAACTGTGGTCGTAAGCCGAGGACTACCTGTATGCATGCATGTACACACACACACACACACACACACAGAGAGACCTGGAATGTACAGGGTTTATTTAGAAAACTGAAGCCGTCTCTTGGGTCCCGCGTGTGAGAAGCGCCAACTCTGCTGCCCCAAGGCGCAAAGGGTGGAGCCCAGTGGGGCGCCTGTTGCCCCCAGCCTCAATGATGCAGCAGGGAGCAGCGAACAAGCCCCCTCCTCCCCAAAGAAGGTTGAGGGAAGGGCTGGGATGGAGATGGGGAGGGAGAGGGGAGGGTTCGGCTGGCAGATGAGCCCCTAAAGCCAAAGCTGAAACTTCAGCCTTGGCCACGTTACCCCCAACGTCTGATTCAAGACCCTGGTGGGATATGGGGAGGGAGAGGGGAGGGGAAGGAGGGAGAGAGGGAAGGAAGGAGGGAAAGGGAGGTAGGGAGGAAGGAGTAGGAATGGAGGAAGGAAGCTAGGAAGAAAGGAGGGAAGAAAGGGAGGGAAGGTTGGGGATAGGGGAAGGAGGGAGGGAAAGGGAGGAGTAGGAATGGGGGAAGGAAGGGAGGGAAAGGGGAAGGAGGGAGGGAAGGAGAGAGGAAGAGGACGGGAAGGAGGGAGGGAAAGGGAGGGAGGAGTAGGAATGGGGGAAGGAAGGAAGGGAAAGGAAGGGAAGAAAGGAAGGGAGGGGTGGGGATAGGGGAAGGAGAGAGGAAGAAGGGAGGGAAAGGAGAAGGGAAAGGGAAGGAAAGAATGGCGGGAGGGGTGGGCAAGGAAGGAAGGAGGGAGGGAGGGAAAGAAGGAAGATAGAGAGGAGGGAAGGGAGTAATGGAGGGGAGGGGCTCCCGAGACTCACTTCACCCTCCCCACCCCCCACCTGCCAGGAAGGACAGAACGTTCCCTGGGGACCCCCAAAGAACCCAAAGGGACGCAAACCCCACCCCCCAACAACTGACCCAGGCTGCTCCCAGCTGACCAGAGAGAATCACCCATCCATGCCATCACGGAGAGCGAGGAAGGGGCCACGGAGCAGGAGGCTGAGAAGAACAAGCGGTCGGGGGTGGGGGGCTCAGCCCAAACAGCCTCATCCCTCCAGCTGACCAGGAGGGGGGGGGCAGCAGCGTTGCCCCTCCCTTGATGCGAGAGGGAGGACCTTCGGGTGGGTGGGGGGGAGGCGTGTTCAAAGGGGTTTCCATCCACCCCACAGCTGGTGTGCGTGCGTGTTTGTGTGTGACGGGAGGAGGGAAGGCAACCAAGTCCGACAACGGGGGGGAGGGCAAAGGCTCTCCCCCGCCCTAGTCATGTCCCGCCTGGCGTCTCGCAGAGGCTGGGTTTGGAGGGGGGGGTCCCGGTGCTGCCGCCCCCCCGGCCTTATTTCTTCTTCTTCGTGTGCCGCAGCCCGTTGGAGGGGGTCTCGCTGGCCGCCCGGCCCTTCTCCTCCTTCCTGCGCAACTGCCCGTTCTTTTCTCCGCCCGGCTGGTCTCCGCCGCCACCGGGATCGGCCACCGCGTCAACCGGCCGACTCGGCTTCTGCTTGCCTCCGGTGGGGACCCCTCCGGCCAGCAGACGGGCCCCCAGGCCTCGCAGGATGCCCACAGCCGCTGCGGTCAGGTAGAGGGACCAGATGATGGCCGGGCCGGTGTACAGGTGGAGGTGGACTCGAACTCGCTGCAGCAGGCTGGGCAGGAGGGCATCCGGGGGGCGCTTCACGGGGGGCTTGTCCTGGAAGAAGAGAGGGAAAATCTTCAGTAAGACAGGCTCACTCACACACACACACACCCTCAGGATTTTTTGGGGTGACCAAGAGAGGGAGGGGGGGTCCAGGTTGAGTGGAGGCTACAGGAAGTTCTCAACTTACAACAGTTCGTTTAGTGACCATCCGAGGTTACAACAGCACGGAAAAAAGGGAATTTATGACACTTTCTCACACTTATGACAGTTGCAGCAGCCCCTGGTCATAATTCAGACCCTTGGCAACTGACTCGTATTTATGACGGTTGTAGTGTCCCAGGGTCGTAGAAGCCCCTTTTGCGACCTTCGGACGAGTGAACCCAAGGGGGAAGACAGATTCACTGAACGACCATCTTACTAACGTCACGACTGCGACAATTCGCTTAACCACCATGGCAAGAAAGGTCGTAAAGTGGAGCGGAACTCACTTAACAACTGTCATGCTTAGCAACGGAAATTTTGGGTTCAACAGTCATATGTTGAGGACTGCCTGTAAATTTTTTGGGGGGCGGGGGGAGGGGGTGTACAACTGCCAAATTCCCTTTTGAAAAATATTGACATTGGAAATATTTTGTGGTTTCAATTTTGGTTGGTAAAAAAATCGACACCCATCCACCCCCGTTTCTACTCCAGACTGGGCCGACATAGCCCCCCTTCCCTCTCCTCGAAGCTGGCTGCTCCCCCCCAACCACAATGTCCATGCTCCTCACCTTGAGCCCGTGCTGGGCCAGCTGGGCTTCCAGGTTGGGGTCTCCCAAAAAGACCACCGGGTAGAATTCCTCAATCCGGTGACGCCGCCACCAATTTTGAGGGAGGGTCCTGCCGGGAGGAAATGGGGAGGGGGGAGGTGAAGCTGGATGTTTTCTCCACCCAGGGGGCTGCCTGCACTCCTTCTGGCCCCTAACTCCTTCTGGCTTGGGGTGGGGGCTACAGTTCCCCCCCCCATTCCCAGGCCTTGCTGGGGGAGCCAAATCCTTCTCGTGGAGACACAGAGAATATTTTATAGCTTTAATTGGTTTGATTGGCCTTAATTGGCCTTTCCCAATGGGGGACAGAGGGGAAAAAACATTTTCCTGGACTGAAGATTTCCTCCCCCCACACCGTCCTCCCTCCCCCCACCATCCACTCACCCGTCCGTCTCTGCCTCCGTGAACCAGTACTTGTACAGCTGGGCCCGGATGTAGGTGGGTGGGTGGTCCCTGAAGGGGTACTTGGAGTCGTCCACCTGTATAAGGTGGATCACTGCAGGGAAATCGGGGGTGGGGGGGGGAGGGAGATGGGTCAGTTGGTCAGCTGAAAGAAGAAAATTGAGGGTCCCCTGCCCCCCCCCCCATTGACATCCCTCATCATCCTGAAGATGGATGCAGGAGCCACAGAGAGGCTCTAATCTGCCTAGATCCCAGGTGGGCAGACATCCCCACCCCACATTGGAGCCCGTCTGGTACAGCCTGTTTTCTCAGACATTCATCCAGGTGTTGCCTTCCCAAAGGCAACTCCCTCGTTCTCCTGAAGGAGAGGCTGGATGTCAGGTTTCGATGTTGTCTCAAATAAAATAAATTGCATTTCCAAACAATAGTCTTTGAAGAAATCTTTCATTTTATTAAGCACGACAAACTGTCCCCAATCGTGGCGTAGCCAACACTGACTTCCTGACCCCAAACCTTCCCTTTCCGTTCCCCAATTCTCTGCGTCTCATTAGCCCTCTTCCAAATCACTCTCCCCATATCTATTACTTCAGCTCCCAGGAATGTCCCTCCTCCCATCTCATCTCCTAGGGGATATTATCTTCAGGGAAAATAAGTAGGTGAGAAGTCAAGTGTCCTCTTGCCAGCTGCTTCCTCTTCTCCTTCTTATGTCGGCACTAGAGTAAATGCAGGTTGAAGTGCTGACATCGGACTTCCGTGCGTACAAGATCCTTTTGGGTGGGCAAAGGTGAATGGCTGCAGGGGTCCTCTCGGGCTCAATCCCACCCATCCCCAGCTCCCTTCTCTGGCCGTTGCACCCCACCGTCCTGGGTCCCCGCCTCTCAACTGCGCTCTATGGTCCAAGGGGTCTCTCTGGGACCCTGAAGACAGGGCTTGGAAGAGGAAGGAAGGGAGGGAGGGAAGGAAGGAGAAAGGGAAGGAGGAAGTAAAGAAGGAAGGAAGGAAGGGAGGCAGGGAGGAAGTGAGAAAGGGAAGGAGAAAGAGGGAGGGAGGGAGAGGGGAACTAAGGAAGGAAGGAAGGGAGAAAGAGGGAGGGAGGGAGGAAGGAGAAAGGGAAGGAGGAAGTAAATAAGGAAGGAAGGAAGGAAGAGAGGGAGGGAGGGAGGAAGTGAGAAAGGGAAGAAGGCGAGGGAGGGAGGGAGGATGGAAGGAAGGAAGGAAGGATGGAGGGAAGGAGGGAAGGAGGAGGGATTATCCAGCAGGCTCACCTTCCTTCTTGCCCTGCAGGAGGCGGTAGACGAAGCTGGTGAACCAGGGGCTGTGGCTGTGGTGGCCCAGAGCAGCGAACCACATCTGCCAGTCCAGGCGGGGCTGGTGTGGGGCCACGATGGGCGGGGGAGCGCTGATGTTGCCCGGCTTGTACATGAACTCGATCTCCTGGGGAAGTGGGCAGAGAGCGCCGGTTGGACCTCCGTGGCTCCGCCCCCTCTTCCCTGCCAGGAGGCCCCGCCCTCCCGTTTGTGTCAACCGATCAATAATATTTATCTGGCCAATGATCAGCCAAATTTAGAAGGAAAAAAAACCAAGGCATGCCAGAGTGAAGCCAATAAATACAATATCCTACTAACGGTTAGTAAAATTAATTGTAGAATAGGATTTGCAGAGAAGAGGAGGAGGAGGAAGAGGAGGGAGAGGAGAGGGGAATAATTGTGGGGTCCCTGGTGCTCTCCTAGCTGGGTCCTTTTCTTGCAGATGTCTCATGACCCAACTAGGGAACATCATCAGTGTTACAAGGGAGTGGGGTTGTGGCAAAGAGGAGGATTTAGGGCCCTTGAAGCTCTCTGAGCTGCGTTGTTTCCTTGCAGACATTTCAGGACCCATCTAGGAAACAGCATCAGTGCTAGAAGGGGGCTTTGCTCTCATTCATATACTAGTGGCTTGTCCCATCAGTATTGGTGGACATGTTTTCTCCTCGGTGGTTCCTGCATTTGGCTGTGGTTTACTGTTTGATTGTCTGATTTGGTACTTCCTGAATTGGGCTATTTCAAGCCTTACAACTGTCTCTTTCAAATGGTGGGTAGATGTTATTTATCTCTACATGCCTGTTGATGGCCGACTTGTCCGAATGCCAGGCTTCCAGGAATTCTCGAGGGTTTTGGGGTTCAGCTTGAGTCAAGGAGGATCAGCCCCCAGCCCTCCCTCTGACAGCACCCCAAAGCCACTCACCGTCCACGTTTCCTTGTCGTGGCTGCCTTCCAGCACCACCTCCGGCCGCCCACCGACGCCCGTCATTCGCCGGAAGAGCCCGTAGGAATTGGCCAGCTGGTAGCGATCCACAGCCCCAAAGGCCTGATGGATGCCCGGCCAGAGCTTCCCGTTGGACTCGTGCTCAATGTACGTGAAGGGAACCTGAGGAAGGAACAGAGGGCTGTGATTTGAACCCACAACATCTTCTGGAAAGCAACAGCAATGACATCAAGAGAGCCCAGTCGGTCTGAGCCAGATCTCAGTCCAAGATGTTTTGATGAGAATCGAACTCCTGGCTGTGGGCATTGCAGTCTAATCTCTGTACCACCAGGGCCAGCCTGCCTGCCTGCCTGCCTTCCTTCCTTCCTTCCTTCCTTCCTTCCCTTCCCTCCCTCCCTCCCTTCCTTCACAATAGCCCTTAGCCTTATATACCGCTTCACGGTGCTTTACAGCTCTAAGTAGTTACAACATAATTGCTCCCCAACAATCTGGGTCCTCATTTTACCCACCTCGGAAGGATGGAAGTCTGAGTCAATCTTGAGCTAGTCAGGATCGAACTCCTGACAGTGGACAGAGTCAGCCTGCAATACTGCATTCTAACCACTGGGCCACCACCATGGCTGTTATGTTTTAAAGCAAGGCAGGATCCTTAAATATACTGACTTATTTAGGAATTCTGGGGGGTTTTCTGCTCGGGGGCCACTTGGGTCTCCCCCAAAATCTTCCTCCTACGGTATGATTCACCCCAATTTCCACACCCCCAAAGAAGCCCAACCGCATCCGGCATGAAGCCTATTAACGTGTAGCAGCCCCTCCCAGGCTGATGCCACCAGGTATGCTCATCCTGGCCCATCTGCCCCTGCCCCCCCCCCCCAAGACTCACCAGGCTGATAGTGAACATCCCCAGGGCAGCTGTGGCAAAAACGGCCCATTGCACGACAGCCCAGAGTTTCCAGAAAAATCCCCGGACGCAGGCACTCCTGGGGGGGAGGGAAGGAAAGGGACATCAGGCAGGAGGTCCCCAGAGACCACCCCAAATATTGGGGGTGATGGGACATTCCTTTAAGAGACAAAGGAGCAAAGCTAGTTCCGGGCAATTCTGGGAATTGAAGTCCACCTATTTTAAAGCGGGTAAGGTTTGAAAAAGACTAAAGAATAATAACAGAGCTGGTTAAATTGTAGGAAACAGCATTCGTGGATCTGAAAAATGGACTGTGAGGAAATGGAAGAGGAAGAGGGGGAGAGAGAAGGAAATGAGGAGAAAGGGGAGGAGGAAGAAAGAAGAAGAAAGTAGGAAGAGGAAGAAGAAAAAAGAGGAAGAAGAGGAGGAGGAAGAGGGAGAGAGAGAAGGAAATACAGAAAGAGGAGGAAGAAAGAAGAAGAAAGTAGGAAGAGGAAGAAGAGGAGGAGGAGGAAGAGGAAGGGGGAGAGAGAAGGAAATGAGAAAGAGAAGGAGGAAGAAAGAAGAACAAAGTAGGAAGAGGAAGAAGAAAGAAGAGGAGGAGGAGGAGGAGGAAGGGGGAGAGAGAAGGAAATGAGAAAGAGGAGGAGGAAGAAAGAAGAAGAAAGTAGGAAGAGAAAAAAAAGAAGAGGAAGAAGAGGAGGAGGAAGAGGAAGGGGGAGAAGGAAATGAGAAAGAAGAGGAGGAAGAAAGAAGAAGAAAGTAGGAAGAGGAAGAAGAAAGAAGAGGAGGAGGAGGAAGAGGAAGGGGGAGAGAGAAGGAAATGAGAAAGAGGAGGAGGAAGAAAGAAGAAAGTAGGAAGAGGAAGAAAAAAGAAGAGGAAGAAGAGGAGGAGGAAGAGGAAGGGGGAGAGAAAGGAAATGAGAAAGAGGAGGAGGAAGAAAGAAGAAGAAAGTAGGAAGAGGAAGAAAAAAGAAGAGGAAGAAGAGGAGGAGGAAGAGGAAGGGGGAGAGAGAAGGAAATGAGAAAGAGGAGGAGGAAGAAAGAAGAAGAAAGTAGGAAGAGGAAGAAAAAAGAAGAGGAAGAAGAGGAGGAGGAAGAGGAAGGGGGAGAGAAGGAAATGAGAAAGAGGAGGAGGAAGAAAGAAGAAGAAAGTAGGAAGAGGAAGAAGAAAGAAGAGGAAGAAGAGGAGGAGGAAGAGGAAGGGGGAGAGAAAAGGAAATGAGAAAGAGGAGGAGAAAGAAAGAAGAAGAAAGTAGGAAGAGGAAGAAGAAAGAAGAAGAAGAGGAGGAGGAAGGGGGAGAGAGAAGGAAATGAGAAGGAGGAGGAAGAAAGAAGAAGAAAGTAGAAAGAGGAAGAAGAAAGAGGAAGAAGAGGAGGAGGAGGAGAAGGGGGAGGAAGAGGAAGGGGGAGAGAGAAGGAAACGAGAAAGAGGAGGAAGAAGAAAGAAGAAGAAAGTAGGAAGAGGAAGAAGAAAGAAGAGGAAGAAGAAGAGGAGGAGGAGAAGGGGGAGGAAGAGGAAGGGGGAGAGAGAAGGAAATGAGAAAGAGGAGGAGGAAGAAAGAAGAAGAAAGTAGGAAGAGGAAGAAGAAGAGGAGGAGGAAGGACGATCGTGGGAGTCCTCGGTGCTCTCTGAGCTTGGTGGCTTCCTTGCAGACATTTCCTGGCCCAACCAGCTAACATCCATCAGTGCTGGAAAGGAGTGGGCTTGGGGAGGAAGAGGGGGAATAGTCATGAAAGAGGAGGAGAAAAATTGGTGAAGGAAGAGAAGGAAAAATGATGGTGAAGAGGGGGAGGACATGAAGGAGAACAGAGCCAGTTGAGTCTTGTCTTCTGGGGGTGAAACAGAGGCTTGCCAACTGCCGTCCCCTTCCTGCCCCAAGTCAACTCCCGACTCACCTGTATCCGGCCTGAAGGATCTCCCACAGCAAGGAGAGAAGCCCCACGGCCACCAGAGGGAGGGTCACCATCTTCAGCCACTGCATGAACTCGTGGAAGGTGAACGCTGGAGAGAGACCAGGTTGAGGGAGGGTGTGAATGGACGAACCGGAGCCAGGAAAGGACCCGGGTTGCCCACCCTTCTCTCTCTCTCTCTCTCTTGGCCAGGATCCAACAGGTTCACACAATGCTACTGTATTGCACCCCTCTTCCAATGGGGGAGGACCCCAGGTCTCCCAGCCCCCCAGGAATTGTACCCCCAGCTCTAAAACACGAGGGTTGGGGTGGGGGCAGCTACGAGGCACCCGGGACCCCTTCAAGTCTTGCATTTCACAGGGCAAGGCCTCCTCCCCCTTGGTGAGGAGGGGGTACAAAGGGAGCAGAGTTCTTGGGGTGTGGGACAAATCTTGCACGTGTGCACTCACATGGGGGCGGTGGAGGGGAGGAGGGGGGAATCCTTGGGCAAGTCTGAGAATGTGAGAATAGGGCTGGTGGGTCAGGGCTGAGCCCCTTGAATGCCGAAATGGGGAAAAAGTTCACCCCACCGCAGCTGAGGGACTGCCAGGACACCCCACATGCCCCACATGACACCCCCCCACTGCCAACTGAAGCCCCCCCTCTCCCCCCCCAAAGAAATACCTGTCTTGGTTTCAAGGAGTCTCTTCTCCCAGTTGATGGTCAGCCCGAAGTAACGGCTGGTCCAGAAGATCAGGAGGCCGTAGACAGCCAGCTCTGCCAGCAGGGGGGGCAATCGCCAAGCCCAGCCTAAGGGCCAGAGAGGGCAGGAACAGAGGGAGGGGTCAAGGTCAAGGGGGAAGGCTTAGGGGCCCCACAGTGGCCGACCGCGGGCACTGAGGATGGGGGCCTAAGGGCCCTGCAGAGGGGGCTGGGCTGCAGCTCCCATCAGGCAGCTCCCATCAGGCAAGTACTATCAATCCCATCATGCACCTCCCATGAGATGCAGCTGGACTACAGCTCCCATCAACTGCCTTCATGCAACTCCTAATCAATCCCATCATGCAAGCACCATGCATCCATCATGCAAGTACCACCAAACCCATCATGCAAGTACCATCAAATTCATCATGCAAGTACCACCAAACCCATCATGCAAGTACCATCAAATTCATCATGCAAGTACCACCAAACCCATCATGCAAGTACCACCAAACCCATCTTGCAAGTATCATGAATCCATCATGCACCTCCCCATGAGAAGCGACTGGACTGCAGCTCCCATCAGGCCCATCATGCAAGCACCACCAATCCCATCATGCAAGTACCATCAAGCCCATCATGCACCACCCCATGAGAAGCGACAGGACTGCAGCTCCCATCAACCCTGCCGCTCTGGATAGCCAGACAGGCGGCATGTAAACAGAATAAATAAATCGAGGAATGCGCCCAAGGGAAGCTCCTCCTCCTCCTCGTGGGGGCGGGGCCTGGGGCCTGGGGGACTCACCGCCACTGGCTTTCTTCCGCCCGTGGCCCAGCCACAGCCCCACGTGCTCGTCGTCCAGCAGGGAGCAGCTCAGCACCAGAGTCAGCAGGTTGAAAAAATTGTAGTTGCCGGTGAAAATGATCAGGGCTTGCAGAAGGACCTGGAGGAGGGTTAAAATGCAGGGAGTCCTCGACTTACGACCACAACGGAGCCCAAGGTTTCTGTGGCCAAGCAAGGTAGTTGTTCAAGGAATTTTGCGCACCATTTTACAACCTTTCTCGCCCCAGTCGTTAAGTGAACCACTGCAGTTAAGTTGGTGTGACGTTTTTGCAGTGTCCCGGGGTCCCCGATTCCCTTTTTGTGACCGTCTGACCAGCAAAGTCAACGGGGAAGCCAGACTCACTTAACGACCGTGAGACTCATTTAACAACCGCAGAGCTTCACTTAACCAATGCGGCGAGGAAAAGTCATAAATTGGGAGCAAAACTAATTTCTTCACTTAACGACATAAACTTTGGGCCCAATTTTGGCTTAAGAAGAAATTTTAAATGTTTTAATTGGTTTGTATTTTTAATTTTGGGCCAAATTTATATATATATTAATTGTTTTTTAATATTTTATATTCTATGTTTTTTAATTCTGGCTGTACACCGCCCTGAGTCCTCAGAGAAGGGCGGTATATAAATTTAAAATTAAAAAAAAAAAAATTAACTGAGGTTGTAAATTGAGGCCTATTGGCGCTTGACCGTGCCAAATAAGTGTGCAAATTCTCCCTCTTAAGTTTTGCTGCGAACCTTCTCCTTGGGGGGCATTCAGACCAACCCCCCCCGCAACCCCCAGCGCTTGCCAACCTCACCTTCCCAGCGCCCGGCCGTACCTGGGTGTAGAAGGCAAAGAGGCGAAGGCGCCGGAGCGGCACGAAGAAGAGGGGCGGGATGGCGATCTCGATCACGTAGGTGGCCACGACGCTGAGCTTCTGGAACCAGAAGGGCATCTGGTGGGCAAACCAGGCGCTGGGCGTGGGGATGCACTGGGTCTCGTAGTGGTAGGTCAATGCTGGCGACAGAAGGGGAAAGGGGGAGAGAGAGAGAAAGGGAGAGACAGACAGAAAAAGGGATAACAGGAGAGAGAGGGAGAGGAGAGAGAGAAAGAAAGAGGGGGGAGGCAGAGAAGGAGAGAGACAGAGAGAGGGGGAGAGGAGAGAGTGAGAAGGGAGAGAGAGAAAAAGAGTGAGATGGAAAGAGAGAGAGGGAGGGAGAGGAGAAAGACAGAGAGAAAGACAGAGAGAGGGAGGGAGAGAAGGAGAGAGACAGAGAGAGGGGGAGAGGAGAGAGTGAGAAGGGGAGAGAGAGAAAAAGAGTGAGAAGGAAAGAGAGAGAGGGAGGGAGAGGAGAAAGACAGAGAGAAAGACAGAGAGAGGGAGGGAGAGAAGGAGAGAGACAGAGAGGGAGAGGAGAGAGAAAGAAAGAGAGGGAGAGAAGGAGAGAGAAAGAGAGAGGAGTGAGAGAAGGAGTGAGAGAGAAAGAGAGAGTGAGAAGGAGAGAAAGAGAGGGAGGGAGAGAAGGAGAGAGACAGAGAGGGGAGAGAGGAGAGAGGAGAGAAAGAGTGAGAAGGAGAGAGAGAAAGAGAGGGAGGGAGAGGAGAAAGACAGAGAGGGAGGGAGAGAGGGAGGGAGAGAAGGAGAGAGAAAGAGAAGGAGAGAGAGAGGCAGAGATGGAGAAAGAGAAAGGGAGAGAGACAGACAGAGGGAAGGGAGAGAGAAAGAGAGAGGCGGAGAAGAGGTGGGAATATAGTTAGTTAGTCCTTGATTTATGGATGCAAAACAGCCCGAAATTTCTATTGCTAAGCAAATCTCTCATTAAGTCACGAGAGGGTGGGAATATAGGTAGTACTCAACTTGCGACCATAGTCGAGGCCAAAATTTCTGTCGCTAAACGAGAACATTGGTTAAGTGAGTTTTGCCACTGTCGTTAAGCGAATCACTGTGGCTGTTAAGTGAAGCATGCGGGTTTTGTGTTCCAAGTTTCAGTGGCTGGCAACACATCCGATTTAATGAATAAATTGAACAAGGGACTTTCTAAAACAGGGGTGCGCAACTATGGCCCCTTTAAGACCTGTGGACTTCAACTCCCAGAATTCCTGAGGCAAATGGCAGAATAACAGAATTGGAAGGGACCCTGGAGGTCATCTAGTCCAACCCCCTGCTCTCACGCAGGAGAACCTGTCCTAGGGATTCGAACCGCCGACCTTTTCTGATCGACAAGCTCAGCGTCTGAGCCCCCGGGGCCAACCGGTCAGGCAGTTTTTCTCTCTGTGCTGGCTGACTCACCTGTGAGCCCCCACCAGGTGGGGCAGCGGCTGGTCAGCTTCACCACCCCGGATGCGAACATCAGCCGGAAGAGCAACCAGCGCACCAGCCAGAAGGTCACCCCGTCATGCGCCCGCCAGGTGGTGGACTTCCACTTGAGCAGGTGCAGGGGGGCCACCAGCACCGCCAGGAAGCCCGTCTCCAGCAAAAGGCTGTCCCTGGTGGAGAAAGACGAGGGTCAAAAGAGCATGGCTAGAGCGCCCTTCCCCTTGCCAACCCTCACAGGGGCTCTAGGAGGCCCTCCCCGTGACGTAGAAATTGCAGGCAGTCCTTGGCTTATTGTTAGGAAACGGCTATTGCCTAACTAGTTGGTCAGGCAATAGATAAACTATCAATACATGTTTGTCAAAAGGCATTGTATTGCTTTAAGACTGTATTGCATCATCCTGTGTCCTGATTGGCTGAGCTCTGTAGCCAATGTACTTAAGGGGAAGCCTGAATCATGGCTTGTGGACACTACACCATTTTATCTGCTTATCTCTACTTGTTCTCTCTGCATGATCACTGTTTGATCATTGCTACTTGTAGTTTTCTACTATTTATTGAATGTTATAATACTGAACTTGTTCCTGTTTGAAACTCAAGAAGAACTGTTTTTATTGTGTAATGACAACAACTGGTAAGAAGACTTTGTACTTGGAATATCCCTGAATTGATATTTTAACTATCGCCTTATCTGTGTATGACTTGGATTGTAATTGGACTTTGCTTTACTTTTTTCTAAAAGTAAAAGACTACCACAACTCAGTGTGTCAGTATATTAACTGTGGTTATTCACTCTCAGCCACTTTCATGTGCATACTCAAGGGGTACTCTGCTCAATAACCCATAACATTGGTTATGAGCCAAGAATATCCTTAACACTTACGACCACCATTTGAGCCCTGGCTGAGTGGGTCAGGGATTCAGTGAGACTTGCTGCCCCATTTTACGACCTTTCTCGCCACAGTGGTTTTAAGTTAGTATCAATCAGAATAGAGAGGGGAAGGGAGCTTGGAGGTCTTCTAGTCCAGCCCTCTGCTAGAGCAGGAGATCTTATACCATTTCAGACAAGTGGCTGTCCAGTCTCTTCTTAAAAGCCTCCAGTGATGGAGCCCCCACAACGTCTGGTGGCAAGCAGTACCACTGGTTAATTGTCCTCACGGTTAGGAAGTTTCTCCTCAATTCCTGGTTGCTTCTCTCCTCAATGAGTTTCCATCCGTTGCTTCTTGTCCTCCCTCCCTTCCCCTCTTCTTTGGGGCAGCCCCTCAAATACTGGGAAGACTGCTTAACAACTGTGGCAAGAAAGTCATAAAATGGGACAAAACTCACTGAACAAATGTCTCACTTAGCGACAGAAACCTTGGGCTCAATTATGGTGGTAGGTTGAGCCCCACCTGTAGAAGCCCAGGGCCACTTACCATTGGAAATAGAGGAACACCTGTCCCACCTGCAGAGAGAGAACAAAGGAAGGAAAATCCAATCAGCAGCTGGAGTGGCTCATCAGGTGCCTTCTACCTGAGTTCAGACTGGTTTTCCCCAATGTAAACCATATCCCACTGGCTGAATCTACCTGCAAAGTCTCCATCCTCCACCCCAGCCACTAGCTAACCACTAACCCCACTAACCATTAACTAATCACAATGCAACAACTCCTCCCTCACTCCAGTTTGGCCACCCTTATGCTAGGAATTTGGGAATGGCCCTCTCTGGATGAGACCTTCCCCCCCCCCCACAGAACACCCCTGTAAGGTAGGCTGGGCCAAGTATGCACGATGGCCTCAAAGTCCCCCCACGGACCTCCCAGGGAGAGGGTGTGGCTTGAACCCAGTTTGTTAGTGCAGTGTTTCCCAAACTTGGGAACTTCAAGATGTATGGACTTCAACTCCCAAAATCCCACAGCCAGCCATGCTGGATGGGGAATTCTGGGAGTTGAAGTCCACACTTCTTAAAGTTCCCAAGTTTGGGAAACACTGTGTTAGTGCAACACAACTCCCAGAATTCCTTCTTCACACTTTCTAAAGCATGGACTCCCAGAATTCCTTAGCCAGCATTTTCAAAAGGACTTCAATTCCCAGAATTCCCCATCCAGCACCATCAGAAGTGAGGACTTCAACTCCCAGAATTCCTTCTTGGCACTTTAGAAAGCATGGACTTCAACTCCCAGAATTCCTTGCCAGCTCCTTCCAAAGGACTTCAACTCCCAGAATTCCCCAGGCAGCACCCCTGGAGGGCAGGGAAAGGTCCGGCTCCAGCCCCCCCGCCCCCCCCGGTACCTGGTAGACGGAGAGGTAAAGGCCCCAGAGGGCGAGGAAGACCAGGCTGTCCCGCAGGGGCTCCAGCACCAGGGCCCCGAAGGAGAGCAGCGTGCCCATCAGGCACAGCAGCTCCAGGCCCTGCTCCGTGTCCAGCCCCAGGTGGGGTCCCAGCCACAGCAGAGTCGGGGAGTCCCGCAGCTGCTGCCAGAAGCTTTTGCCCGTGAAGCGAAGCATCTTCCGGGCGGGCAGGATGCCATCTTTCCCGTAGAGGCCTGCAGGGAGGAAGGAGGGAGAGAGAAAGAGAGAGAGAAAGAGAGAGAGGCTCCAACGGGGCAGCCTGGCAACGGGGGCAACGCCACACAACACACACACGCACACATCATCCTAGTGCTTTTGCAGGCATCCGAGGCAGGGAACTGGGGCCTTGCCATGCAGAGAGTCCTCGACTTACGACCAGAATTGACACCCCCCCTCCCATTTCTGCTGCTAAGTAAGGCAGGGAAGTGGTGCCTTGCCATGCCGAGAGTCCTCAATTTACGACCAGAATTCTCTCTCTCCCTCCTCTCTCTCTCTCTTTCACACACACACACACACACACACACACACATACAGAGAGAGAAAGAGAGAGTTTTCTGCTGCTAAGCAAGACAGGGAAGTGGTGCCTTGCCATGCAGAGTCCTCGACTTACGACCATAATTCTCTCTCTCACACACACACACACTCACAGAGTTTTCTGCTGCTAAGCAAGACAGGGAACTAGGGGCCTTGCCATGCAAAGAATCCTCGACTTACGATCAGAATTGACCTCCTCCTCCTCCTCCTCCTCTCCCCTTCTCCCCCCCCCCCATTTCTGCTGCTAAGCAAGACAGGGAAGTGGGGCCTTGGCATGCAGAGTCCTCGACTTAACGACCAGAATTATTTCACCAAAAATTTCTCTTGCTAAGCGAGGCTGTTGCGAAGTGAGCTTTGCCCCCTTCTACCGCCTTTCTTGCCACCGTTGTTAAGCAAAACACTGCAGCCGTTCAATGAGTCACACAGTTGTTCAGCGAATCCGGCCTCCCTCCCCATTGACTCTGCTTGTCAGAAGGTCGCAAAAGGGGGTCACCGGGGGAAGTGGGGGGGTGGACACACTGCGGATGTCATAAACGTGAGTCGGTTGCCAAGGGAATGCTGCAACGGTCATAAGTGTGAAAAATGGCCATAAGTCCCTTTTTTCAGGGCTGATGGCGCCACGGTTGTTAAGTGTCAGAAACAGTCCTCAGTCCCTTTTTCCGGTGCTGTTGTTAACTCTGAACGGTCAGTAAATGAACGGTCGTAACTTGAGGACTTCCTGTAAAGGGGTTGGCCAGAAATGGTTCTCCTGGATTCCTCCCAATTCGTTGGCTGCAGGTTCCCAAAACTTACTCCAAAGTTCCTCCTGAGATATTCCACTCTTGAATCTTTAGGCCTGGCGGACTTCAACTCCCAGAATTCCCCAGCTGGCTGGGGAATTCTGGGAGTTGAAGTCCGCCAGGCTTAAACTTGCCACGATTGGAGACCCCTGCAATAGCCGGCTAATTTCCCCTTTTCAATCTTCCTTCCAATCCAAGATTAATTCTTTCCTTTTCTTCCACCACGGCATGCCTTAAAAACCTCTCCGGCATTTTAATAAACGATTTTCTCGCTCTTAATTTTTTTCCCACTTAATGGGTTTGGCAGCCATTGTCTGCCCCTTTTTCCCCTACCAAACACACCTTCGCTTCACCCCGAATGTACACACACCGCACCCTGCGGAAAGTCAGACTGCCCTTCGCAAACTTTTGTTCATTTTCACCTCTCCGAAACCTTAAACTAAGAATTCGGGTAAACAACTTCTGAGATTCGTTTCGTTGCTGCATTTCTTCTTTCTACAGGTAAGTCCTCAACTTACAACGGTTCCCTTAGTGACCTTTCCCTGGGAATTTGTGAGCGTTCTCCACACTTACGCCACTTGCTGCATCCCCACGTGATCCAAATCCAGAGGCTTGGCAACTGACTTGTACTTACGACGGTTGCAGTGTCCCAGGGGTTGTGTGAATCCCCTTCTGCGACCTCCGGACAAGCAGAATCAAAGGGAGAGCCAGATTCATTGAACGACCTATTTACTCATTGAACAACTGAAGTGATTCACTTAACAACGGTGGCAAGAAAGGTCGTAAAATGGGGCAAAACTCACTTAACGAATGTCTCACTTAACAACAGAAATGTTGGGCTCAATTGTGGTCGTTACGTCGAGGACTATCTACACCCGTGATGGCAAACCTATGGCCCACGTCTGCACATGCGCCAGCTGCTCTCTCTTCCAGGTTCGGCTCCAGTTTTCGCACTCGGTGCTGAAAAGATTCTCCATCATTGACCCTATACCATCCCAGACAAATGGTTATCCAATGCTAATCTTGAACGCATAGGTGTAACATAGAATTCTAGAATCCTAGGGCTATTAGTAGTAACAATATAGTAGTTGCTGGCTTGATCCCAGAGTTTTGGTTAAATTTAATTGATTTTAATTGGGTTGTCTTAAATTGCGGCCAAAAATATTTAATTATTTTTAAACTGTTTTTAAATTTTGTATGTTCTGTTTTATTCTGGCTGTTCACCGCCCTGAGTCCTGCTGGAGAAGGGCGGTATACAAATTTAAAAAAAAACAAATAAAATAAAATAAAATAAAATAAAATAAAATAAAATAAAATAAAATAAAATAAAATAAAATAAAATAAAATAATAAAATAAAATAAAATAAAATAAAATAAAATAAAATAATAAAATAAAATAAAATAAATAAAATAAAATAAAATAATAAAATAAAATAATAAAATAAAATAAAATAAAATAAAATAAAATAAATAAAATAAAATAAAATAAAATAAAATAAAATAATAAAATAAAATAAAATAAAATAAAATAAATAAATAAATAAATAAATAGTAACTGCGCGAGAGAGTCCTAGTGGACAATCCCTTAAATAGGAGCCAGCCATGTGCGGCAGCAGCCAAGACAATCCTAGGCTGCATCAACAGAGGGATAGAATCAGGATCACGTGAAGTGTTGATACCACTTTACAAGGCCTTGGAAAGGCCACACTCGGAATATTTGCATCCAGTTTTGGTCGCCACGATGTAAAAAAAGATGTGGAGGCTCTAGAAAAAGTTGCAGTGAAGAGCAACAGAGAGGATTAGGAGGCTGGAGGGTGAAATATACGAAGAATGGCTGCATGGATTGCGAATGTCTAGTTTGATGAAAAGAAGGACCAGGGGAGACATGAGAGCAGTGCTCCAATATTGGAGGGGCTGCCCGAAAGAAGGGGGAAACTTAAATTTTCCAAAGCACCAGAAGGCAAGGCAAGAAACAATCAAGGAGAGAAGAAACCTAGAAGGAAGGAGAAATTTCCAGATTGTGAGAAGAATTAATCAGCGGAACTGCTTGCCTCAGGAAGTCGGGGATCATCACTGGAGGTTTTTAAGAAGAGACTGGACAGCCATTGGTCTGAAATAGTATAGGGCAGTGTTTCGGCTGGGGGATTCTGGGAGTTGAAGTCCACCCATCTTCAAGCTTCCAAGGTTGAGAAACACTGATATAAGGTTTCCTGCCTGAGAAAGGGGTTGGACTAGAGGACCTCTAAGGTCCCCTCCAACTCTATTATCCTGTTTAATAAAAATAAAGGACGAGGGGTGACTTGACAGCAACGTTCCAGGATTTGAGGGGCTGCCCCAAAGAAGAGGGGCGGGGGGGGGGGTCCACCTATTCTCCAAAGCCCCTGAAGGCAGGACAAGAAGCAACGGATGGAAACCGATCGAGGAGAGAAGCAACCTGGGACGAAGGAGAAGAAGACTTAACGAGTGGAACAAATTGCCTCCAGAAGTTGTGGGGGCTCCAACACTGAGATTTGCAACAAGTATTTGTCTGCGATGGTATAAGTTTTCATGCCTTGGGCAGGGGGATGGACTAGAAGACCTCCAAGGTCCCTTTCCAGCTCTTGTTCTTCTGTTAGGGCTGGAAGGGACCTTGGAAGGTCTTCTAGTCCAGCCCCCTGCCCAAGGCAGGAGACCTTCTGGACCAGAGGTCTTCAAACTTGGCAGCTGGAAGACTTGTGGACTTCAACTCCCAGAATTCTCCAGCCAGCATAGCTGGCTGGAGAATTCTGGGAGTTGAAGTCCACAAGTCTTCCAGCTGCCAAGTTTGAAGACTTCTATTCTGGACAAATGGCTGGATCAGGAAGGGGAAATCTTTTCTCCAACAGGAGGAGGAGGAGGAGGAAGGTTGGGGTGGAGTGGGGGGGCTTGAAGGGCCCACCCAAGGCCGAGACAAAGAGGGGAGAGGGCCGGTGGGCCACACCAACCCCCCCCCCCGCACTCCACGTGTGAGACCGTTTGCACAACTGCTGCAGCGCCAGTGCCACGTGGAGCTCCTGGGACAGAGGTGGGGAAAAAAAGGGGGGGGGCCACAGGCTAAAAAAAAAAACACCCCATCCAGCTGGGATATTGGGAAAAGGGGGCGGGGCTAAAGCAGAGGGAGGGGCAGAAGAGAGCAGTTCTTTATGCAGAAAAAGGAGAGAGACCCCCACAGCCAAGCCCCCTCCCCCTCCCCCTCGGTTTCTCCCAGGGGCTGCTGAGAAAAGGGGTGCAGGGAGGAAGGGGGGGGAGTCCCAAGCAGGAGAGCCCCTTGATGGGTCCATCCTCCCCCAATATAAAGTCTTTCAAGCGCCCCCATCCCCAAAGGGAGTGGGGGGGAGGGGGAGAGACCCCCCCCATAAAATGAAGAAGCCCACCCAACCAAAACTCGGTTCAACCCAGGGTTTATTGGGGAGGGGGCAAGGAGCTATGGGGAGGAGGATGCTTGCCCCTCTCTCCCTCCAGGGAAGCGGGGTCCGAGACACGGGTCAGGGGGGCACGTGAGGACACGGGACTCCTTTGAGGAGGGAGGGGCGCCCCCTTCAGACGTGGAGACCCTCGCGCCCCGCCAGATTTCTCCCCGGGAGGGAGCCACTGCCCAAGCCCTCCCTTGGCCGGGACACGTGGACGGCTGCAGCGGGACCCAGAGGCGGAGAAGCCGGTGCCTTCGCCCGAGCGGCTGGCGGACTTTCGGCGCCGGGCCCTCCGCAAGGTCACTAAGCGGGACACAGCCCCCCCCCTCCCCTCTCCCGGGCCTCTTCCCTCCCCGGACGCCCCTGCGAGGACTCGGCTTGTGCTTTGCGGGAAGGGCGAGGGCGCCCCGGGGCATGTGCAGAGCGCTCCCCTCCCCGCTCTTCCCTTCCGCCGCCGCCGCAGGCTCACCGGGCAGCTGGACGTAAAGCGAGGCGAAGGCGGCCAGGAAAGCGGCGGCCAAGCCGCGCAGGAAGAGCTGCCGGGCCAGGCGGGGAACCTCCGAGGCCATCGCGCCTTCCGCCCTTCGCTCGCTCGCTCGCTCGGCTACAATGTAGCCAAAGGGGGCGGGGATAGAACGCGGGGGCGGAGCCGAGACCAGCGCGGGGCGGGGGGGGATGGACGTTGCGCGACGTCATCACCGTCAGCCCTTCGCAGGGGGGGGGGCGGCGCCTCGCGACGTCATCGCCCCTCCGTGTCGCGCGCCGATGGCGTCAGCGGCCGGGCGGGAAAATCAAAACGGCCGCCGCCGCCTCGGCCGCCGCCGCCGCCGCCATGGAGGACGCGGAGTCGCGCTTCCTGCACTTCTTGCAGCCCATCCGGGACCTGACCAAGAACTGGGAGGTGGACGTGGCCACGCAGCTGGGGGAGTACCTGGAGGAGGTAGGAGGAGGGGGAAACGGGGGGGGGAAATCCTCGCACAACGACCCCGCGAGGTAGGCCACACACACACAGAGAGAGAAGGGGGGGCTGCATTGTGAGCGCCCCGCCGCCTCTTCTCCTTCTCCCCCCCGCAGCTGGACCAGATCTGCATCTCCTTCGACGGCGGGAAGACCACCATGAACTTCATCGAAGCGGCGCTGCTCATCCAGGGATCCGCCTGCATCTACAGCAAGAAGGTGGGAGGGGAGGGGGGGAGGGGGGTGGCCTGGAGGGGGGTGGAAGTGGTCTGCCAGGGGGACAAGGGGAGGGTCCCATGGGGGGTTGGGGATGTCGGGGGGGAGGGGGGGCTCTGGGGGATGACCAGGTTCGGGAGGGGGAGTGGTCTGCCAGGGGGATAGGAGGAGGGGGGGCTAAATGTTGGGGGGGGAGTCGTCTGGGGAAGATTTCCAGGTTGGAGTGGGGGGTGGAATTGGTCTGCCAGGGGGACAAGGGGAGGCCCCACAGAGGGGAATGGAGGATGGACCCATGAGGGTGGGAGGGGGATGTCCGGGCTGGGCTGAGGAGAGCTCTGGGGGATGGCCTGCCAGGGGGACAAGGGGAGGGCGCCATGGGGGGGGCCGGATGGAGGATGGACCCATGGGGGCGGTGGGGGTTGACCAGGTAAAGGGACAAAGAGGATGGCTCCATAAGGGTGGGGTGGGGAGGCCCCTGGGAAAGATGGCCAGGTGGGGGAAGAAATGGTGGTGGGGGGGTTAGGGTTAGGGGAGGGCCCCGTGAGGTGATCGGATAGCCAGGTGGGGGAGATAGGAGGTTGGCTCCAAAGGGGGTGAGAGGGATGACTGAGGGGGCACCTGGAGAGGATGGCCAGGTGGGGGGCAGGACAGGAAGATGGGCCCATGGGGGGAGGATGACCCCATGGGAGTGGGAAATGGCCCCATGGGGAGACGGGGGAATGCCTAAGTAAGGGATGCGGGGGGGGGGTGTCTTAAAGATGACCAGGGGGAGGGACTAGATATTTGTTCATTTGAGGGCCTCATTTCCTGTGCTTCTCATTCTTGGTGACTTTAACAGGCAAGATTGAGAGATGCTGTTTTATACTAATTGCCCTGATTGTTTTAATTAAGGACATTGGAATGGACTCTAACAGGGAGGAACTGATTGAGTGACTGGTGACCAGGAGCAGCAGATGGACATCCTTGCTCTCCATCAAACTGAAAATTCATTTTCAGACTTTTTTTTGAGCAAATTCCTGGAGGACTCTTCCTTTGGGGATTATTCTCCATTTCATTCTCTGATCTATTGCATTTGTTTTCTCAGGTGGAGTATCTTTACTCACTGGTGTACCAAGCCCTCGATTTTATCTCCAGTAAGAAGTGAGTAAACCCCTCCTTGGGAAGAGAGGAAGGAAAAAGGGAAGGAAAGAAAGAAAGAAAAAGGCAGGAAGGGGTATGAAAAATGGGCAGGAAAGAAGGAAAAAAAAGAGGAAAGAAAGGAAAGGGGAACAATCCCATCCAGTAATGTGTTTGCTTAACAACCACTGCATTCACTTAAAGACAGCTGCAAAAGTCATAAAATCAGGTCAGTTGCAGTAACTGTGAGGCTCTATTACGGTTGTAATTTGAGGACTGCCTGTATTTTCTGGAATAAACTGCTCATTTCCCTTCTGTGTCTCTCTGTCGTAATTCTTCTTACAACTTAGGCGGGAGAAACAGCCCACGTCAGTCGGTGCGGATGGGGCCGACGGGGATGTCAGCGCCGGACCAGGAGCAGAAGAAGAAGAAGAGGTGAGCTCCGGGGTATTGAATCCAACAACCACAGCAAATCATGGCCATAAAACGCCTTCTTCAGCCGTTGCGAGACACTAGTTACGGGCTACCAGGTGGATCCAAACCCTCCATTCAGAGTTTTACTGCGCCACAGGAAGTCTCGTTTCCTCCGTTTTGCCAAAGCAGTTGCCAGGGTGGATTTGATTCAAGTCGATTTAAATCGTGATTTAAATCACTAGTAAAAAGGCTTGATTTAAATCGAGTCGATTTAAATCATAATTTTTAAAGAGCAACTCTGGCCGGTTGTTGACTTGCCGAGAGTCCCAATATTGCAGAATATACAGCCTCCTCATGCTACAGAACTAAGCTCCATTTCATGCTGAATAAACTAAATTATGAATGTATCTTAAACAGAAAAAGATCTTTAGGTAGATTTTTACTCCAAAAGCATTTTATTAAAATAAATTGGATAAACATAAAAAAAAACAGATTTTTTAAAAATTTATTTTTTATTCTGCATGCTCCCTTAAGCATGCAGAAACAGCTGTATGTCAATCTACGTCTCCCGTGGGCATGAAGTTTGCCATCGGTTGCTTCCTGCACACACGTTATAGACTATTAATGCTCTTGCTTAGATCTTATCTTTTAGGCTGATTTTAACCACGTTAATGTAATGTCGGTCCTGATGAGTCAATATAAAATGCATCTACCGCTGCTCGTCTTTTAACTCTATTGTTTAAATTATTAAAAGGGACTAATTGTTTTAAAATAAGGTTTGTCTTACCAGTTTGTATCTAAAGTGGTGCGGTGGCCTAGAGGTGAAGCTCTCACCTCACAATCAGGAGGCTGTGAGTTCAATCCAAATATTTCTCTTTCTGGGCACAATGAGAATATTTCTGCTGAACAAAACTCCGCATTAGCGACAGGAAAGGCATCCGGCCAGTAAACACTCAGCTCCATTCAGTTGCCCAGACTCTACCCCGCAAGGGATTATGGGGTTGTTAAATGATGATGTGATGGTTACCAGTCTGTATCTGAATTGTAAAGGAATGGCAGATAAGGGGTGGGGTCATTGCCCACGACCTGTCTTTTACTTGGGTCAGCTTTCATTCCGTCCAGCCAAGGCGGGGGCAGAGGCTCTTTCTGGCCCAGACAGCTCTTTCCTTGGTTTCTTTTCTGATGGAGTGTATCAGGGTTCCAAGTAACACCCCCAATGAAAGAAGACTCCAAGGCAAGGAATTGCTCATTTTATTAGAGATGTCATACTGGGACATCTGGGAAAACCCGAATCTGAAAACTTCCAGGTTTTCCCCACCCAAAAGAAAGTCCAAGTCCCTTCCCCCTGCACCCACATGTCCGTCACATGGTCCAATCAAGGCACCGTCCCAACTGGAGTTGGGATCCAGGGCAGGATGACCTTGACTCTCTGAGAAAGGAATGTTGTTTTGACTACATATCACCCAGGCTCCATACAATCCCCCCTCCCACAGCCCTGAAGACCCAAAGTAAAAGGTGGCTTCCAGGACTAACAGGCTGCGTCTTTCTCCATGCAGTTCCTCTCCTTGGACGACATCCAGCAGGCCAGCAGAGCCAACATGGACCTGAGGGACGACCAGCAGCACAACGTTAGTGGCTCCAAAACTTCTGAATAAGGGCAGGGGGGCATAAGGAAGCCTCCGCAGCTTTGTCTGCTCCCAGGGCTACACACAAACGCACACACACACAACACCTTTGCAAGTTTACAAGAAGTCCTCGACTTACAACCATTCGCTTAGAGACCAAAGTGAACAACGGCCCTGAAAAAAGCGACTTTTGACCATTTTTTTCTCACTGATGACCATTGTAGCATTCCCCATGGTCACGTGATTCAAATTCGGACGCTTGGCAATTGACTCGTATTTATGACGGTTGCCGTGTCCCCGGGGTCATGTGGTCCCCTTTTGCGACCATTCCGGCAAGCAAAATCAACGGGGGAAAGCCGGATTCGCTTAACGACCGGGTTACTGACTTCCCAACTGCAGTGAATCGCTTAACGACTGTGGCAAAAAAGTTCATTAAATGGGGCAAAACGCAACCAACGGTTGGGCTCCATTGTGGTCGTAGCTGAAGGACTGCCTGTACTATGATTGGTGTCGGCTCACCGAGTAGGCAGTAGGGGCTGGTGGGCTGTAGTTGCAGGTACTCCTCGATTTACGGCCCCAATGGAACCTAACATTCATGCTGCTCAGCAAGACAATTGTTAAGTGAGTTTTGCCCCATTTTACAACCTTTCCTGCCACAGTTGTTAAGTGAATCACCGCAACGGTTAAGCTAGTCACACGGTTATTAAGTGAATCCGGCTCCCCCGTTGATTTTGCTTGTCAGGAGGTCGCAAAAGATCACATGGCCCCCGGGACACGGCAACCGACACAAGTCTATGCCAGTGGCCAAGCATCTGAATTTTGATCATTTGACCACGGAGAGGCCGGAACGGTCATAAGTGTGAAAAATGGTCCTAAGTCACTTTTTTCAGTGTGATTGTAACTTCGGTCACTATAAATGAATAGTTGTGAGTGGAAACCCTCCTGCCCCACAGCCAGGGCTTAGGAGAACAGACAAGCCTTCCCCAAATCCCACCCCTGGGACCCCCAGCACCCTTCCCACCCACACCCCCTTCCCTTCTCCCCCTCTTGTAACTTCTCTGCTGCCTTTGCAGACGGTCCCCATTGTTCCCCTGACCCCCATGGCTCTGGTGCCCCCCGAAGAGTCGGAAAAGAAGGACAACCCCCTCTTTAGGTAAGAGGCTCTCGCGGGGTCCTCTGGGGGCGATTCCCCCCGTTCTCCTACCGTGGGGTACGAGGTGCGGCATCCCCTGGCCGCCTCCGTCTGATCTGGGCTTCTTTCCTTGCAGCCGGAAGGGAGAGCTGCTGGCCAGCAGGAAGGACTTCCGGATGAACACCTGCACCCCCCACCACAACGGGCTCTTTGTCTTGGAACTGGCGGGGGTCTCGCCCACCCAGTGCCAAGAGGGCAGAGACGGCGGTTGGGGCCACGGCAACCCCAACGGTACAACTGGCATCCACCACGGTGGATCCTCCTTTTAAAACTTAGTTCATTCTTTCGATTTGGATTCTTTTTCACTTATTGTTTCGAATTTTTTTGTTGTTGTTTTACTTTGTTGTTTCAGCTTAGTTTAGTTTTGACTTCATTCTACTTTTAATTTTGTTTGATTTTACTTTGATTTTATCCTTTAACGATTCACTTTATTTTACTTTTATCATATTATTCACTGTTAAATTGCATTTGTTTTCAATTTGATTTTGTTTGATTTTACTTGGTTTTAAATTTTGCTTTTTTTTTTTCATTTTGAATTTTTTTTTGTTATTTCATTTGGTTAAGTCTAATTTTTAATTTTGCTCAGCCTTGACTTAAATCATTTTTATTTCACTGTTTTATGTTTTAAGTATAATTTTATTTTTTAATTTTACTTAACTTTTTAATTTCATTCAGCTTTAGTTGTTTTTAGCATTTTATCTTTAATTTTAACTTTATTTTCATTTTATTATTTTATTTTTATTTGTTTGTAATTTTATATTTTTATATTCAGTTTTGTTTTATTTTCTTGTTTATTATTTTCTTGTTTTTTTCTTTTATTATTATTTTATTTTAAGCATGTGGTTTGTCGGGAACCGGGTAGAAATTTAAGAAAAGCAGCAAATGCAGCTCCTAGCTTGCTGTCTGCAAAAGATTTGCCACCCCTAAAGAAAATTGGATTGATAGACCTGGGACCATCTCCCTTCACGGGGTGTCCTGTAGAACCAGCCGATCGGCAGGGGAGTTGTGCTAGGTGTGCTCACACACACTTTTTGCTTCCGTGCAGGTGTCCAGAGCCTGGCTCCAACAGCTGGCTCCATGCCCATGGAGGTCAGCGGGTGCGAGACCCCCGTTCTCGCTCTGGACTTCTCTGGAGAAGGAAGTGAGTCACAGGGACCCAATGAATTGAGGGGGAGGAAAAATGAACGTTCAAGAAAGTTGGAGTTAGGGGAGGTGCCGGTAGGAAATCCCAGCTGGGAAATGGGATGCCAGCTCAAAGCTCACCGTCTTGAAAGCCTTTTATACGCGGTCTCTCGCTTAGCAGACCCTGCAGGCAGTTAATGAGAATTTAGAGCCAGCTAAAGAAGAAACAAAATATTTTTTTGATATGGGACATATTCTATCAATGACTAGACAACAGAAACAAGTTAGAAAGGAGGAGATATAAAAAGAGGAAATGGTAAAGTGGAGAGGAGTTAAAGAAGATGATGTTAAGTGCTAAGTATTAATGTTATTAATATTATTAATATGATGGAGATGAATTATCACAACAAAGATGTATAATATGACTATTTAAACATAACTACCCAGAACCCACAGTTTGATGAAAATTGAATGTTATATAAATAAAACATGGGGGGGGGGGAGAGAGAGAATTTAGAGCCAGCTAGGGGCTCTATAGGCTGATACACTGGACAGGGAATCTTTGGGAATATTTGTAGCTCAGGTTGGAAACTGTGGGCTCCTTGAAGCTCTCCGAGCTTGGTGGTTTCCTTTCAGTCATTTCATTACCCTACTAGGTACCATCATCAGTGCTAGAAGGGAGGGGGGGTTGTGGAATGAAAGAAGAGGAGAGGCAGGAGGAGAAAGACAATGATTATGGTGTTCTTGGTGCTCTCTGAGCTTGATGGTTTCCTTGTAGACGTTTCATGACCCAAACTAGGTAACTTCATCAGTTTTGGAAGGGAGGAGGGTTTGTAGAAAGGAGGAGGAGGAGGAAATGGACTATCGGGTCCTTGGTGCTTGGTGGTTTTCTTGCAAACATTTCATGACCTGACTAGGTAACAACATCAGTGCTAGAAGGGAGTGGGGTTTGAGGAGTGGAGGAGAAGAAGGGGAAAGAAGCAGAGGAAGGAGGAGAAGGAGAACTGGGGTCCTCGGTGCTCTCTGAGCTTGGTGGTTTTCTTGCAGACGTTTCGTGACCCAACTAGGGAACATCCTCAGTGCATCTAAACAGGCAGGAGACCCCACTCCCTCCTAGGAGGGTCTGGCCTGAGAGGCATTCTCAAAATGACAGCCCTGCCCCAGTGGTTTCTTTTATTGTCTTGGTCCTGCATCTTCCTCCTGTCCCCCAAGGCCATTCCTTCCGCCTACTGCAGTCGCAGTTAGCCACCCTGAGCCAGTGGTGGGATTCAAATAATTTAACAACTGGTTCTCTGCCCTAATGACCATCTGGGTAGGTGTGGTCATGTGACGGTGTGGGCATGCCCAACTCAACGTCACTCAGGTTGAATGGGCGCTTCGCCTTAGCTGTTACAATGTAATAAGGGTTAGCAGAGAGGCAGTTTCTGTAAGCAGGGCAATAAAGATTAGGCTAGAAACAACACCAGAATGTTGTAATTCCTTACAGGATTAGCCCTGTAAAGTGAAAAAGACAAAATAAGATTTCTTCCAACAACCAGTTCTCCAAACTGCTTAGAAAGTTAACCAATTCTCCCGAATAAGTGCGAACTGGCTGAGTCCCACCATTGCCCTGAGCTCTGCGGGGCTAAACTCTTCATTCTCGTTCTCTTTCCTCCCCCGGGAACACCCCCTCCCCCCCCCCCCCCCCCTGGAGCAGTGAACCCCACTGATGACCATGAAGATGGTGGTGAGGACTTTCTGCCAGACATCCCAGAAGAGGGTCAAGAGGTCCCCTGCGCCGGAGCAGAGGAAGACGTCGCGCATCAGACGGTACTCGGAGGCAGGAGGGCAGCCTAGGGTGGGACGGCAGAGGGCGCTTTTGGTACAATCCGGAGATGAGACACCCCTCCCCCTTTCTCTGTCTCCTAGAGCGCCCCCCAGAGCAAAGGGTACGCATTGCGGGAGAGACTCCCTGCCCTGGATGCCAATCCCCACCTCAAGGTAAGGAGCAGCCCCGTACATCACCCCATGTTTTGCCAGTGGTGCTCCCAGGAGCCTTTCGACCCAAGCAGTCCTCGACCTTGTGACCGCAACGGAGCCCCAAATGTCTGTTGCTAAGCGAAGATACTTTCTTGCCACGGTGATGAAAAGGATGGCTACGGTCATTAAGTGAAACGCATGGGGATCTAGCTTCCCCCACGGACTTCTCTTGTCAGACAAGTTCGCCAAAGCAGGGATTGTGTGACACACACACACACACCCCAGGACGCTGCCAATGTTGAATTTGGATCACGTGACCCTGGAGATATAACAGTTGCAAGTGTGAAAAACGGCCATAAGTCACTTTTTCAGTGCTGTTGTAACTCTGAACGGTCACTAAACGAACCTCTCTTAGCCTGGTAGCTTGTAACAAAAGGTCTCTCAGTGGCTGTAAGCCCTGAAGTTTAGCTGTTCCCCTCTGCCCTAGAGAAGCTTCCAGATGTGAGGATGTGCCAGGCTGAGCCACGTCTCTGCCTGATCTGAATCAGAATAGAGCTGGAAGGGACCTCCGAGGTCTTCTAGTCCAGCCCCCTGCTCAGCAGGAGACCCTATAAACCATGATGAAGCACCCACAACTTCTAGTGGCAAGACGTTCCACTGGTTTATTGTCCTCACTGTTAGGAAGTTTCTCCTTAGTTCCAGGTTGCTTCTCTCAGATAGATAGATAGATAGATAGATAGATAGATAGATAGATAGATAGATAGATAGATAGATGATAGATATAGATAAATATAGAGAGATAAATATAGAGAGGATAGATACAGATGATAGATAGAAGATAGATATAAATAGAGGAGATAGGTAGGTAGGTAGGTAGGTAGATACCGGTAGATAGATAGATAGATAGATAGATAGAGATGATAGATATGATAAATATAGATAGAGGAGATAGATAGATAGATACCGATAGATATGATAGAGAGAGAGAGAGAAATATATAGAGAGAAATATAGATAGATGATAGAAATAGATATGATAGATATAGATAGATAAATATATAGAGAGAGATGATAGAAGATAGATATGATAGATTAGATAGAGATAGATGATACAGATGATAGAAGATAGATATGATAGATAAAGATAGATAGATAGAGATGATAGATAGTTTATATTTTTTTCTTTACATAAAAACTCAATATTTCATGAACAGTGTGTTGTCTGGGTACAATTAATTTTGAAAAATAGCAATAGTAATAACACTAATATTCATAGCATTGATAATAATCACATCATGATAATACTTGCTTAGCCATACTAATAAACCTTTATTGTATAGTTAATCATTCTCTTAAACTTTTGAGTTTCTAACTTCTGTTTCTATTACCTAACCGTTGGTAAAACAAATCCCATTTTAAAAAAAAATATTCTGTTTCTTCCTTCTCCTTTATTTTGAGTGTTAATCTATCCATCTCTGCGCATTCTAATATATATATTTTAATTTCCCTTTCATTTGTAGGGATCTCTTCATTTTTCCACTGTTATTAGGTTACTTCTCTCCTTGATGAGTTTCCATCTGTTATTTCTTGTCCTGGAGCCTCTGGAGCTTTGACCCCCTCTTCTTTGGGGCAGCCCCTCAAATACTGGAAGGCTGCTATCATGTCACCCCTGGTCCTTCTCTTCATTAGACTAGCTGGGTGGGGCTCCTTTTGTGGTGCTGAGGCCCAGTTCTGAAGCCCCAGGGGACACTCAGTCTCTGAACGCGAGGCCCACCAGCTGCTTCTCCTTCTCTTCCAGGACACGGGGGACCCCTGGCGCGGCCTCGACCCCTTCAGCTCCTCGGAAGACAAACCCTTGAAGAAAGGTGCGGATCCCCCGGGCCCATCAGGGCATGGAGGGGGGGATTTGAACCCAGCACCTTCAGCCCTAGAAGCGTCTCTGGGAGGGACAGACCAGGGTTGTCCACGGGGAGAGGTCAGAAAGTCGAGTCATGTTGGCTCCATCTTGACCGTTTGACCACATTCTGTGGACAACACCCGGTGTGGACCACAGCTCCCCTGCCAGGTGAAAGTTATGGGAGCTGTAGTCCAAGGCATCGGGGCAGGTTGGGTTCTAAGGGAACGGGAGGGGGCTTCCAGACCTGCCCGAGCATTTCTCACCATCTCCTGGAGAACTTGAGCTGATGGAACCAGGCGGGCGGCCAGACTCCTTGACCTTGGGAGGGATCCTTCCTGCAGCCGCTGCCCTTAAGAGAGGTGGGCTAACCTGCCCGGGCCTGGATGGAGAAGCAGGTGGTCCCACCCACTCTTTTCCCTCTTCAGGGAGACCCTTCACCGTGCCCCGCGGCCTGGAAGATTTGTCCGGTGCCAAACGCAAGAGACGTCCGTCCTCCAAGCTGGAAGATTTTGTGTCGTGGTTTTCGTCCTCCGGTGAGTGTCCTCGGCTTGGGCTGATGTCATCCTCCAGTTCGGGGGGGGGGAGGGCTCGGTGGCAGCCCTGCCCTTGCCCTGTCTATCCTTTAAAAAAAAAAAAATAGTGGAGGTTTTGGAAAAAATATCCGGTTTTCAGCTCCAACCGTCACAAGCCACGGGGTAGGTGATTGCAGGACTTACAAACTGCTGCAAACGGGGTTGTGTTGCTGAGCATTTGAAGTGCGGTCACCTGAGCCCAGGTAGAGATTGACCATCAGAACTGGGGTGTAACCTCCCCCTTCCCCTTTGCAGGTGGGTCACACCTTTGAGTGGCCGTTAACCAGTCGTAAGTTGAGGACTAGCTGTAAAAAAATGGTTAACAGGGATTTGAAGATTAGTGTAATGTTTAGCTTAACCTATTGACTGTTTAGCTCAGGGCTCTGCAACCTGAAGCACTCAAAGAGCCATTAGGACCCGTTTTCCCACAGAAAAGAAAACACCGGGAGCCACAAAACCCTTCCCGTGCCTGACTGTTTCTTAGAGCGGCCACGAAACTAGCATACATAGTTGAATTAAACGTTCTGTTTTCTTCTGAAACTTTTATTTTCTTGGGTTTATCCGTGGTTGGCTTACCGGGGGTTGAAAAGCTCAATAAATTGTGTGCCGGTGGGTGTCACATATTGGCGGCTGTGATGCTTATTTTGAGTGACGGAGCCGCAGCAGAGGGGTAAAAGAGCCACGTGCAGCTCCAGAGCAACAGGTTGTTGACCCCTGGTTTAGCTTAACCTATTGACTTTTCTTTTTTCCTTTTTGTGTGTGTGTGTGTGTGTGTGTGTGTGTGTGTGTGTGTAGATGTATGTATGTAAAAGAGGAGAAGAATTGTTTTTTCCTTTTTTTTCAGCTTCCAGCCTTGAGGGATTCTATAGGTTAAACCAGAGGTCTTCAAACTTGGCTGCTTTAAGACTTGTGGACTTCAACTCCCAGAATTCTCCAGCCAGCATAACTCTGGGAGTTAAAGTCCACAAGTCTTAAAAGCGGCCAAGTTTGAAGACCTCTGTCTTTTTTTTTTTTTAAAAAAATAATTTATTGAGTATTTTACATTTTAAAACCAAACATACAATAGCAAAAGAAGTCAAGAGACAAAAAGAAAAACACTCACACACCAGACGTTAAAATACAATGCTAACAACAGATATATACAATTTTACAACTTTCTGCATCGACTTTTGTCTTTACTCTTAGCTTCTATCCTCCTGCTCCTTCTCTTTATTTTTAAATACTCTTTTTTTTTATTGCAAAAGTTTTACAATTACATTTTCACCCCTTTTTCCCCCCCACCTCCCCCCAAACTTCCCAACCTCCCTAACCTCCCTAACCCTCCCCTCCCCCCATTCCCTATAAATACTCATAATCATGAAGAACCCTAATATAACACTTATATATAAACTTGAACCCCTCCCTCCCTGTATAATTTTTCTCTTTATCTCATTACTTTAAAAAATTTCCAGTACATTATTTTCAAGTAAAAGCTATTTGATACTTTCTAGTTTGATATTTGTTCTGAACATATTCTATCCACCTTTTCCATTCCCATTCATAAGTCTCTTGTGAACATCTTTTAAATATGCTGAAATCTTCGCCATCTCTGCAAAACTGACCATCTTCAAAGTCCATTCCTCAATAGTGGGCAAAGCTTCATTCTTCCAGTATTTACCTATCAACAATCTTGCTGCTGTTATCATATACAATATCATTTTGTTTTCACCCAATGTAAAACCCTTAACTATGCCCAATAAAAACAGTTGTGGAGAAAATTGAATTTTTTTCTTCAAACATTCTGCATGACCACCAAATTTTTATCCAAAAAGCCTTAACTTTCCTACAGGTCCACCAAACATGATAATACGTAGCATCCAAACATTCACATCTCCAACATTTTGGCTGAACATTAGGGTACATACATGACAACTTTTTAGGATCTAAATGCCATCTATAAAACATTTTATAGAAATTTTCCTCAGTTCTGCGACTGTGTAAATTTTAACATTCTGAACCCAAATTTTTTCCCATGTTTCCAACATCACTGGTTCTTCAAATTTTGTGCCCACTTAATCATACAGTCTTTGACTAATTCGGTTTCTGAATCTCTTTCTAGCAAAACATTATAAAGCCTTTTGATATGCATTGGACCTTTCTCTCTTATATGTCTAATTTATTTTTAAATACTCTTAATTAACTGTTTTGTTAGCAGGATCATTATTTACATTTATATCCAGTATGTTAATACCTAATTTCACTTTATATTCTTATTTCTTAATTTGATTTCTGTTTTCCAACCACGTATAAAACCTGTTCCACGTTAAATTTTAACTTAAATGTTAAATTTATTTGTTACTTGGATCGCCTTTTTCTCTTCTCTCTCTCTCTCTCTCTCCCCCCTCCTTTTTTTCTTTGTTTGTTTCTTGTTTAGCGCCGATGTATGGCTTGGTTTCCTGTTTTGTGTTTTACCTTTTGTGATAAACTAGACAAACAGAGACACGGCCGCCTTCTGGCCACTTGAAGCCTTCCCTCCCCTTTTGCCTCCCTTCTGCTTCTCACCTCGGGAGCCCGGACGGCCTTCCTGTGCCATGGGGCGGGAGGGAGGGAGGAGGCCGAAGGGCTGCTGTGACCCCCACCCCCCCAAAAAAACCTCTTGTACACCCCCCCCCCATACTCCCCCAGCTCAGAGACTTGCTTGCTTTCCAGAGCCCGACCAGGCTGGCAGCCAGAGAAGCCGCTGGAAAGGCTCCACGTTCGCTGGTGAGTCTTGTGGGGGAAAGAGGATCCCCGGCTGGCCCTGTGTGGGGCTGGGGTAGCAGCAGGGAGGTGGCTCCTGGTCCCTGCAGGGCTTGCCCAGAAGCAGAGGCACTGACAGAGGGGGTGGGCGGGGGACAGGCAGGCAGAGGGAGCTGGGGGGCCAGGAGAGGCCTGGTTTTTAGGGCCCCCCCTCCCCCCCAATGCTGGGGTCACTGGTGGCTTGAGGACATTCCTGCTGCCGGGTTAACCTCTTTTCACTTTTTAGTTATTTATTTGCATCCCACCATTATTGTTTTTATAAATAGATCAAGGTGGCAAACATATCCAGCACACCTTCCTATTTGCCCCACAAACAACAATCCTGTGAGGTGGGCTGGATTGAGAGAAACGGGGATCGGCCCCAAAGTCACTCAATTGGTTTTCATGCCTAAGGCGGGACTAGAACTCATGGTCTCCTGGTGATTGGTCCAAAGTCAACCAACTAGCTGTCAGGTCTAAGGCAGGACTAGAACTCACCGTCTCCTGGTGATTGATCCAAAGTCACTCAGCCGCCATTCATGGCTAAAACGGGACTAGAACTCACAGTCCCCTGGTGATTAGTCCAAAGTCAACCAACTAGCTGTCAGGTCTAAGGCGGGACTAGAACTCACCGTCTCCTGGTGATTGGTCTGAAGTCAACCAACTAGCTGTCAGGTCTAAGGTGGGACTAGAACTCACCGTCTCCTGGTGATTGATCCAAAGTCACTCAGCCGCCATTCACAGCTAAGGCAGGACTAGAACTCCCAGTCTCCTGGTAATTGAACCAAAGTCAACCAACTAGCTTTTGGGCTGGAGGTGGGACTAGAATTCACCATCTCCTGCTTTCTAACCTGGATGCTTTAACCAGTAGACCAATCTTTGAATATTTTAACTCGGTTTTTAATTTTTACTCGTCGGTTTTAACATGTTCTGAATTCTTTTTTTAACCTATGCTTGGAGCCGTGCGTTTAACAGGGTTTCATTAGGATGTTATAAACTACACGGAGCCATTTTGGCATGATGGGCGGTGTAGAAAATTAAATAAATCTTTTCATTTCTGAGCAGACCTGGAGGTCCTGTATTGGAGGAACGTGAAGGAGCGCCTGGCGGCCCAGAGGAAGCTGCAGAAGAGGATGGTGAGTGGGGAGGCAGAGCGGCTCATGGGAACAAGGGCTGGCATTCTGGACTGGCCCAGAGGAAAGGAGTGGGGGGGGGGGCAACGCAACTGAGAGGAACCTCTTGGAGAAGGAGGAGCTTCCTTCCTTCCTGCAGCCTCTCTGGCTTACATCCTTGGGCCTTCTTCCAGCAGTAGGGGCCTTTCCAAGTGGATGATGTTCCCTAGTTGAGTCATGAAACATCTACAAGAGAACAATCAAGCTCAGAGACCACCAAGAACCACTACCACTTCTACTACTACTACTTTTTTTTTAAAAAAATTTTTTGATTTATATGCCGCCCTTCTCCGGAGACTCAGGGCGGCTTACAATGCGCTAAGCAATAGCCTTCATCCTTTTGTATATACAAAGTCAGCTTATTGCCCCCACAAACTGGGTCCTCAATTTACCTACCTTAGAAAGGATGGAAGGCTGAGTCAACCTTGAGCCTTGGCGAGATTCAAACCCTGCAGTAATTGCAGGCAGCTGGTCTTAATAACAGGGTGCTTTAGACCACTGTACTACCAAGGCCCTTCTTCTTCTTCTTCTTCTTCTTCTTCTTCTTCTTCTTCTTCTTCTTCTTCTTCTTCTTCTTCTTCTTCTTCTTCTTCTTCTTCTTCTTCTTCTTCTCCTTCTCCTTCTCCTTCTCCTTCTCCTCCTTCTCCTTCTCCTCCTCCTCCCTTCTCTTCCTCTTCCTCCTCTCTTGCAAATCTCATTGCCTTTCTAGTACTAATGACATGACCTAGTCATGAAACATCTGCAAGAAAACTACCAAGCTCAGAGAGCAGCAAGGACCAGTTCAACCCTGAGCTACAAATCTTTTATTGATTCCTTCTGTGATGTGACGCTAAAGCATGTTTTTAAATACAGCTTTTTCCCCCCTTGAACCAGCGTCCGCATCTGGGGTTGCAGTTCGGAGAGCTTGGCGCTCTGGAGATGGACCGGGAGGAGGAGAACTTCGATGCTGCGGCTGCTGCCGACGATGGGCCAGGTACGTCTTCCACACTGCCTGGTAGCTGGGCCAGGGGACGGCCCTCTCTCCTGTCTGGGGGGAGGGTGTGGAGACCCCCCCCACCCTTGTGAGCTGCGATCTCTCAACCTGCTGCAAGAGATCCCTTCTCAAGTTAGGACTTGGTTCTCCTCAATTCAGCTCCATCTGGATTGTGACGGTTGGAGCAGGATTTGTGCATTGAGAATATATCTGCTGAACAAAACTCCGCATTGGCGACAGGAAGGGCATCCGGCCAGTAAACACTCTGCTAGCTCCAGTCAGTTGCCCAGGCTCCACCCCGCAAGGGATTATGGGGTCGTTAAAAGGAGTTGATGATGATATAGAATCTGGTTTATATAGCTGGTCCTCAACTTGTGCCCAGTTGCTTTAGTGACCGTTTGGAGTTACAATGGGCTTTCAAAAAGCTACTTGGAGCCCACCTTAAACTTACGTCGACCCCACCTCCCTTGCATTTTGGGGTGCTTGACAAGCAGCCTGACTATACAGATAGTCCTCAACTTACAACAATTAATTTAGGGACCGTTCACACTGGTGACATCACTGGAAAAAAGTCACTTATGACCGTTTTTCCACCTTACGGCCTTTTGCAGCCTCCCTTTGGCCACGTGATTAAATTCAGATGTTTGGCAACTGACTCATATTTACGACAATTGCAGTGTCTCCAGGGTCACGTGATCCTCTTTTTGTGACCTTCCGGCGAGCCAAATCAATGGACGATGCCAGATTCCCTTAACAGTCGTGTTACTCACTTAACAACTGCAGTGATTCACTTAACAACAGTGGCATGAAAGGTCATAAAATGGGGCAAAACTCACTTAGCAAATGCTTTGCTTAGCAACGGAAACGTTGGGCTCAATTTATGATTGTAAGTTGAGGACTAAGGGCACCATCACGACTATCAAGCCTTTATCTTATAGTCACAGATCAGGGCAAAATGCAAACAGGTCATTTTAAAAGCTGAAATAACCATAAAATCCACGAGGTTAAAATAACTAAAAAAACTATCTTTTTTTAAAAAAAAAAAAATCTTTAAAAAAAAGTTATAAAAAGCACAACAATTTGTGACTTTTTTGTGTGAGTTTGTGGCGAGAAAAGACCGTGTGATTTGCTTAACGATTGCAGTGACTCGCTTTACAACGGTTGTAAAATCGAGTTCGGTCACGTGGTGCCTCAACATACAACTGCAGCACCCAAATGCTGGCGTCTCCAGGATGGCCGTAAGTCGAGGACCACCTCTATTTGCTATTGCTTATTGCTTAACGCACTGTAAGCCGCCCTGAGTCTCCAGAGAAGGGCGGCATATAAATCAAATTAAATAAATAAAAAATAAAATAAATAAAATATTTAACAGGGGGGCCTCTGCGTTCCAGCTTCATCAAAGGCCTCCTTAGCAAGAGGGTTAAAGCCACAGCCATGGTGGTTAAGCAAATCACTGCCATTGTTAAGTGAATCATGTGGTCATTAAGCAAATCGGGCTTCTCCCATTGCATCACAAATGGTGATCATGTGACCCCCGAGAAGCTGCAACTGTTGTAAATCCTTGCCGGTTGCCAAACACCCGAATTTTGATGTCGACTAGGGACGTAAGCGTGAGGAATGGTCGTAAGTCCCCTTTTTTAGTTCATTCAGTGTAATGTTGATCAGTCGCTAAACGAATGATTATAAGTTGAAGTTTTGCTGGAATGTCTTCTCCTTTCACAGAGGACTTTGTGGCGGATGAGGAGATCCCCCCGTTGGAAGCCTCCGAAGGGATGCCAGACGGCGTGGCAGGTAATGGCTGGGCGAACTGGCCTCTTTCTGTACCCAGGGCATCCATCTACTCATCCATCCAACCAACCAACCAACCATCCATCCATCCATCCATCCATCCATCTTTCTATTCAACTATTCATCCAACCATCCATTTAACCATCCATCCATCCATCTTTCTAATCATCCATGCATCCATCCACCCACTCATCCATTCAACCATCTATCTATCCATCCAACTATCCATCCATCCTTTCATTCAATGATACATCCATCCATTCAACTATCCATCTGTCTTTCTATTCAATTACCCATCCTTTCATTCAATCATCCAACCATCCATTCAACAATCCATCCAACCATCTATCCTTCCAATCATCCATCCATCCACCCACCCATCCATTCAACCATTCAACAATCCATCCATCCTTCCTTCCAATCATCCATGCATCCATCCACCCACCCACCCAACCATCCATCCATTCAACTATTCATCCATCCTTTCATTCAATCATCTTCTGGGCTGGGAAAAGAAATAAGAGGCGCAGAGATTCCTCGTGGGACACTGGGAGCCCCCCCCTCAATTTCTCCATTTGCTTTCAGATCCTGGGGAAATCCCCTCTTCCCTGAGCTACGAGGAGCTGGTCAGCAGGAACGTGGTACGTGTCCTGACCCCCTGCGGAGGAAGAGCAACTTAGGCAATTAATGTAACCACCACCTGGGGGGGGGGGCTTCTTTGTGGAACATCATTCTCCCGAGGGACAGCTGCCCACCCCCCAAAGTTCCTTTTCCAAAGACCAGGCTGGTTCCTTCCCTTCCCCATGAGAGACCCTCTCTTTCTCCCCACTGGTTTCAGGAGCTCTTCATGGCCCACTCCCAGAAGTACGCCCGGGAGACGGTGCTGTCCCAGCGGGTCCGCGACTGGGAGGAGATGATGGTCCCGCAGCTGGAGGAACAGGTGAGGTCAGAGGCAGGGAAGGCACCCAGGACACGGGATGGGGAGCCCTGGTGGTGCCGTGGTTAGAATGATGTAAAGCACCATGAAGTGGTATAAAAGTCTTAAGTCATATTGCTAAGGAGGGAGGAAAAGAGAGAAGGAAAAAAGAGGAAGGAAGGAAGGTGATTGAGAAGGAAGAAAGATGATTTAAGAAAAAAGGAAGGAAGAATATTGAGAAAGAAGGAAGGTGATTGGGAAGGAAGGAAAAAGGAAGGAAGAATATTGAGAAAGAAGGAAGGTGATTGGGAAGGAAGGAAAAAAGAAGGAAGGAAGGAAGATGGCTGAGAAGGAAGTATGTTTGAGAAGAAGGAAGAGTGAGGAAGGAAGGAAAAAAGTGAGTAAGGAAGATGATTGAGAAGGAAGGAAGGAAGGAAAAAAGAGCGAGAAAGGAAGGAAGGTGATTGGGAAGGAAGGAAGAGCCCTGGCAGTGGTTAGGATGCAGTATTGCAGGCGAATTCTTCTGACTGCCAGCAGTTTGATCCTGACCAATTCAGGGTTGACTCAGCCTTCCATCCTTCTAAGGTGGGTCAAATGAAGACCCAGATTGTTGGGGGGCAAGAAACTGTTTCTGTAAACTGCTTAGAGAGGGCTGGAAAGCACTTGTGAAGCGGAATATCAGTCTGAAGTGTTAGGGCTACGCGGCCTTCAGCATCCAGCTCTCTTCCTCCTTGCACAGGAAGCCCGCGCCGCCTTCGACATCCACAGCTACGGAGACCAGCTGGTGTCCCGGTTCAGCCGCGTGGGCGAGTGGCATTCGTTTGCCAGCCTGCTGGCAGGGCAGCCGGCCTTCGAGGTCTGCCGGGCCATGTTGGCCTCCCTGCAACTGGTGAGGATGTCTGCAACCTGGGGGGAGGGGGCTGGGAGGAAGGCTGGGCCAGGCCGCTGCCCCACGAGGAAAGATCAGGACCAGCGGGACGAAACGGCGAGGAACTTCCATGCCTGGGGCAAGCCGGCAGCCAGTGGGACACGTTGCCCCACAGAGGGGAGGGCTATCCTCCGTGGGAAGATTGTGTGCACAGGTGCTGTTGTTTTTGGGCAGGGGTCTCAGAATCTGGCAACTTTAAGACTTGTGGACCAACTCCCAGAATTCCATAGGATAAACCAGGGGTCTCAAACTTGTCAACTTTAAGACTTGTGGACCTCAACTCCCAGAATCCTGAGAGTTGAAGTCCACAAGTCTTAAAAGTTGCCAGGCTTGGAGACCCCTGCTATAGGGGCCGCATTTTTCAGTCTGGGCTGCTGGCTGCCTGGGGAATTGTGGGACTTAAAAGTCCGTCTCTGACTGTCCAAAGCGAAGTTAACACTACTTCAGGAGATCCTCGCTGAGCAGGGGGTGAGCTTAGTTGATTTCTAAAGGTTCCAATTCTGGGATACTAGAATTTCCTTTAGAAAATCGGATCCTACCAACAGAAGTGAATATTTCTAGCTCTGGGCTCAACTGTGGGGTCGTTGGTGCTCTCTGAACTTGGCTTTCTTGCAGACGTCTTATGACCCAACTAGGTAACATCATCAGTGGTAGAAAGGAGTGGGGTTTGAGGAGTGGAGGAGAAGAAATAGGGAGGAGGGGGAAGAGAAGGAGGAGAACTGGGGTCCTTGGTGCTCTCTGACCTTGGTCGTTTTTTTGCAGACGTTTCGTGACCCAACTAGGGAATATCATCAGGGCTAAAAGACTAGAAGGCTTGTAAGCACTGATGATGTAACCTACTTGGGTCATGAAACGTCTGCAAGAAAACAACCAACCTCAGAGAGCACCAAGGACCCCACACGCTGGACCCTTTCATCCCCGAAACGTTCTTCTGTGTTCCTCCAGGCCAACGACTACACCGTGGAAGTCTCCCAGGGGCCAGGCCTGGAAGAGGCCGTCGACACCATGGCGCTGCGCCTCCTGAGCCAGGAAAGGGCCCATCAGCGCTTTCACACGTACACGGCTCCCTCGCTCAGCAAGCAGTGACGCCCCTCTCGCCTCCTCTGCGCTGTGCCTCCTATTTGTGTACATATGTCCATATATATGTATATATTTGCTTGTATGTAAATGTATGAAATTTGTATAGCTTTATCCTGCCCTTACATACTCCCCATCCCCTCCAAGTGTTTCAGCAACGGGCCCTTTCCCCTAATAAAAGGTGCCTTGTAGAGACGCAATTTGTGTTCCTTTTTGACCCCAAACCTTTTAATCATCCTCTTAGAGCAGGGGTCTCCAACCTTAGCAACTTTAAGACCTGTGGACTTCAACTCCCAGAATTCTGGGAGTTGAAGTCCACAGGTCTTAAAGTTGCTAAGGTTGGAGACCCCTGCTCTACTGCAGGTTTCCAAACTCAGCAAGTTTTTGTAGACTTCAACTCCCAGAATTCTTCAGCCAGCCCCCCCCCCCCCCCAGGGACCCTCAGAGCCAAAGGGGTGGAGTGGGGGGAAACATCTGCCCTTCGCAACATGTCCTGTGTACCTCCTGCCCCATCCCTGCTTTGCCACTCTTAAGAGTCAGTCCTTCGCCGCCAGCTGCCCTTCCAGGAGCCTGGACTACAATTCCCACGTTCCTTGGCCAGGAAGCCCTTTCGCTTGGCTACTTGGGGGGGGAGGGGGTGGTGGCTGCTGAAAACAAAACTCAGGCATGTTTGGGACGTCATGTTGGATAAACGGTTCCATGGTTTTAAGTTACTCAACTTTTTAAAAGTTGTCTGGACTTCAACTCCCAGAATTCCCTAGCTAGAATGCGCATCTTTTCTCCCCCTTTTCTTTTCTTTTTGTGATTTAACTTTTCATTAGTTTATCGAAGTATAAAATGCAAAGGGAAAAAAAAACAACCATGGAAAAGTAAGAAAGGGAGTGAAAAAGAAGGGATGTTGTGTGAACCTAAACTGCAGGCAGCTTCAGATACGATTGTACAGAAAGGGGAAATGAGCGTTCAGGTGCTCTTCGACATACGACTGTGGTCTGAGGTCGTAAAACGGGTCGGTCACACGACCTCCCTGGTTTTATGACCTATTGTGCAGCAGTCCTCAAGCGAACCCAATGCTTCCCTATGGGAACAGTTTGGCCAAAGTTTTCAGCATCCTCCTCATAAAACACGGGATAGCCATGTTGCCACGTGTCCAAAATTCAGGCCTGTGACCACCCCAATCCAGGTCCCAAGTCCCCTTCTTCAGTTGGTCGGAATTCAAAGACTGCCTGTACTTACGACAGTTTGTTTAGCGACCGTTCAGTTACACCACCCCTGAAAAAAGTTATTTATGACCATTTCTCACACTTACGACCGTTGCAGTATTTCCCCGGTCACAACCGACTTGTCTTTATGACGGCTGCAGTATCCGGGGGGGGGGGGGAGGATGTCATGCAATCCCGTTTTGCGAGTTTCCTAATGAGCGAAGTCAACGGAGGAGTGGGGGGTGGGAAGCTGGATCCACTTCACAACCCTGTGACTATAAGAACTGCAGTGATTCACTTAACAATGACAAGACAAGAAAGATCGTAAAACGGGACGAAACTCGCTGAACAAGTGTCTCACTTAGTCATGGAAACGTTGGGGTCAAGGGCGGTTGTAATTATACAAACACCGCCTGGATGCCAATTTTAAGAAAAGGGAAACGCCGGTTGATAATATGCAGACGATACGAGACACCATTTCAGAGTGTGATTATTGTTACCGCGACAATCCCTGAGGAACCCGCCGCTCCAAAACGGCACGCAGGTCTGCCAAAACACACACACAACCTACGGCCTGTCTTCTCGCAATGGGCCGAGAGCGCCCCAAACTAAACCCCTCCCATCCCCCAGTTCGCTTCCCCCCCCCCCTCCGGCTCAGGCGAGGAGAGTCTTGTAAGTGGCCATGTGTCCCCGGATGCTCTCCGCAATCTTCACGTCCGTCTTGTACCGGTTGTAGTAGTCCAAGAACAGCCCGTCCGGGCTGAGGAGGTACAGAATGACCGTGTGGTCTACCAGATAATCATTGTCCTCGTCTTTGGGGCCGGTGCTATAGTAGACGCGGTAAGACCGGCCGGCCTTCTGCACCTGTTCCGGTGTGCCGGTCAGCCCCCGCAGCCGTGGATGGAACTCCTTCACGTACTTGGCCACGGCCTCCACCGTATCCCGCTCGGGGTCCACGGTGATGAAGACGGGCTGGAGACGGGGCAGTTTGGGGTCGGCGTCCAACATGTTCACCACTCGACTCATCTTCTCCAGCTCTTCCGGACAGATATCTGGGCAGTGAGTAAAGCCGAAGTAGAGAAGGATCCAGCTGCCTTTGAGGTCCTCCTTGGAGCAAGGACGCCCCGTGTGGTCCACCAGCTGGAAATTGCCTTGCCCGATCGCCACTTTCCTCAACTCCTCGATGCGTTTCTGCTTGTCCAGTTTCTCCTTCTCCGACCGGAAATACAGCCACGCCAGCACCAGCTGAAGAGTCACGATGGAGACCACCAGCAGGCGGGTCCTCAGAGGATATTGGGGCTCCGGTCGGGGGGGCTCAGAGGAGCCTTGGGAGGAGGGTCTCCAGAGGGTCAAAGCAGGCTGGCCGGCGGGAACCGAGAGGCGGAAGTCGTCCACCCTCCAGAACGGAGAAGACCGCCAGGCTGGGTGGCGGCCAGAAGCAGCAAGGGGACTTAGATAGCGGGACGGTGGGCGGGGACTGCCAGCCAGGCTCCTCCCCCAGAGGGTGGAGTAGCCTCCCAGCCGCCAAGGCTGCAGCCTAGCCCAGCACTGAAACATCCCCCGAAGAGCTGGAAAGACAAAATGCAGGAATTCAGTTTGCATTTGCCTATCACGAAAACGCTGCTTTTCCCTTCACAATTGCAAGCTGGAATGAAGGAGAAACTTCCTAACAGTGAAGACAGTTAACCAGCGGAACTCCTTGCCACCAGATGTTGTGGGTGTTCCATCACTGGAGGTTTTTAAGAAGAGGGCGGACAGCCACTTGTATTGAATGGTCCAGGGTCTCCTGCTCCAGCAGGGGGTTGGACTAGACGGTCCCTTCCAGCTCTGTTCTGATTGATTGATGGATGGATGGATGGATGGATGGATGGATGGATGGATGGATGGAATAGAGGGGGAAACTCCAAGCTTTCTCAGCCTGGGCTGCTTGAAGCCGGGTGGACTTCAACTCCCAGAATTCCCCCTATGGGGAGGGGGGGAGGAGGGGCTGAAGGGGAATTCTGGGAGTTGAAGTCCACTCGTCTTTAAGCAGCCCAGGTTGAGAAACATGGTGCCAAACCTTTGCAGGCCCGTCCTAAAACCTTGGAAGGACAAAGGAGCACCAGCCCCAACGGAGGGGCTCAAGGGGAACCCCGCTAGTTTTAGGGGATGCTATTCGGTTTTGCTTGCAAGCCACAGCCGGGTGGGGGTGGGGGACCCCCAAATCTGCCCTCCATGGGAGGGTCGGGCTGAAGCTGAACCCAGGAGCTGCTTCTTAATCCCTTGGCTGCTGGCGGGGTCAGACCCCGGAGATCTTGGGGGAAGGGCCTTGGTAGTACAGTGGTCTAAGGCACCCTGTTATTAAGCTGGTTATTAAGACCAGCTGCCTGCAATTACTGCAGGTTCGAATCTCGCCAAGGCTCAAGGTTGACTCAGCCTTCCATCCTTTCTAAGGTAGGTGAAATGAGGACCCAGTTTGTGGGGGCAATAAGCTGACTTTGTATAAATATATATACAAAAAGATGAAGGCTATTGCTGAGCACATTGTAAGCCGCCCTGAGTCTCCAGAGAAGGGCGGCATATAAATCAAATTTAAAAAAGGGGGGGTCCCTGCAACCCTCCAATGCCCCAAAGCCCCCCTCCCCCAATTAAGGGGATCCACAGGTTGGAGGTCCTGCGGCTTGGACCCCTGCCTGGAAGTTGCCACCAGGAGGGAGAGGAGGACCCCCAGCCCCACTTCCCTGCCCCCGATCCTGCGACCCCTCACTTGCAAGCCCCCCACCCCCACCCCCGGGTGTTTGCATGCACAAAGACCCCTGGATTCCCCCCCCCCCAATTCCAGCCTTGCACTCCCTCTCCCATCCTCCCCGGCCCGCATGACTTATTGCAGCCCAGGATTCCAAAGATGCGCCCCTCCCCCCGCCCCTGCCCCCTCCCCCACTCGCTCCAGACACGTGTCCCCCCCCCACTCACTTCCGTGTCGCGCAGCTCGGAGAAGCCGGAGAGCCCGGGCAGAGTTTCTCCTCCTGCGCATGCGCGCCGAGTCTGCTGCCCTCGCTCCTCCTTCTCCTCCTCCTCCTTTCCGCGGCTTGCAAAGAGGCCGGCAGGGGGCGCACAATCGCAGCGCTCAAGCCAGGCGATGCGCGGAATCCGCTTTGGATGGGGAAGAGAAAGCGCGCCCCCTTTTGGCATAGGGGCGGTGGGGGCTCACACACACACACACAGACCCAGGGGACACGGCACCACCTCCTTGGAGCCAGGGCTTTGGGGAGCCCCCCTCCTCAAATTCAGGATCAGCATTGCCCCTAGATCAGGGGTCTCCAACCTTGGCAACTTTAAGTCTGGAGGACTTCAACTCCCAGAATTCCCCAGCCAGCTTACTCCAAAGTTCCTCCTGAGATACTCCACTCTTGAGTTCAAGCTAAGAGCTAAAGCCCCCTCCAATAGCCCAGGGGTCTCCAACCTTGGCAACTTTAAGCCTGGAGGACTTCAATTCTGGGAGTTGAAGTCCGCCAGGCTTAAAGCTTGCCAAGGTTGGAGACCCCTGCCCTAGACCCCTGCCCTAGACCCTCAAGGGCTCTTTTGCAGGCATGCAGAAGACGGGAGTTTGCCCTGATTTTCGGGTGCTGGGAGACAAGTTGGGAAGGGGTCAGTGGGGGGCCTTGATCTGCCCCCGAGGCCAGGCATAAGGACGGTCGTGTGAATTTGAGGGGCCGAAACTCCAGAGTCCAGGAGCAGCTTTTCCATCTGGAGTGATTGCAAAGGTTTGGACGAAGCCGCTCTTTGTGTAAAATCCGGGGAAAATCCTGAGCTCATCCAGGCTGCAAGGGTCCCCTCCCCTCGAAAACACATCATGGGGGAGGGGGTTACCTGCCAGTCTTCAGTCCTGACTTCCTCCCCCCCCCCAATCCACACCCACTCCAGGAAAAAATCTCTTAACAGAAAGAGCCTTGGTGGCACAGCAGACTTAAGTGCTGTTAAGTAGCACCAGCTGCCTGCAATTACTGCGAGTTGAAATCTCACCAGGCTCAAGGTTGACTCAGCCTTCCATCCTTTCGAGGTAGGTAAAATGAGGACCTGGATTGTGGGGGCAATAAGCTGACTTTGTATAAAAAAAGAACACTGCTTCGGGGGGCCAAAAGCCCTACTAAGCAGGTATATACAAAAGTATGAAGGCTATTGCTTAACACATTGTAAGCTGCCCTGCGTCTCCGGAGAAGGGCGGCATACAAATTGAACCAATAAATAAATAAACAGTAACAGAGTTGGAAGGTACCTTGGAGGTCATCTAGTCCAACCCCCTGCTCACACAGGAGACCCATACTAAGGATTCGAACCGCCAACCTTTCTGATGGACAAGCTCAGTGTCTTAGCCACTGAGCCGCCTAGTCTTCTTTGCCTCTGGAAGGCTCCCTGGGCTTGAGTCCGTTTTATGCTCACCTGGGCGAAAGAGAAGCCCCTTTGTGGAGGCCTGAAGCGGGAGAGAGATCTGAAGACCCCCAACTCATTGGTGGTCCTGTCCTCCTGCAAGCCAGCCTTGATTCAGACATTCTCTCCTTAATGGAGCAGGAGGTTGGACTGGACCAGGGCTCTCCGAACTTGGCAAGACTTGTGGACTTCAACTCCCAGAGGTCCATGGCGTGGTTGGCTGGCTGGCTGGGGGATTCTGGGTGTCGAAGTCCACAAGTCTTAAAGTGGCCAAGTTTGGTTGGCTGAAGAATTCTGGGAGTTGAACTCCACCCCAGTGGTGAAATCCAAATGTTTTTACTGCCGATTCTGTGGGCGTGGCTTGGTGGACGTAGTGTGGTGTGGCTTGGTGGGCGTGGCAGAGGAAGGATAATGCAAAATCCCCATTCCCATCCCATTCTGGGGCCAGCCAGAGGTGGTATTTGCTGGTTCTCCAAACTACTCAAAATTTCCGTTACTGGCTCTCCAGAACCTGTCAGAACCTGCTGGATTTCACCCCTGGTCCACCCATCTCAAAGCATGCTGGCTGGGGGATTCTGGGAGCTGAAGTCCACAAGTCTTCAAGTGACCAAGTTTAGAGACCCCTGCACTTGAAGATGTCTGAGGTCCCTTCCAACTCTGTTCTGTATTTTTTATTCTATTCTAAGAAATATGTGGAGACTGTAGAAAAAGTGCAGAGAAGAGCAACCAGGATGATTAGGGGACTGGAGGCTAAAACATACAGTACGAAGAACGGTTGCTGGAATTGGGGGTGTCTAGTTTGATGAAAAGAAGAACTAGGGGTGAGATGATAGCAGTCGTCCGATATTTGAGGGGCTGCCCCAAAGAGGAGGGGGGCAAGCTGTTCCCCAAAGCACCAGAAGGCAGGACGAGAAGCAACTGATGGAAACTAATCAAGGAGAGAAGCAACCGAGAACTAAGGAGAAGAGAAACTTCCTAACAGTGAGGACGATTATGGTGAAACGACTTGCGTCCAGAAGCTGTGGGGGCTCCATCACTGGAGGTTTTTAAGAAGAGACTGGCTATCCATTTGTCTGGAATGGTCTAGAGTCTCCTGCTTAAGCAGGGGGTTGGACTAGAAGACCTCTAAGGACCATTTCAACACTGTTATTCTATTCTAAACGAAAACAACCCCTTAAGGCCAACGATGACTGAGTTCTTGTCCGCTCCTTAAACTTTGCCATTTAGCCTGAAGGTCTTTGTGGCTTGACGGTTATTAAAGGCTTAGCTGGGAGTGGTAAGGGAACAGTTTATTTCCTTTATTTATTTATTTTTAAGAAAGGACACGGAAATAGCAAGCACCACTCGTAGCCTTCGATTCCAGAATCAATTAGTCAAATCCATCTCTCTGTCCGTCCATGGGCTCCGTGGGTGCACAGCAGAGCAAATATCCGGGTTCAGCAGCCGTGCTCAGAACTACCAAGAGGGATCAGACGGCGAAGGCAGAAATAGAGGAGCCCCAACAATTTTGCCTCGGTATGCCCATTATTTGTACCCTATGACTATCATTAAGTGTTGTACCTTATGAATCTGGATGAACGAACCTTTTCTTTTATGTACACTGAGAACGTATGCACCAAGACAAATTCCTTGTGTGTCCAATCACACTTGGCCAAAAAAGAATTCTGTTCTATTCTATTCGAGTGTTGGTTGGTTTCTCTCCCCACTTGACTCTCGAGGAAATGGGCACAAGCAAGACCACCGAGCTCAGAGAGGACCAAGGACCCCATCGTTCTTCTCCTCCTCGTCCTCCTCCTCCCTTCAGTTAGGGGTGGATGAGGAGAACCAAGTATGTGGCTAGAAACCAGGAGACTGGGAGTTTTAGTTTCCCGCCTTAAGCATGTGAAATTAGCTGGGTGACTTGGGCCAAACACTAGGAGATGGTGAGTTCTAGTCCCATTTTAGGCATAAAAATTGATTGGGTGTTTTTGAGCTGATCACCAGAAGACATGGAGGCATGAAAACTGATCTGGTGACTTTGGGCCAGTGACTCAGCCCAATCTACCTCACAGGGTTGTTGTGGGGAAAAGAGGAAGAAGAAGAAGGTGTATTTAGAATAGAATAGAATAGAATAGAATAGAATAGAATAGAATAGAATAGAATAGAATAGAATAGAATAGAATACAGTATTTTTTATTGGCCAAGTGTGATTGGACACACAAGAAATTTGTCTTGGTGCAGATGCGCTCAGTGTACATAAAAAAGGATGATGTAAGCATGAAGGAAAGGTTTCCCCTGTTCAGTCGTACTCAACTCTAGGGGGCAGTGTTCATCTCTGTTTCTTAACAAAAGGAACCAGTGTTACCCCTAGAAGCTTCCGTGGTCATGTGGTCAGCATGACTCTACACCAAGGCGCACAAAATGCTGTTATTTTCCCACCAAAGTGGTACCTATTTATCTACTCTCATTTGCATGCTTTCAAACTGCCTGGTGGGCAGGAGCTGAAGCAAGTAATGGGAACTCATCTCATCATGTATAACTTGGGTCTTGAACCCAACTGTCAGATTTCCAGCTGACAAGCTCAGAATAGAATAGGTAGAATAGAATTCTTTATTGGCCAAGTGTAATTGGACACACAGGGAATTTGTCTTGGTGCATATGCTCTCGGAGTACATACGTAAAAGAAAAGATACGTTCATCAAGAATCATAAGGTACAACACTTAATGATAGTCATAGGGTACAAATAAGCAATCAGGAAACAATATCAATATAAATCGTAAGGATACAAGCAAGAAAGTTACTGTCATATGGTCATAAGTGGGAGGAGATGGGTGATGGGAAGGATGAGAAGATTAATAGTAGTGCAGACTTAGTGAATAGTTTGACAGTATTAAACATATTCACCATCTTGAGTTACTTATAAAATCAATAAAAGTTGAGGTTAAAGCAAACGAACGAACGAAGAGTTGGTCCCACATACCAAAGTGGCTTCAGTTGAAATTGTTCATGTCTTGGTCTGTTCCATCACTTTGGGGTAGAGAAATTGGGGAAGCAGAAATAAAATGTTCTTATGTTGGTAGGTAAACCTCTGTGTGTGTGCGTACCTGTGTGCACAAATATACTGTGGGTTTATAGAAAACATTTTGCAATAGGATTGAGCAAAGCCTTGAGTGAATACTTCCGACAAATGACATTTAATGACCGAACCAATCCAGCTTCGGATGGCTTAAAAAATTTGTTTCCTTGTTCCTTCTCCTTTTCTTCCTGTTTTCCTTTCCAAAGAGAAGAAGGCAACTTTGGGCTTCTGGAACTTAGTGTCAATTGCTTTGTGGCGCTCTCTTTTTTTGAGGCTGCTTCCTGTGAAAGGAGTTTAAAACCTGAGAAGTGACCGTGCTGAGCCTCTCACACCAGCAAAACCTCTACTAGATTCAGACAACGGGTTGAAATATCCCTACCTCTTTTTAACACAACCCACAATACTTAATTGTTCTGTGGCTTAGTGTGTCATGCGGAGGAAGCCAAGATGGTGGGTTTCAGCTTGCTGCAGCTGTACAAATCCAGAAGGGGGAATTCACTCAGTCCAAAATTAAAAGGGTGATATTAAAAAATTAAAATGGAATGGAATGAAATGGAA